GCACCGTCTGTACGACAAGCCCTCACACGTCTTAAGCATTCTGCAAGTTCCCGACTGTCCTCAAGAACCGCATTTTGAAAAAAAATTCTTAAGTCGCCATGAATAACAAATTAGCGAAGTGACAAACCAACACGCGGCATTGAGATAAAGAGGCAACTGTTGACCGGCAGCGTTCCACAGGGGTCATCAAACCGAAGAGGTTTCAAAAGCCTTCTTCGCTTGGGATCGATACCGTTTCCAGGTTCTTGACGTGACTGAACCATGTCAATGTTCCACTCCAGCTCCCCCTGTGCTTTCACCGCAGCCCTCTGTGCCACGAGCAGGGCAATCTGCAGAGTTGAGTTCTTTTTTTCTTCGAAGAAATCATGCACAAAGCAAAGGGACATGTCTCGCGTTTAAAAACAGACCTCGCGTGTCCACGTGTGCTTCTTTTAGAAGATTGCAAATCAAGGAAGGGGTGTTGTCTAAAGAGGTGTCCGAAACAGGAAGCTCCAAGACAATGTATCTTATTTTGATCAACTCTTATCAGCAGCGCTGCATCGTACTAAAGACGAAACACGAACAGATGCCTTCGTCAGGGAGTTTTTTTGTTTATATGGAACCTGTGTTTATCGGCTCAGCTCATAACGAAAAAAACACCTTGTAAATACCATTGCGTTTAGTTCCATGAAGGTCTTGATTCCACGTCCATCTCAAATGATCGTATCGAGTCACCCGGTGTAAATTTTACGAAGTGGAGCAAAACACTTTTTAGGTGGTGTTGACCATTGGACTCCTTTAGCAATAACTTCAAGAAAAATTCCACAATCTGGCAGAGCAATCGGACAATTTTATTTTTTTAGCTAAGGTTATTTTTCATAAGGTGTATGCCCACAGTTTCATCATATACAGTCATACTTGTTGTGCTCAAGGGAAACTACCTACAAGAAATACCTGATTATCATCAGCAGTCGTGCGTGGAGTTCTTCCATCACCATCATCATCGGGACCAGCCGATTTGTATCCACTCCTGGATGAAGGCCTTCACCAAGCAATCAACAATTCTCACAGTTGTGACATGCAACAAACCAACTAGCATCAGCACATGCGCTTGTCTGACGCTCCATCTCCACATGCTCTCGGTGTGTTTTCACCTTTGGCTGCCACTCCATTATTAGTATGCACCGAATGTTGAATTTCTTTCAACATCTTTAAAAAACGCAAAAATTTTGCACAAAAATCCAAATCTGACAGCTGTGCTCCTCATCACAGTGAGGATCATTCGTATAATTAATCATGCTGGCGGGGGGGGGTAACAATGAAGTTGAGTTATGTAAACAATATAATGCAGTCACTGCACGCGACATATCTTCCTGTGTGCTCATTTTCTGGGTATTGTGTATGTGAACCTTGAACTTCTCATACACGTATTGTAACATGAGCAATGCATGGTCATTCAAGGGAAACCACCTCACATTGTCAAAGGAGTTCCCTTTTCAAACGACGCCTGGTAATCCAGCAGCGTTTGTGTAACAAGCGTGACTCTGCTGATGAGATAGAGAAGGTTGAAACTGGTCCTTAGTTTTTTTGTTTAAAGAAATGCTGCTGCTGCTGCTGCTGCTTAATAATGTTGGCCTGGGAAGCCAATTGTCTTGAATGCATTACGTTCGTATAGGTTGTGGAGACAGAAGAAGAGATTTCTGATTCTCTATCCTAACGCAGTGGTTCTCAAAGTGCAGTGCCCAGATCAGCAGTGGTCTGCGACGATCCTCCAGGAGGGCCGCGGGGCTGTGATGCACGTGCAGGTTAATCAAGAAATAATGACAATGTCTATACCTTTTGTTTCAGACATTCATTCATATTTCACTCAAATTTAATAAAAAAAATTAAGTTAGGTAAAACACCTTGATTAAACTACCCTAACCCGAATATCTAAATTCCCCCCGGTAAAAAAAACCCGTATAGCTGCGTTAAAGAAATAATGCTTTTACGTTCCGGTAATATAAATAATTGTATATGACTGGTATTTTGAGAGAAGTGGAATGTGTTTTGCCATCAGTGGTGTGGGGGACTGGCTGGGTGGTCTGTAGAAATGATTGCATCGGCTGAGCGGTCTGCGGGCCAACACAAGTGTAATGTCAACAATTCGTAGACAGATTTTCTCGGTGGCACTTTCTCTACGGTCTCGTCCACACACTCTCCACAGCAGCTCAGCCTAGCCTGTACACAACACCGGCCGTCTAAGATTGATGGCGCTGACTGAGATAGCCAACTGCTATCCGTCGTAGCGCAATATCTAGCGGAGACGTTTAGCGACGATGGAGACGAGACGACAGCGACGACGAGACGATTCCACTCCCAGAAACAGCAGCCCTGAGCCCCCCGCTCTCAGCTCCTTTTATGCTCCCAGCGTGGCCTGGCTCCGCCCTGACCGCGCCTCCCTTCTCGAACCCGCTAGTAGGTTCCAGGGGCCTCCAGATGGGGTCCTCCATGACCCTTGACCCCAGGTCCTCCTCTCTGCCAACACACCGTGCACACGCTCACCGGCGCGTGTCCTGTCTGTCCACCCCAGCTGCCGCTGCTGTCCACCAGCCGGCGCTACTACACTACATTGAGCAATAATTGAAATATTTAACTACGCATATTTGTAACATCTTATTTGACAGGTACTAGTCTATTTTACCGAGTGTTGACATCCCCAGCGTTTAACAGTGCTGCTATTTTGGATTTGGCAGCCAACATCGGCCATAACCCACGGTTGAGGTTCTCCAATTGTACCCTCCCTTCTAGCCCCCCCCCCCCCACCGTTCCAGTCCCTGACTACCACATTTAGATCAGAGGTCGCAAACGGGTTTTGATTCCTTACCCGTACCCGGCCGCACCAGGGTCGCAAACGGGTACCCGTACCCGATACCCGGCCGGGTAAGGGTACGGGTACCCGGCCGGGTACGGGTAGCCGGGTATCGGGTAGGGTACGGGTATCGGGTACCCGATTGCGACCTCTGATTTAGATAAGCCCCTCCCCCATCCCCTTAACTTGTATTTAATAACTTGTCTCTTGGATTTCTCCTCACTTGATACAGTAAATTTAGCTGTGACGGTCCCACCTGAAGACGGAGACTTGTGTTGCCTCCGAAACGTCGTGATTTAATTGATTTATTTTCATTTATTATTATTTTATTTTATTATTTTTTACCTACGTGAAACCTAAGAGTACAAGTGTAGTGGCGGAACGCGCGTGAGCGCTTGGGGGAGAGAAGACGTGAGGCTGGGGAGGGAAGTGGGCGGGGCTAGAAGTGGGAAGCTGAGTGTGGGACACGGGGGGGGTGTGGGACACGGGGGGGGTGTGAGACACTGGGGGTGTGTGGGACACTGGGGGGGGTGTGAGACACTGGGGGTGTGTGGGACACTGGGGGGGGGTGTGGGACACGGGGGGTGTGTGGGACACGGGGGGGGTGTGAGACACTAGGGGTGTGTGGGACACGGGGGGGGTGTGAGACACTGGGGGGAGTGTGGGACACGGGGAGTGTGGGCCACGTGGGGTGTGAGACACTGGGGGGGGGGGGGTGTGGGACACGGGAGGGGGGGTGTGGGACACGGGGAGGTGTGTGGGACACTGGGGGGGGGGGGGGTGTGGGACACGGGGGGGGAATGTGTCGGACACGAGGGGGGGGGATGTGTGGGACACGGGGGGGTGTGGGACACTGGGGGGAGTGTGGGACACGGGGAGTGTGGGACACGGGGGGTGTGGGACACTGGGGGCGGGGGGGGGGTGTGGGACACGGGGAGGTGTGTGGGACACTGGGGGGGGGGGGTGTGGGACACGGGGGGGGGATGTGTGGGACACGGGGGGGAGTGTGGGACACTGGGGGGAGTGTGGGACACGGGGAGTGTGGGACACGGGGGGTGTGGGACACTGGGGGCGGGGGGGGGGGTGTGGGACACGGGGAGGTGTGTGGGACACTGGGGGGGGGGGGTGTGGGACACGGGGGGGGGGATGTATGGGACACGGGGGGGAGTGTGGGACACTGGGGGGAGTGTGGGACACGGGGAGTGTGGGACACGGGGGGTGTGGGACACTGGGGGCGGGGGGGGGTGTGGGACACGGGGAGGTGTGTGGGACACTGGGGGGGGGGTGTGGGACACGGGGGGGGGGGTGTGGGACACGGGGGGGGAATGTGTCGGACACGGGGGCGGGGGATGTGTGGGACACGGGGGGGGGGGGGGAATGTGTGGGACACGGGGGGGGGGGTGTGTGGGACACGGGGGTGGGGGGGGGGACACGGGGGGGGGATGTGTGGGACACGGGGGGGGGATGTGTGGGACACGGGGGGGGGGATGTGTGGGACACGGAGGTGGGGGGGGGGGACACGGGGGGGGGATGTGTGGGACACGGGGGTGGGACACGGGGGGGTGTGGGACACGGGGGGGGGGGTGTGTGGGACACGGGGGGGGGGGTGTGGGACACTGGGGTAGGGGGGGACACGGGGGGGGACACGGTGGGGGGGGGGGGATGTGGGACACGGGGGGGATGTGTCCTAGTAAACGGGAGGTCGGATGGAAACAATCACAACCAGTTAAGGCAATTACAGTACCTTGTTATTAACATCACTCTGTTGTTGTATCCTCAAATCTTGTAACTCAATTTTAACCCACTTCCCAATGTGGTATCGGGTATACTTATGCCATACTGATGACAATACTATATTCTATAATAAAAATATATTTTGTAACATTATTTTTTACATGTTATGTTTCGGCTTGGGTCTAATTGTCCACAGTCAACTGAAGTTGGCTGTAATTCCCCACGGTCCGTTATGTTACGGCAAGCTTCGGGGCCACTTCCCGGAGTCTTGGAGTTCTTCTACAGTACATTCATGTGAATAGCGCGTTTTAAAAAAAAATGTAATATATAATTTGAAAGAACATCTTGCGGTCAGGCAACAACACACGGTGCAGACATAACGGTGGTGGGGGGGGGGGGTGTGCGCGTGTTACATCACGTTGACATTGCAACAACTTCCCAGTCTCAGAGCGCACAACACCACAAACGGCTTCCGTTTCGCTTCCACACACAACACACACAGCAATGGCAGGGGGGAGCTACGTGTGCTCGCTGTCGCCCGAGATGGTGGAGAGAGCTCGCGTGGAGCTGGGAGAGAACCCCGAGACGAGGGCGCAGGAGGTGCAGAAGCTGCGGGAGGCGCTCGCTCTCCGCCCCGACATCCCGGCCCTGACAGACGACGGCTTCCTGCTGCGGTTCCTGCGAGCCAGGAAGTTTGACCACGAGGAGACATTCAAGCTCGTGGAGAGCTACTACAAGTAGCGTGCTTTGCTGCTGCTGCTTCGCTCGGCACACACACAGTGCGGCTATTGACACTGCGACACACACAGTGCGGCCATTGACACTGCGACACACACAGTGCGGCCATTGACACTGCGACACACACAGAGCGGCTATTGACACCCCGACATACACACACAGTGCGGCCATTGACACTGCGACACACACAGTGCGGCCATTGACACTCCGACATACACACACAGTGCGGCCATTGACACTCCGACATACACACAGTGCGGCCATTGACACTCCAACATACACACACAGTGCGGCCATTGACACTCCGACATACACACACAGTGCGGCTATTGACACTGCGACACACACAGTGCGGCCATTGACACTCCGACATACACACACAGTGCGGCCATTGACACTCCGACATACACACAGTGCGGCCATTGACACTCCAACATACACACACAGTGCGGCCATTGACACTCCGACATACACACACAGTGCGGCCATTGACACTCCGACATACACACACAGCGCGGCCATTGACACTCCGACATACATACACAGCGCGGCCATTGACACTCCGACATACACACACAGCGCGGCTTCTTGCTGTGCCATTGTGGTCACAATGGCAAGAGCCACACACGCAAAGATAAAGGCACCCCGGGCAGGTTTTAACAGACTGTTGGGCGAAAGTTAATGTAAGCGAAGATTTATGAAGGCCAACGGCCGGCCGCTTTTGTCTCCCCAGTGCTGATGTTTTACGCACACCGCATCGGGTACTCATTTGAGGCTGAGTAGACCAAAGGGAAGCCCAGGGATCGATTCAGATAATCGTCACTGATGTTGGCCGTGAGCGGGAATCTAACTGTCTCGCGCGCGTGCCCGGGCGTGGCTCGAGACACCGCGGTCACTCACAGTCAATGGGGCCGTCCATAAATGACGTCACGCGATTTTGGACGATTTTTGACTCCCCCCCCCCTCGTCACACGGCGTCACAAAAAGTCAGACCCCCCCCCTCAAATATGACGTCACAAAGCTCTGCCCCCCCCCAAAAACAAATATAAAACATGCTTCAAATCGCTTTAAACTATTGTCATTGTAGTGCGTATTTAATGTGGCGCTGCACTCTGATGTTGTAGGAGAAAACATTTACTGAAAAGTATATTTAATTAAGTAGAACGTGATAATTGGTTCTTTACCCTTCTATCTGGCAACAAAACTGACACCTTTTTGCAAGGAGTCATGTTTGCATAGACCGCAATACCTGCAGTCATAATATGCACCATCAGAGTATACTCTGATGGTGCATTGTCCTTGAGTTGTGCGCCTTTTGGCGTCATCTGGTCCAACCCATATGAGACTAGGCTCGAAGGAAAGCTGTCTCGGGTGTGGACCAATCAACTTCAAGGACAGTGCACATTATCAGAGTTATGTTCTTTTGTTTGTATTATGACTGCAGGTATTGCGGTCTATGCAAACATGACTCCTTGCAAAAAGGTGTCAGTTTTGTTGCCAGATAGAAGGGTAAAGAACCAATTATCATATTTTTACTGGCAAATGAGGTCCCCATAGTGTAAGTAGAACGTGTTGTCTATATTTATTTAAAGTTTCGCATTTTGATGTGACGTCACATTTCTCAAACCCCCCCCCCCCTCGTCAGACATCGTCACAAATGTCTGACCCCCCCCCCCCCCAGGTGCGTGACGTCATTTATGGACGGCCCCTAAGCACGTCCCGCTTTGCAAAAAATTTGGGATAACATTATTTTTTTACGGGATGTGTTTTTAGTCCGGTTTAAAATCGGCAGCCTCTCGTTTGAAGATGGGTCATCGCCCGAAACGTCGCCGAGTACATATTTTTCCGTGTGTTGTTGCTAAATACAGTTGGTTTTGCAAGTATGAAGTTGTCTTTAAAAAAAGACCGCTTGCATAAACAAACCTTGCAACAACGCGTGTGTACAGGAGTGAAAGTGCCAGAGGTGTGGACTCGAGTCATGTGACTTGGACTCGAGTCAGACTCGAGTCATGAATTTGATGACTTCAGACTCGACTTGGACTTGCATAACAATGACTTTGTCCCACCTCTGAGGTGTGGACTCGAGTCATGTGACTTGGACTCGAGTCAGACTCGAGTCATGAATTTGATGACTTCAGACTCGACTTGGACTTTCATAACAATGACTTTGTCCCACCTCTGGAAAGTGCTGTACGTCGAATTGTTGGCAAGCTTGACATCCGTTGTAATAACGAACGGGGCAATGCAGACGTTTTAAACACTACAAGCTGAATCACATTTGGTCGCCACTTATTTTCGAAAGTTTGCAAGGAGTGAAGGTTGAGGTTGCCCTTGCGTGGACATTGCCTGGGTGGTTGGAGGGTGCAGGCGTGCACAGTGATCATGTTTGCATTGCCCTTCAGTGTAAGCTGAAGGCTTCGCGAGGATAGTAAACTACGGTCATGAACACCATTGGAACCTCATTTGCCAGTAGAAAAATATGATCATTGGTTTTTTACCCTTTTATCTGGCAACAAAACTGACACCTTTTTTACAAGGAGTCATGTTTGCATAGACCACAATACCTGCAGTCGTAATGCAAACAAAAAATATAACTCTGATAATGTATGCACTGTCCTTGAAGTTGATTGGTCCACACCCGAGACAGCTTTCCTTAGAGCCTAGTCTCACATGGTGTTGGACCAGATGATGCCATGTGAGACTAGGCTCTAAGGAAAGCTGTCTCGGGTGTGGGCCAATCAACTTCAAGGACAGTGTATACATTATCAGAGTTATGTTTTTTGTTTGCATTACGACTGCAGGTATTTTGGTCTATGCAAACATGACTCCTTGTAAACAAGGTGTCAGTTTTGTTGCCAGATAAAAGGATAAGAAACCAATTATCATACGGTCATGAAGTTGTAAAACTGTACGGACTTTGTCTGAACTCGCAATGCACCCTCACACCACAATGAACAATTGTGCAGCTCTTTTGATCAACTCTATGGCAAGGGTTTCCAACTCTCACTGAAGCTATTCCCGGGACGTTTTTATTCCTATTCATTTAATTTATCATAATACCCTCTTATTAAAATCTCCTGGATTGCTTTCAATAGTTACTTGGAGATCGATGCCAATTCCGGTCAACTCTCTGCCAATCCGGGAGGGTGGTATACCCCAGTTAGGGCCTCCGCCACGCCGTGCAGGTCACGAGGTTATATTTGACTATACATCACCGTGGCGGTGAGTGAAGATAGCGGGGATTGATGCGTGGTCATAGTTCAGTCCAACAATGGAATTCGCTGCACTGCCCACAGCTGGCCAAAACTCAGTCCTGTGGTAAAGTACAAACCATGCACAGTCCATACCTCAGCAAACACAGTGTGTAATATCACTACGTAACACGATTTTTGTTCTGGGTACTAAGTGTAATTTTTTTTATTGTTTATGCCTAAAAAGTATAGAAAATGGCTATTATTCCCCACAAACTTATACGTATTTTTTGATATGCAGTGTTATGAATGGAGTGGATTATTAACTTTGCTTTTGTGTCCTGGTCACAAAAGCAAAGTTTGTGGGGAATAATAGCCTTTTCTGTACTTTTGAGGCATAAGCAATTAGAAAATAACACTTACTACGCAGGAGCAATTTTTTTGTTACACAGTATTTAATGGACAGCGCTTGGTTAGTTCGTTGTTGGTGAAAGGGCTCACCGTAGAGATTGTTTGACCATGGGTTCACCATACCTCACCTTGCTGGTTAGTGCAGGTTGGTGAAGCAGGGAGAGAGCAGCACTGACCGATTTAGATATCACTCGCTACTAAATGTTATCCGTGGCGAAACATTTAACTTATTTAACCCAGGTCGTTTTGTTCATAGCACCGTGTGCTTACCTCTCTCCGCCAACATTCCACCCTTGCGCACATTACAGTGCCACGCTTTGAATCGGCGAATAATCTTCACGTCACGAATGTCCGTCATGCAAATTTGCGAGCTTGCGGTCTTACTCCCCTGTTGACTCCTTTTGCTTGAGGTGCCACGAGACCTGGCCAGACATCTTCCAGAACTTCCGTCCGTCCGCAGTGAAAGAGTTGCTGGACAGTGGCTTCATCCGCGTGTTGCCACAGCGGGACTACAAGGGCAGACGCGTCGTCATCCAGAGTCCCGGTGAGCGGGGACGCTGCTCAAGCACTCCGTTGCACTCTCAGGCTGCACCGCTCGTTGTTTGGTGCCACGTCTGACATTTGGCTCCATGTGTTGGGAGCCTCTTCAAGTACTGAGTTTTCATTTCACTTGTCCGACACGCACGCCAAAAACCGTGGAATGGCCCAACTGTTAGGTATATGCATGGCGCCTCCGGTTAGCACGGTTGACTACGTCCAGTGTGAAAGAAGTTCAACATACAGTACATAGAGTGGTAGCGGCGGTTGCCATTTGTTGCAGTGATTTGTGGTTCGAACCCACGGCTGCCAGTTTACTACTACCGGTGTATTAACCGTGAAAACACATGCCTGTATTTCACAGTGGGTGTTAAAGATCTGGTGATGTTATTCTAAAAATAGTAGGCTAAGTGTGACGGCATCATGGTCCAAATTTGAATACATATATGCAATTTATTAAAATGGGAAATCCATAGCAATCGCTCTCTGCTCCTAAAACTTATCAGAACCCTCCTGATAAACACTACTGTAATAACAATAATAATAACACACAGTTCTAGATTTGAAGCTTTCGTGACTGCAATGATTTATATTCTTAGGTTTTTTCGTTAAAGTCACGTAGGTAAAAAATTTAAATTAATAAAAGTAAGATAAAAAATAAAATAAAAATCACGACGTTTCGGAGGCAACACAAGCCTCCGTCTTCAGGTGGAACAGTCATGTGACTTTACCGAAAAAACCTAAGAATATAATAACGCACAGCTCTGGCACGAGGTGAATCACGTCCATGTCAATTTGAACAGGAAAGTGCAACCCTTCGACGACTCCCATCATCGATAATATCCGAGCGATGTACATGACTCTGGAGCTGCTGATCCAGTCCGAGGAGACGCAGGTGAACGGAATCACCATCCTAGTAGACCACAAGGGCATGCGCCTTGCCCACGTCATCAACTTCACCCCTTCTCTCATGAAGAAAATAACCACCGTGATACAGGTACGTTACAGTGGAAGGCACAATAGGGAAGAAAAAAAAATATCACGCCGAGATACGACTAACCCTAATCCTAACACGCCAAAAGTCGTGTCACGTGGTCTCGTGGACAGCACTGTCATTATCACGGCGACAGTTTACATGTGTACGTAATGTTAATGATCTAAAAAAGGTAAAAAAAAATTGTCCTTACAAATTTCAACGTACAGAAACCTCTCATCCAAAACTCATATCTGCTATATACTTAAATGCATTTGCAATCATTTATGCATGTTTACTTATTTGCGGACAGCTGTGGTGCAGTGGTTAATGCACTGTGTTGTGAATACTCTAAACCGAGTTTGATTTCCGGCCACGGCTAACATCAGTGGCACGTGATATCTGAATGAGACTTTGGCAGCAACTCACCAAGCCAGCATTGACCAGTATGTTGAAGTATGGTCAAATAGCCCCCTTGACTAACATTGCACGTGGAAGGCCATCATCCCGCGGTAAATTGACAAAGGTCGGTCAGTTACTGTTACATTTAAATAAAACATTTATTCACTTGTGTCTGTACATCGGGTTGTGGCCATTATTACACCTAATTTCAATGAATCTAAAAACACTGTGGTTTTTTTCTGTTCATGTTTTTGTTTGATCTTTGTGTGTGTATGTGTGTTTTTCCCAGGATGCATTTCCAATTCAATTAAAAGGACATAACACAATTAATGAGCCATCGATTTTCAAAGCCATGTACGCCTTGGTGAAGCCCTTTTTCAATGAGAAGATGCAAAAGCTGGTGCGTACAATGAAATCACTTTGTTGACACTGATAAATGTGGATGTTGAATCGGCATTCAAATACCTTGTACTAATGGTGTAGGTTTTTTTGTGATTGCAGCACATTAGAGTTTTAAGTGGAATATTTTTTTATATAGAAATAAACACCGGTGGTTTGCTGCTGTCTGCACTGTACACTTAAGTCCACCATTCGATGGCTGCTATAGTTGGCACAAATTCTCTGCACTTAAAAAATATCTGACAGAGTGGCAGAGTGCCAGAGGCCTTGATTCACAGCCAAAAAAGACGTGAATTCAAATCCCACTTTGGGGGTAAAGTCAGCCCATCCTCTCTTAGTGGTGGATAAAATTTTCACTACTTTTTGGAGGGCCTGCCTCCCGTCATGGGACCTGTTGCTTATGGCAATTGAAATGAGCATCATAATGCTCTTTTGGGCAGATAGTCACTTTGATTTCATGGTAAAAGACTAATCATGATGTTTTGATTTATTTTTCCCTGTTCTCTTTACTCGGTTGTATTTCAATTGTGCTTTTTTTGCATCACGTAACCGGCCGAAGAAATGTCTCTGACACATCACCTTGTGTCCGATAATTGTCTTGGAAGATGACATCATAGAACTACTTCTGAGGTCACCTGAATAGACCTCTCTATACAAACTAGGGGCACGCCTTTTCTGTGCCCTCCTGAGTACAGAATTCATATTAGCATGTCAATCAAGTCTCGTATGTTTTCAAATTCTCAGAATTGAAATAATCAAAACTCAGTGAAACACAAAATGTAACACTACGGGTTTATATGTAGAGTCATCGGTGACTGGGCTGAGATCAATTCACTCCACTGCGCACCTCAGCAGCGCTGGCTCACTCTTTCTGACAAGCGATGACTACAATATTATTTGGGTTATAAAATGCACTTTTCTTGTGTGGCCATATTTATATAACTATTGACACCGGGCACCAGTTTGGGATGTATCTTACTTTCCAGAGCGTCTTCATAATCATAATTTCACCTTCTAATGTGCCACACCATCTTCGCTCATTCTCGTATAGAGAGAACAACTCAGAGGCCAAAGGAACAACAGATAAGTAGGAAAGGCAGCCATGCAGTGAGCTGGTGCCAAACTCCCATCCAAGCTCTGTGGTCCTCTATTTATTAAGGTGTTATTGGCCAAGTCATGCGTGTTTACACGTGGGAGGATATCGTAGAGCCGGAAGAAAACTCACGCGTGCAACGGGGAAACACTATCTGATAACAGGTAGAACAGATTGGAGTCCACATTGTTTCTGTAATGCCTTCTGCAAAGCCAGGGTATGGCACCTCGAAGGGCATTTCAGAACATTTGTACTATCCACCAACACTCACTGCCTCCACGGTGCTGCATTGCAGGCGCGTGCGTCTCCACCATCACCTGGGTAAAATGTGAATAATGAAGTTGTCTTCCTTGACCCTTCCAGCCGCACCTAAGCGGTCGCTTTCTTGTTGTTGTTGTTGTTACAGATGATGTTCCACGGCAGGGACTTCCTGTCGCTGCACAAGCAACTCTCTCCCGACATCCTGCCAGCAGAGTACGGGGGCACGGCGCCTGACATCGCCGCCGACAGCTGGGCCCAGGAGCTGCTCTCCGCCGAGCCTTACTTCCTTCAGGCGTTTGGAGGCATCGTCTTCAAGAAGGATTTGGCCCCGGAGGTCCTCACAGACGAGGATAAGAAGCTGCAGGAAGATTTTAGGCGGGTCATTGAGGAGGTAGAGCCCGACGAGTGGAACAAGGTGTAGGTCGCCTACACTCGCGTGTGGCCTGAGGGCCTGCACCTCGAGCCAGTCAGAAATAAGTAGAGCTGAGCTACACGATGATTTAAGGCAGTAGAGGAAATGTAGAGGGAGGGAGGTAGCGACAGAAGAGGGGGCAGATTAAGAGAGAAACGCAGGTATTCCTCGATTTACGAACGTTTCGTTTACGAAATTTCATGAAACATCCCTAATCATTATAAAAATGTATGGGAGAAGCCATTCCATTTGACAAAATTTCGTTTTACGCTCTTTTTTTTTAAGAATGCATCCCTTTCGCAAATAGAGGGATACAACAGGTGGAGAGAGACAGGCCTCTACGATTTACAGCTTTGCTGGCTGGGAGGGACGGACAGTCCAAAAGTTATTGTCAAAATTGTGTTCACTCCTTCCTAACGAACACTTCTGCCCTTCTAATAAACCAGCTATTGTTTCCTGGCTTTTCCTGTTTTCCCCAATACTCCTTCCCTATTTGAGCCTTTGTGTTGAATCCCCCTTGTTCATTAAAAGTACTGGTAATGTGCTTCACCAGAGCCTGATAGAATGAAAAATCCTCCAGCCACAGACTCGGAAACAATAATAAATAGTAACGCAAAATAATTGTTGAAAACTACATATTTGTGTGTAAAGGCACCAATATAGAGTACTTGAGGGTTGGCTAACTGTGGTTGCACCTACTTATGCCGGTGGGTGGCCATTGCATGAGGGCTTTGTCCTTACAAATGAAATAAACCATAGGTTGTTTGAGACGCAGGTGTGTGTGTGGATCACGCAAATGTTGTGCAACTCCCGCGGGCGTCGAGATACCGTAACCATGGCTTGCCAGAAGGCGGTATGGAAAAAACTGGACAACATCTGTCTCTCCCTTCTGTGATAAGAGGGGCTGCCCCCCTTCAAGCTTGGGGTTGTTTTTTACACGCTTTCATTTAACTCACTCTGCTGTTGTTGTCGTATCCTCAAATCTTGTAACTCAATTTTAACCCACTTCCCAATGTGGTATACTTATGTCATGCTGATGAAAATACTATATTCTATCATAAAAAATGATTTAAAAAATTAACAATCTTTTTTTATATGTTATGTTTCGGCTTGGGTCTAATTGTCCACGCTCAACTAACGTCGGCAGTAATTGGCCACGGTCCCTTACGTTATGCTAAGCTTCGGGGCCACTGCCTAGGGTCGTGGAGTTCTACTATTACTAATAGGGTACATTTCATTAAAGTGTGTTTTTTAAAAGTTTTTTTTTTATATTACTTATGATTAACTCTGTTGTTGTATCATCAAATGTTGTAACTCACTTTTAACCCACTTCCCAATGTGGCATCGACTGCAAACTTGGTATACTTATGTCATACTGATGACAATACTATATTCTATCATCAAAAATATTTTTAAACATTCATTTTTACATGTTATGTTTCGGCTTGGGTCTAATTGTCCACGCTCAACTGGCGTTGGCTGTAAATCACCACGGTCCCTTACGTTGTGGCAAGCTTTGCGGCCACTTCCTGGAGTCGTGGAGTTTTGCCATTACGAGTAGGGTACATTTCATTAAAGTGTGTTATTAAAAAAAGTATTCTTAAATATTACTTATTTTTACACACTTGCAATTAACTCTGTGTTATCCTCAAATCTTGTAACTCAATTTTAACCCACTTCCCAATGTGGTATCGACTGCAAACGTTGTATACTTATGATGACAATGCTATAATCTATAATAAAAAAAATTAACAATCTTTTTGTATTTGTTTTGTTTCGGCTTGGGTCTAATTGTCCACGCTCAACTGCCATCGGATGTAATTTCACACGGTCCCTTACGTTTTGGCAAGCCTCGGGGCCACTTACTGGAGTCGTGGAGTTCTGACATGACTCGTACGGTACATTTCATTAAAGCGTGTTTTTAAAAAAAATTACATTATTTATTCTCCAGGTGCTCCGGTTTCCTCCCACACGTATAGACGCCTCTTGAGTTGGCTGAATGCATCTTAATATGCGCGCCTCCGTGTTTGCAGATGGCCCAGACATTGCGTGATGCAGTTGCGTAAATGACACTGAAAAAAACCGAAATATTGTTGTTAGATGCCTTTGTATATTACCTGCTCACTTTATTGTCCGGCGCTCATATACTGGGAAGATTATAACGGCACTTAAAAATAAAACTGCACAATAATACATTCCTAAAACTAGTAAATACGTTAAGATAATTGAATTATTTTTATTATTTATTTTTACCTACGTGACTTTACCGAAAAAACCTGAAAGTAAGATAATTGAAAACGCATGCTACATCATAAGAGAATGTCCTAAGCAAGATGCAGTTCACCGTACAATCAACAGACATCACTCGACCCATGAGATGGATGTGGCTGGCTGGCTCCGTTCAAGTTCATTTATTAGGTATAGCCCTGTGAGCCATTCGGCTCTTGAATCGGGTGCAACCGCAACAAACAAAAAACAAAAACATGAACAAGAAAACATCTTAAAGTGAATGTGTGACTATGTGCAAACAGAAAATCCAAGAAAAGGAAGCAAAATATTGCAGAAAAAAACACCGTACACCAACGCTGTGTGCAAAAATCCCAGTGAGATGCAAGTCAAACAACCAACAACAACAACCACAAGACAACGCATCGATGTACACGTACATAAAACACAGGAGGGAATAGGATTTGTAGAATATTGTACAGCGAATCCCCGCTATCTCTGCTGATATCGGCACTGTGCTAACCTGCCGCTCATCAGAGCAGTGGTTGTCAGCCGGGGGCAATGTGCCAGGGGGTTACGTGAGGTGGTTTGGGGCCGTCCATAAATGACGTCACGCACCTAGGGGGGGAGGGGGGGTCAGACATTTGTGACGATGTGTGACGATGGGGGGGGCGGGGTTGAGAAATGTGGCGTCACATCAAAATGCGCAACTTTGAATAAATATAGACAACACGTTCTACTTAATTAAATCTACTTTTTAATAAATGTTTTCTCCTACTACAACAGAGTGCAGCGCAACATTAAATACGCACTACAATGACAATAGTTTAAAGCGATTTGAAGCATGTTTTATTTTGGGGGGGGGGCAGAGCTTTGTGACGTCATATTTAAGGGGGGGTCTGACTTTTTGTGTGACGATGGGGGGGGGGGGTCAAAAATCGTCCAAAATCGCGTGACGTCATTTATGGACGGCCCCTTTATAAAACGTGTGAAATTATATCACACGCGAGAGTCACTGGCGAATAGGCACGTATAGAATCTGCCAATATAAAATAACCGAGATACAATTTGAATCCATACGGTAACATAGAAGGGCATCAAATATCTTTCGAAACCCATCGATCGTGAACAATGTGGCTTCCTCGAGTGGCCAGCGAACGCGAACACATTTGCGTTTTTGTTATTCGCTTGCAGTTACTCACTAGTTAGGATACCTCGCAAAATGGACGATTGGTTAAAATATTGACGTTTATCAATCCGTACGTTTATTTCTCAGAACCATTGTTGGGTCAGGCAAGGAGCGGGTTACTCGGTTGAAACATAATGCAACAAGGGAGGGTAACAGTTGCCCAAAGAGATTTGAGAACCACTACTTTGGAAGATGCTCCGGGCATGTTCCAACTATGTTAGCGTTCTCCACTTAGTCGAGTAATTTAACTCATCATCAGTAATAAATTTAATAATCAGAGAGCCTTTTTCCCATAAATGCCCTTGATTTACAGGTGTTTCACCTCAAATCAGTGCTTCCGAAAAGCAGGCTTACAAATTGATTTCACTTCCTGAAGAAGGAACAAGTTGGTGCAAAGCTGAATAATTAAATTGTCTGTTTCAATATGACACATGACCTAAAGCATCAACTTCCATGAACATTCAACACTTAACTTGTCACTTCCACTATTCTGTTGTGCTGGGAAATAACCCTTTTACATTACAGGTCCATATGACTCAGCTGTTAATAGGTTCATTATTTGAACGCAAATTTTATTGCAAATGAAAAATGTTCACGCCAAAATATCCTGCTGTTAAAATGTCACACCATTACATAAAAATCCCATGATGATGATGATAATAATAACGTACAGTATATATCGAGGACAGCTTCAGATGGTCTCAACCCCTTATCGCGAGAGTACTACACTGAAGCAGTGTTTTTGGAAAGAAACCACAGCACCTAAACGAAACCCGTCCGCACGGAGAGGTTTATGAGCCCTCGCTTAGTCGACTCGATCACAGCACGAGCTCATCGGGTTCGGTCATTTCACGCGTGTCAAATAGCAACCTGTACAATGCCCCTTGGTTCACACGGATTTGCATCTACAGGTGAAGTATCACTTAAGATATTTGAGTTCAATGGGCCACTTGCTGCACGCCACGCATCATCTTTCACATTTGCATTGACACTTCATCTTCCTCAAGTGAAACATTTGGAGAAATGGATTGAGTTGATTGACCTTGTATGCTGTATGCATCATCATCGCCACCACAAACTACACACATCTACAGGAATCAAAATAAAACCCCTTGGGGGTTTATCACAGTCAACGGATTCCCCTATCTAAAATATTACCGGGTTGAGATAGTTGCTTGTAATATGATGGTATACAAACACGTGATTTACCACACACCAGTTCAGTATGTCCCAGTAGTTTTTTTAGGTTTTTTTTAATGACAAAGTTTCTAATATTAACACAGATTACAAGAGTACCGGGACAGACGACTTCGTAGCTTCTTCCTCTCACGCGAAACTTTAGGAAGTACAACTTTGTGTAACTGACAAGTCGGTTTTGACGTCAACGCATTTGCATGTTTGCGTATCTTTCATTGCAATCTAACGTTGAAGCACATTGCATTTGCAAGTACTGCAATGTGACAACATAGCTTGTGCCAAAATGAGTCATGAGCCAAGGGAATTGGTTAGGGCCTCATCGCAACGGCCTGCATATACTGCATGTGACAACGCAATGTCAAATCAAATCACAGCTTTATGATATAACGAGGCAAGATCGAACTCTGCAATTGAACGTCTCCGTCGTTATATATATTATTTTTTATTTTATTTTTCTACCTAAGTGACTTTACCGAAAGAACCAAAGAGTGTGGATTCCTGCAGTCACGAAAGCTTCAAATCGTAGGTGATGGTAATAATAAATAAATGGAAGTTGCAGATGATAATGACTGCTGTTGCTCTAGTATTCTTTCTGCTGCTTGTGATACGTATGAAGATGCTAAATTGGCTGTTGCCAGATATGAATGCTTATGATGAATGTTATCGCAATATCATATGCAGTACCCTTCCAATTGCGGTTCGAAAATTGGAAGAAATGGAAGTGCCTTGTGGCTGGAGGGGTCACGTGATCTTTACATGTGCATCTGTAGTGCATTTGTCATTCTGTGGTGCATACAACATATGCACTACAGATGCACATGTAAACTTCGATTTCGATTTAAAGCTTTCGTGACTGCAGGGATTCATCTTCTTGGTTCTTTCGGTAAAGTCACGTAGAAGGAAAATAATAAAATAATAAAAATAAAACATAATAAAATAATTCTCACGACATTTCGGCCACAACGAAACGTCGTGAGAATAATTTTATTATGTTTTATTTTTATTATTTTATTATTTTCCTTCTACGTGACTTTACCGAAAGAACCAAGAAGATAAACTTCGATTGTTACACACGCAATTCGCTGCATGTACCATGCGCTACATACAGGATGATGCGTGGTGTCGCTCTTATAAGACACTCCGGAAAGGGAGACGCACCCCAACCTTGTGCCATGTGTCAATAGTTATACACATCTGGGCATACACACGCGAGCCTATCGGATTATTGGTCGCACTCGAATATAAGACGCACCCCAAATGTGCGACCCGGAGTCAATGCAGCTATACGAAACTAGCCACGCAAAGCGATGACATTATAAGAGGTACTCCCACGTTGTACAGTATTTGAATACCCAGGAGGAGCGGTGGCGGTGGGTAGATTAGTGCATCGTAAAAAGGGGTATTTCCTATTCTGTAGATTCGCTGGTAAGTGGCTCATTATATTGCTTCTTCGTCAGATCTCAGCGAATCCTGCCAGGAAATGAAGTTGCAGTGTCCAGCCAGCAGCGCGCGTAAATAATGACTACCAAAACATGATGTGAAACTAAAACGCACACGGGAAAACCCCACGTGAACCGTGTATAAGTAGCCACGAGCTGCTTGCGTCGGGGAACTAAACCCATTTACCGTAACCCGTTTGGCTCTCAGCCACTTGCTAGTCGAGATGAAGACCCTTTGTGTCACATGCATGCTGCTTGCCACGCTGCCGGGTGAGTCCTGTTCTGCTGCTGCTGTCCCCAGATGCTGCTGTTATTGCGTTGTCACACGGAGCCAGCCAGCCACATCCATCTCGTGGGTCCCTACCCACCCGCTCTGTGCTCCAGCCGCGCTTGCCTCATCCGTCGCGTGATGTCTATTGATTGTACGGTGAACTGCGTCTTGCTTTGGACATTCGTTTTATGATGTAGCATGCGTTTTCGAATATGTTAACTTATTTGCTAGTTTTAAGGGTGTATTACCGTGCAGTTTTAATTTTAAGTGCCGTATTGTTTGACCTCCGATTAACACGCGTTACGTTCCGTTATGTTTTTTAAAAAATTGTCGATTTCTCCCGTGAAGCAGTTGTTCTAGCTCTGATTTCTGGGTTGCTCCATTGCCTTTGCCATGTTGGGGACCCAAGCCGTAGCCGCAAATGAGACTAAACTCAATCCTGGTCCCTAGGAGTTCTCGTCTGGTCAAACACAGCAACTTGACTGTTGTGCACTGATTTGCGACACTAACCCGTGAACGAGGCATTTAAAATAAACATGCATCACATTTGACAGAGAAAAACGGAAACTGTTGTTGGCACGTGCTCTGTTTATCTTTGTGTCGCGAAGAAGGGCCATCGCCCGAAACGTCACCTGCTACATTCCCCCTCCCTTGTAAGGCAATTGTTGTTGACGAATGTTGCTGGGGTTTTATGGTGTTCGTGCTTGTGCACCGCTGCAAATGCAGTGTCACCGAATAATTTTTTTATGGTTACATACATTAATGGCACCGTAAACATGCTCTATAGTATTCTGTGTTGGTGCATTGATGGCAATGTTGTAGCTGGGTGGACTACTGGATTGCTATTCGTTATAGCAATGCTTTCCGTGGGGTTTAAATCAGTATTTGTAACTGGTGTTAATTATTGTAATGTATTTAGCAACACAGTGAAATTTCTCGTCAATTTGAATCACAGTGTTTCACTTAGAAACCCTTTAAATGCATGGCTATGTCATGCTTATTTCTCTCCTATGCAATACGGTATGTTTTTTTTCGAATACGGTACTGTAGTGCTGAACAATCTATTATCCACATCAGCAGACAGGAGGATCTCGGCTCATTTTAATTGCAGTCATCTTGGCACAGACCTCCCCAGAAGAGCTAGGCTCCTATTCCCTATGTCATACAATACTGTAGTTTATACTGTTTGGTTCTTTCATTAAAGGCACGTAGGTAGAAGAAAAAAAAAGTATCACAATAATGTGATCTATAATATGTGATCTATTATTTTTTGTTTTATTTTATTTTTCTACCTACGTGACTTTACCGAAAGAACCAAAGAGTATGGATGCCTGCAGTCACGAAAACTTCTAATCAAGATTAGTACTGTCGTTTGTTCCAGATGCTCACGGTTCGATTCCAGGGGCCGCCCTGATTAACACTGCGGTTGTCCTCCCTCCCCCCGCACCTCCAATTAGCACCGTTAGCTACGTACGGTGCGAAAGAAGTTCAACATCCATACATTAATATACGCGCCGTCTGTTTCACAGTGGGGCTTAAAGATTCCGTGCTATCATTTGCAAGAGTAGGCCATTTTTGCGCTGGTATCACCGTCCAAATGTTGCGAAATTTGAAAAGCTAGCGGACCTGCAAAACTACTCGATAGGTATTTGCATAGCAACTATCGCCCCATAATTGTGAAAAATTGTCTCCTGCTAAAGCAGAGTCGCGGGTCTCGGTGAGGATTTTCTGGGTAAACAAGGAGAAAATAAATGAGGGCACAGCCATGTAGAATCATACGTTAATGGATCGATTTCCCTCTTCAGCATTATAACACAACCCTGTGAAATCTTTTGATTACGGAGATGTTGTTGGTAGATCATCACACAGAAATTCAGTGCACGTGAGTCTCCATCCTGTTGGCCACAAAAATTGCCAATTAGAGGCGGCAGAACATGTAGGTTATGAAATGTACGTGCACCCAAAGCGTACAGGGCCACTGCCCCAAACGTCAGCTGGTGTATAGTTCTACGTTGACCGAATGTGTTAAGGTTTAATTGCAGCGCGTGAACTTTGTGCAACACCGCCAGTACAGTATCACATTTTCGTTGCGCTTAGCGATGCAATAAGACGGAGTTAAAGTCACGGCTCTAAAGCTTGTTGAAGTTGCTTTGTAAGAAGTGGCATCGACTCGCACGCAGCTTCACATAACGTGCACTTTCAACATCAGGGAAGGGGAAATGCTCCAGGCTGGCTTTGCACTTACTGAAAGTCACGTGGTGTTGTTTTGTATAACCCAGATTAAAGGATCCAATGATGACTTCCTTTTTTTTATTAAAAAAATCCCTTCTTAGAACTAGTTATCACGGCGTGGGAAACTCTGCACTGGCAATCATCCGTAACAAAAAAGCACATCCTTGATATAACACTGCCAGTCATGTTCATGTGACAATTTAAATCTTGCCAGCACTGTCCACGCATGTTCAGTGGAATTTCCGTAAGGTGCAGCATGCATTTACGTGTCTGATAACACTTTAACTCAACACGTCCGTCTGAAACGTGGCCGATTATATTAGACATTTTTAAGACGGCGTTACTGACGAATGAGTTGTCGAGTCGTTATTGTTCAGTTGCAGAAGTCCCACGTGCTTGACTGGACTAAAATAGCCTCAATAGTTCAATTGTTTACACCTTGGAATAAACTCGCCTCTCGATAAAATAGTTTATTTATTTACCGGAATCCTCTCCCACAAGAGGGCACAATGTTGGACGTAGGGTATTTGGAATTGAACCGAATAAGAGTACTGTAGCGTACTGAATAGTACAACTCCTCTAATCCGCGTTCATGTGTGTTGGGGGGGGGGGGGTGCTCTATGCGGTGCATCCAATTGTCCGCGACACAACGCAATAAACACTCCTCTTCTCCTTGCAGAAGAAAACACTAATATTTTTGTAAAATCGGCAATAAGGAAATGAGGAGGGGGGGGGGATTACCCATGTGCAAATTTTGGAAATCTTCGGCGTTTGTTTAGTCACACGGCTAAAAAACACCTACGAAACGCGGACCCACGGAGGCACCGCTAATTGAATGACTTGCACATTAAAATAAAGAGTGTTACTGGGTTTCTCGAAAGCAAAGTCGATTGGTGATGCGTGTGTTTTTTTTCTGCTGATGCCACGAACAATATATATTTCCAAGTACAACAACAGGCTTATACGAATAGCACAGTGAGTGAACTTCCTGCTTTAAACACCCACGCATGAAACACATTCACCATTAACGACGCTGTTTGTCCAGCACAGATATTTCTCAATAAAAGTACGCCCTAAAACGTTGACGTGAGGTTTCAAAAACAAAAACCCCCACTTACTGACGAAGTGACGGAAGTACACTTATATTATTTATTTTGTCTATTGAGACGTGTCCAAACTCGAGATAATTGCACGGTGTTCAATGTGCACACTTTAAAAAGCTTCGAGCTTTAAGCAGGAGATGCTCACTGCCTAAATGTGTTGTGTAGGAAATAAATTGAACTTTTTTTATTGATCTGTTGGATACATTTGTTAACAATGGTGCGCTCTCTGCCGGACAATGATGTGTTAAGTCAAGGCTCTCGATACCCTGTGGACATTAAAGATCCCGTGACTCGCTTCGAGAAGAGCATGAGGCACTGTCGCCGGTGATATCCCACAGAAGGTCACTTCCATTGGTGATGGAGCCAAATACCCATCCGTGGATAGTTCATACAGTTACAAAGAAATCCCCTGTGAACAGTGGATAACTAATACAGTTACAAAGAAATCCCCTGTGAGCAGTGGATAACACATTTCTGCGGAGGGAGCTGGTAGGAACGTTGGGTTGCTCGGTCAATGGCCAGGCTCAACGGCGGCGTGGTGTATTCCGCAAATATGGCCGACTGTGAGGGCGGGCACAAGCCGGCGTGAGTAGGTTAAACGTTGAGTTTTATAAGGGCACCACGGGGTGACCAGCCCCTCCCCACCCAGCCCCACCCCTCCCACCCCCCACCCAGCCCCACCCCTCCCACCCCCCACCCAGCCCCACCCTTCCCAACCAGCCCCTCCCCACCCTCCCCTCCCCACCCAGCCCCTCCCTGCACGACGGACGGACGGACGGACACAATATTCCCCTGTGGGCTGGTGTAACCAGGAGGTTCCTACCAGTATTGCTGTAAATGAACTGTTGGAATAGATTCACAATGGGTGTGTAAAAAAGCGCATTGTCCATCCTGCGGCAGTGAAATTACAGCATGAGACACAGAACATGGCAAATGTTAATGAGAATTAAAGTTTAACTTTCTGTTTACACAGCAAGCTTCGTAAAATATATTCAACAACCAATGTTTTCACCTTGTATCATCAGCCTGCATTTTTCTTGTTGTGCCATGGATTCGTTCAAGCATACTTTTACTGTGAATTCTGTGTTCATTAAATATCTTATTTTTGGCTGAACATGCATCATTGGCTTTAATATGCGTTGTTCATTATTTGTTCAATTCTGCGCTGACTGTTTGTTTATTTCAAGAAACATGTCTCAGTGACTTGTTACCGGATCATAACGTTTAAACATTAACCTACTGATTGCGTTCACAGGACTGAGTAAACCAATGTCGTGTTTTGGTCCCCTCAATAAATGAGTGATAAACGAAACACTTACATTTTATCAGGTAAAGCACACTCAGCTATTAGCTATTTTTCAGAGGCGACTTGACCACACATAGCTCAACGTCGTGGCTGATATGATCATCGCATGTGGAAATTCATAGTATCTTCAGCGGGCGTCTGGAACTCTCTTCCTTCCGATATTAGGAAGCCACTGGAGCTTTGCACTTTTAAATCTTAATTGTAAACTCATTCCTTAAGAACTCCTTTTTGTGTTTAGTTTGTTGTCCTTCCCCCGCACCTCCGATGAGTACGGTTGGCTACGTACGGTGCGAAAGGAGTTCAACATACGTACGTGCATCAACACGTGCCCAAACGTGGAGGGAAACACTTGAGAAAATTCCACGGGGAGAGAGAACACGCAAACTACAAATATACAACAGGCATCGTCAGGGTCGGGATTGAAGTCACGACATCCTGCTTATCATGCGAGGGAGATCAGAACGAATAACCGTGCGGACGTGTTTTTTCCTTTCAGGGATGATAACCCTCCTTTCCGTGAAAACTCCGACTGAACTCACCGTCATCACGGGCAGTGACTTGGAAATTCCGTGTCAGTGGAATGTCCCTCAAGGAGACGGAAAGTCAAGTGACAGTGACGTCATTCTGCAGTGGTTCATTGTACGTGACCTGCCTCTTTGTATGACTTCTTAAAATTTATGTCTCTTTCATATCATGTCATTTTATTTAAAAATTATTTTTGTGTTTAGTTTGTTGTCCTTCCCCTGCACCTCCGATTAGCATTTGTTGGCTACGTACGGTTTAAAATAAGTTCTACGTGTGTACATACTTTCCTTTTCGAACAAAATGCATGAATCATCTTATCGTGGTTTATTTAGCGTGGGGAGGGCGCCTCAAGGGCCTGAAAACTGACCCAGAACGACTGAAGTCTTGGGATATCTGTAAAAAAGAGCTTTATAGCTCATCGGATTTCTCCAGTTTAATTAATAATCTGATTCTGGGTTTGAATCTGGTTAAACCAGGTTCTCAAGTGTAGCAAGTCATTTGTCTCAGCCCCGTCAATAATGGCTGCGTACAAAAAAACACACGCACACATTAGATTTGTTTTTACTTGATTCAATATATTTTGAGCTCTGGGTCTGACAACAGTTAGGGTTTAATCACCATACCATTTAGACCAGGGCAAGTAAGAAGGTGCGTCACCTAGTGTGGATAGTGGCAAGTGACTGGATCTCAGAAGTAGTGCTATGGGATCTAGTTCCACAGATCGTTCTCTCGACACTGCCGTGCACTGCTTAGCCAACATTTAGAATGAATACACTGTCTTATGAAATGTCGCAGATATAACATTCGCAATGTAATAGATTTGCTTTAATGTGTATCTACCATCCATTGGTATCTTCATCTATCTGAGCTATCAGATCCGCCCGTGATGATGATTATTATAATAATGATAATAATTTGTTATCAATAATAGCACCCGTAATTGCCCGGAGTGTCTCAGAGAGGGCTTTACTCGCGACAAAACAACTTACGCGGCATCCCGTCCCAACACATTTGAAAGGGCACCCACACTCCCTCGCCAGTAAGCGAGCATTCGTTTGCCAGTAGCGAGCAACGATCGCTGTCCTCTGCGTAATCCCAACACACGTTTAAAAAAAAACGACTTTAACAAAAAAAACCCATCTAAGCATGTCGATGTTCACCGCTGCAACTCGCACCCGTTGCCGCACGGCCCCCGCAGGAAACGGACAAAGGCGAGAGGCGGCGGGTGTTCTACAAGAAAGGCCGCCTGCAGGTGCGAGAGAAGCCGGAGGGGTACGCGCGAGAGATGCTCGTGGGGGAAGACTTCACGATGCTCCTGAAGAACGTCACGCGGCAGGACAGCAGGGGCTACATCTGCCAGGTGACGGCGGGAGCCGGTGGCACCGAGGACAGCACCGCGCGCGTCACGGTGCGAGGTGAGTGATTCCCCCGTGAAGCCAGAAACATGTGCCGGCAACGAGGGGCCCTCGATATCTTCCTCCTCCTCCGCTGTCGACCTCCGCTCGCCGTGGGATGGTCGCTTCTCGACCGCTGCCCTCCCTCTCGCGGCTCTGGCTATTTCCCTTCCCCCCCCCCCCCCACTGGGCATACTTCACCATGCTGGTCATTGCAGGTTGGGGAAGGGAACACGGTTTGACCCGCATCACGCTGAGCACGTGTGTCCGTGTTCAGTCCAGATTCCAGGTCAATAAGGGCTCCTTTTAACGTATTTGCCCGCATCAAAGCAGTCGATAATCGCTGTGATGTACACGTGGTTTTGTATTGACACTTGACATTGTAAAAGCTGATGTCAGGAGGTCCATTGTTGTTAGGTTAGCGAAGCTGTTGGGGTCAGAGCAAGCGATCAAAAGCATTCATCCGAGTGTGTTGAAGTTAGCAGGCCTTGGCACTGACGTTTCGTGTAAACTCCTGCTGATGTGAGAAATCGCGCTGCACACTCCCTACCAGTAGCCCTGTCCATAATAAACACCAGCCCTCTTTCCCTTGCAAGCCAGTTTTGATGGGGCTCAGCAGTAATTGTTAGCAGCATGCGCGTGCCTGTAATTGTGCATACTTTGGTGTCCTCCCACATCTCCGATTAACACGCTTGGGTACGTGTGGTGCGAAATAAATTCAGTGTACATACATAATCTTGAAACCTGCAGTCGTAATAATACATTACTGCAGTTTTCCGCATTTCCCCGACATGCAAGAATAACGACGAAGGAATTGGGGAAGTGTGTTATGAAAGCGGAACCGTTTTAAAAACTGGGAGTCATGAGATTGGTAGTTTTCTGAACTCATACAAAACGCATCGGCAACAGAAACCATATTTGAAAAAAACTAAATGAGAAAGTAAATTTTTGTACAATTTTTTTTTTATTAATGGTTTGTGTTTTGTTGAAATGCCATCATTGTTTTGATATGCAAAATAAGATGCTGTAAATTAATTGTGTCGTCTTCAAAACAAATGGATATATTGCAGCATGTGCAAATTAATATAAACAGATGCCACTGCTTCTTCATCAGTATGGCATTGCTAAATGCAGTCTACAGGGCTTCATTACTCAACTTACTCGATCATGATTATTTTTTAAACTGTCCCAAAGACGTAATGAAAAAAAAAGTGATGTCCTGCTCAAACGAGCATTGAGGCAGTGCTCGTCTCCTGCGTAAATCCCGGCACCAGTGATAGAAATTCTACATTCCTATGGTGTGGCTGAGTCTCTCCGTCGGCCAACAACTGATGATTCCCCCATTAATTGTTCATCATCTCACGAACCGCAGAGCGATTGGTGGACTGAGTCCGCCTACAACCAGGATTTGAATAAAAGAAAACTTCCCATTGCGTGCCCACACTCTACGGCTGAGATAACCTGGGTGGATAAAAAAATATATATAATGATGCCGCGCTATAAGATTACTCGTAAAACGATGATGATAATAATAACAGTGCTTTTCTTTCTGCTTTAGACGTGGTCCCTCCAGAGACTGAATTTCCCGACAAGTCTGTCGTTATAACACAAGAAACTTATGCGGAGGTAAGTAATTTGGTGGCTCTTCGACAACCCGCACTTATCAGTGCAGGGAAGTACGATATACAGCGTGGTAGAATAACCCCACCACCCACAAGTCTGGTAATGCCCTCATCCATCAGTGCATTGGTCAAGGGGCTGACGTGGACAAGACAGTGGCTTGTAATTATAACGATGAACTTAAAACCTAAATCGTAATAGATTACAGCCAGGAGTCAATGCACTACTGAATAAAAGCCTACCCATTTTGAGTCAGTCATGGGGACTCTTTGACCATACTTCACCAAAGCGGTCAGTATGGGTTGGGGAATGGAGGCAGGGTGGAGGAGCACGTGACTATTTCAGAGACTGTATATGGCAAATAAGACTGCCCTGGTCTCATGAGTTGTCGCCTGATTGTGAATAACTAAGGCTTAATGCTCACCACTGATGTTATCTGTGGCTGGGAATTGAACTTAGGTCTTTGGAGTTCATTGCAACCAATGCTAGCGAATATTATTTTGAAGTGCGCATCTTTCCGCATAACGCTCTCGTCACTTCTTGCAGGTCGGTGTGTGCATCGCGAGGAATGGATATCCACAGCCCAAGATCACGTGGCACAGAGGCAATGAGTCTGTGGTCACTTCAACCGGTACGTTACTCCATCCACGCGCGTTTGTCTTCTGCAATGGTGATGTCTTGTGCCCAAAGCGAAGTGATATGTTCCGAAAATGAAATGTTTGTTCCAGTGGTTATTGATCGCTGAAATTGCCAATTGGTGGATCAAAGGTGGCTCATATTTGTCTAAAGAAGTACACTACTAAACTTCCATATGTATGTATGTATGTTGGACTTCTTTGGCACCGTACGTAGCCAACCGTGCTAATGGGAGGTGCGGCGGAAGGACTAAAAGTAGTTCGAAAGAAATAATGTGATAACTATGTATATTTACTCATCATAACCTCTCACAGCACAGATTCGATATCGCTGAGGTCCAGACAGAAATAATTATTCCAACACCGTTACCATGTTATTGGTTCTTTCGGTAAAGTCACGTAGAATGGAAGTAATAAAATAATAAAAATAAAACATAATAAAATAATTCTCACGACGTTTCGGCCAAAACGCAAGCAGCCGTCCTCAGGTGGAGAACAGGTCTGTCGAGGAGACAGCATCTGTTCAATTCAAACGTTGCTTTTCACTTAATTCAACATACCTCCTCCACCTCTACCCCTCCAGACTTCATCGTTCAGGAGACGGTCACCGAGTACGCCGGCGACCTCTACACGGTCACCTCGAGGATGTTGTACCGGCAGCGTTCCTTCACCAACGCCACCTTCCACTGCCAGGTTCACCACGGCTCGCCGGCTCGGCCGAGCACCGTCGCCTCGGGCAGAATAACCGCAGTGCACGAGGGTGAGTAAGCAGCTCAGCGGGCTGGCTGCGTCGCAGCATGCGGCGTGAATATTCAATTTGCCGCCAGCACGAGACACTGGGCCAGTGAGCACACCGGTTTCGTCTGGCCACGGTTGGCCAATTGAACCTTATGGCGGTACCCCCTGGGGTATCCATAGTACCATAGTGCCCCAGGCTCTCGCATAATGTCCGTGATGCAGTCATTTTGAGTCTGTTGATGGTCGGCGATGCGGCAATCGACTTCATCTCGACGAGCTGTACACGATGGACTATTTAAAGTTGAATTTTTAGATAATGGATTTTTTTATGCCAATGTTTGGCGTTTCGACATTGCGGAGTAGCACTGATTTCGGATTGATTGGTACCCCTGGAAAAAAAATATTGTCCCAGACAGAAAATATTTAATTCCATCGGCCAGTTTGTATTATTTGGTACCACAGGGTCCCGTCATAAGGATCACTTATTTGGCGGCTGAATTACCCACCCACACAAGCCATCTGCTGTATATATATATATTTCTTAAGTGGGTGCATAAATGTATATCCGCTTCGACAAAGCGTCTGTGAATTACCCATTAATGTTTTGGGGGTGGTAGGGGGGGTTTGATAAAATGAGTACCACATGGAATGCAGAGACTGCACCACTTTGGTGGGACATCAAGAGAGGTTGTTTTTCTACTGTATCCCAGGCATAAGAATGTTGACCACTCCTTTGAAACTTGCTTGGACAGGACTGTTTGAACACGTGGCACTTTGAGTCAAATGTCACCGATCAGATTGCGGACTTCGCATGCATTTTGGATAGTCAAGTACGGCACTTAAAGGTTTTAGATAACGGAGTGTAGCTTTTGTTTGTGTTAGGGCCACGGGATTCACCAGGGGGCAATATTTGGCAAGATATAAGCACTGCAGCTTGAAGCGACACTGTGGCCTGCAGCATAAGTCACCACTGTGGACGATTAATGTATCACAGTCTGAGGAGTGTCTGCCATATGTGGTATAGCATTGGCATTGTGAAAGACCCAACTTACGCGATCCCTGCGTTTGATCTTCCACGAAGCTCACGGTCCACCCTAAATCGCATCCGCACAAAGCATAGCAGATGCGGACACGTGATGCACAAATGGAAAATTAAAAACTCTCCATTGTGCGACTGCGGCCATCCAGAACAGACGTGTAACGTCGCAATGCCCCGATCCACAAACACGGAGACATCACAGCGATGATGATACACTGCTCCGCTGCTCCTGACGCGGCTGTCTGGCTTGACCAACTGAATGTGACATCTTCGTTGTTGCGCTGCGTCTACGTTGGCCATACGAAATAAGAAGGCAGTGATCTGAAATGTCCACATTTCTACGGCAGGGGCCGGTCTTTAAATGTGCAATATGTGTAATTGCCGTACGAACTCCACGCACACTCTGCGTACGTTTCATATTAAATATTTTCATAATATAGGTGATCATTTGTTTTGAAGCTTGCTGTCACGTGCTGTCATTGAGTATACCGGGGATTAAATAATACCCCTAACATGTGTGCCCCTTTTTCTTGCAGCAAAACCACAGTTTCAGAGGACACTCGTTCAAATATCCATTCCAGACGTGAAAACTGACAATATTCTTCTGTGTGAGGCCACAGCAAACCCCAGGCCTACTATAAGTTGGAATATCACGGGAACTCCTGTAAGTACACGAGTCAAAGCATTTTATTTCAAATATATATTTACCTCGATGTTATCCCTATTGCCCTGTCGGTGTCACGTCAAACCTCCATTCGGTCAGAGAACAGTCCATGCAAATGGATCTTACAGATCTACCTGAGAGACATACCTGCAATAACCACACATCTACCTTGTAGGTCTTACAGAGCTTACAGATCTACAGGTAAATGTGTGGTTATCTTACATCTTACATATCTACCTGAGAGATATACCTGCAATTAACACATTCCTGCGGAGGGAGCTGGTAGGAACATTGGGTTGCTCGGTCAATGGCCAGGGTCAACGGCGGCGTGGTGTATTCCGCAAATATGGCCGACTGTGAGGGCGGGCACAAGCCGGCGTGAGTAGGTTAAACGTTGAGTTTTATAAGGGCACCACGGGGTGACCAGCCCCTCCCCACCCAGCCCCACCCCTCCCACTCCCCACCCAGCCCCTCCCCACCCTCCCCTCTCCACCCAGCCCCACCCCTCCTATTTTTGGATGCACGACGGACGGACACAATAATCCCCTGTGGGCTGGTGTAACCAGGAGGTTCCTACCAGTACCACACATCTACCTTGTAGATCTTACAGAGCTTACAGATCTACCGGTAAATGTGTGGTTATCTTACACATCTTACAGATCTACAGATGTCACTAGCCTTAAAGCGAACTCTGGTTCATACAGTAGGGGGGCAGAATTTTCCCAGCTTGCTTTGCCACTGAGGGTAATGTTCATCGCTTTCCGGTCAATTTTTTTTAAACGTTTAAAATTTACCCAACTTAGCCAACTTAAGTGTCGAGTAAAAGTCAATACGATGGCTGTTTGTGCAGTGATTTATGACTGCGCACAGGCAGCTACCTAGATTCGAACTAAGTGGTGGTACCAGCTCAGTGCTCTGACCTCTGCGCCACCCCGGTCACCTCTTCGCCATAGTCCTGACACATTAGGGGGGGTATGCTCACGTTGTTTCCCCCCACATTGTTTTGACAACATGAGATATTCCTGATCAAATTCACTCAAAAAACCCTCATATACAGCGCACGCATGCAGTTCACGTAAGGCCACGTCCTGTGTTCTTAACTCGATATCTTGTGATGCTTCTCTGGTGAAGGGGGGATTTTTTTTACGTCAATGCGCAGCCCTGACATCATTTGTCTCTGGGACCTTTTTTTGTCAGTCTCAAAATGATGAACACAAATGAACAAGCAATATTATCAGAGCGTGTTTGTTCGCACGTTTCGGTGACGGATTGTGGACTCCTTGCAGGTGGAGCACTGGAACCGAGAGAGAAATGTGCTGAGTAGTCAACTGCAGCTGAACGTGAACGATCCGGAGAGGGTCACAGTCGTCACGTGCAGTGCGTGGAACAAACACGGGCGGGGAGAGATGACGTTCGTGGTACAGTACCGCAAAGGTGAATGCAAACGAAGCATGACTCCGTTCTGTCTCCACGCATGTATTTAAAATGTGCTTTAGTCCATCGATTAAAAATGTGCTTTAAATCGCATCTGCACAAACCGTGGCAGATGCGGATAACTGATGCACAAATGAAAAAATTAAAAGTCTCCAGTGTGCGACTGCGGTCATCCAGAGCAGACCGTACAACGTATGATGACGCAGTGCCCGATCCACAAACACGTAGGAGGCATGGCAGCGACGATGCACCACTCCGCTGCTCCTGACGCGGCTATCTGGCTTAACCACGTGAATGTGACATCGTAGTCATTGCTCTGCATCTACGTCAGCCGTACGAAAGAAAGAAACATGCCCATCCGCCTTTTGGCCTTCCAAACCAATATTATAAAGCAAAAAGGTCAAGCTTGTTATTGGCACTCGATATTAACTTTTTGACCCTTTTCGAGGCAAACACGAACACCGTACACAAACTCATTGTGCACTGCTGTGCAGCGTCATAGCTAAATTATAACAGTATAAGAAAACTCTAGACTGGCTTCGACTTGCTGGGTCTCATCAGCAGGTAATCGGGCATCTAGAGATGAGCACCTCGTCTATGGAAGGTAGCTCACTAACCCAGCTATTTACAAGCCAAAGTTCGTGAGCTGGCCGGGTGTGGTGGTGTACGCATTGCGTGTGAGGTTGATGGATCACACACAGATCACGTGTGTGAAACTCCTAACCTGCAGGGCTTTCGAGGTGGTCAGGGTTGAGTTGCTGACCTATCTGTTTGGATTTTCTCAGAAGTGATTCACTCGTGTGCGAGATCTATCTCCGAAACACCCCCATTTTCATCTCTCAATTCAAAATATTCAACGAGGAATGAACGAGGCAACTGTCTGTCGGACTCTCCTACAAAGAGGAGCCTGCAGAGTGTGTGCACTTCTCCTAAGAAGGACTATTAAGAGGTCCTATTCAGCCACGTAATTGTATGCCAGTCCCTACTTCCCTTTGCAGGACTCTATAGCCGATCTCAATAAGCCAGGAAAGCCTCGCTCTCGAGCAGTTGTTTCTCACACTTATTTGGCCGATGCAAACATTTCCGTGGACCCCCCCCCCCATCCGTCCGTCACAAAACGCATTCACTTCTCTCACTAAATACCACTCGTAAAAAATATATTCACATTACCGGAACATTAAAAAAATGGTTACGCAGCTACAAGGCTTTTTTTAAAGGGGGGAGGGTTTTTAGATCTTAGCGTTAGGGTAGTTTAATCAGGGGTAGTTTACCATTTTTTTTCATTAAATGTCATGTAAGTACAATTTTTTTTAGAAAATACCCCAAACAAAAAGTGTAATAAACATTGTCATAATTCCCGGATCGATGCTGCGTTTGCGTCGCAGCCAACGCGAACCACCCGGAGGGCCGTCGCAGGCCGCTCACCTGCGGTCCCGGGACCGCACTCTGAGTCTCGAGGACCTGTCCAGGAGGGTCCTGCTAAGCTTCACACTTTGGGGGGGAGGGGGACGTCTCGTAATTCTTGTTTGTGTCTTTTTTTTTGTCTCTTACAGATAAATTTACAAGAACGATCGAGGTGGTCGTTGGTGTGTGCGTTGCAGGCGCCATGCTTGTGTTGCTCATCATTTCAATTTTTGTCATCAAACGCTGTCAAAGGTAAACATTCAAATGTGTTCGGATATCTCTAGAATTAGCGCGGCCTGGAAGCGTATTATTAAGTAATACATCTTCCAATTACAATTCCTTATAGAGGAAACACGAATTAACTGATTACTAATCTATTTTATAATTACAATACCCCCCCTCTTCCGCCTCTGATCTCTGCACCTGATTGGGTTCGGTGGTGACGTCGTCCTACTGCTGCTCTATTTAAGGCCGGAAGCACGTGGATTGCTTCACGATTCTGGCAAATCGCCCGATCATGCTAGATGTGATTACCAGCGAAACGTCGTACTACTCAAATTGTAAATGTTGTGGATTTACTCTCCAACACACCGGTGGGCTGAAGTAGTAACTAATTGGCGTTTTGTTTACGTGACAAATCCCTCACTGATTGACTGTGTCGGGTGGTGGAGGGTTACGACACATATTCTTGGTTCTTTCGGTAAAGTCACGTAGAAGGGAAATAATAAAATAATAAAAATTCAACAATATAATCAAATTCTCACGACGTTTCGGCCACAACGCAAGCAGCCGTCCTCAGGTGACACATTTATACTTTCGCGATCTTTCCCAAAAACCTTTATTATGAATCTTTAAAATTATTTAGGCGTTTTTTTCTATATAGATGAGATAAAAATGTTAAGTCCTTTTATCAATCCACTGCTGGACGAAGGCCTCACCCCTAAATTGTGGCCACCTCTCACGATCCTGCGATGTAATATAAATACAAAGATCCCCCCTATAGCCTTCACAGGCTGTTGGGGAAAGTGCTGTTAGCGAGCACCTATGAAGGCCGGAACGGTACACGAGGGGGTGGTGTGACCAGCACACGCCCGTCCGCCTTTGTCTCCCCAGCGGCGATGTTTACACATCCCATCAGGAACTGATTTGAGGCTGGGTCAAGCTAGGGGAGGCCCAGGACCAGTTCAGATAATCGTCACTGGTGTTGGCCGTGGGTAGGAATCGAACTCTGGTCGCTGGGTTCGTAGCGCAGCGTAGCGCTATCAATCCACCAATCACCTGCACACGAACCAATTTCATCGCTCCATCTCCCCAGTTTTATTTCCTCTCGCACTGTTGTCGGTCACTCACGGTCATTGTTTGACAATACTTCACCATGCTGGTCAGTGGGGGTTGGTGAAGGTGGCGTGGGTGGTGGTAGGTGCGGTCCAGCTTTCACTTGCCAGCAATGATTGGCCATGGCAAGGAATCAAACTCAGGGCCCACCGGGGTTTAAGGCTCTGTGCGAGCCACTAACCACAAGCATTGCCTGCAATTAACCGACAATTTGTCAAGTATTTTCTTCATATGCTGGATGAGAACTGTAAAAATTCAACGTTACACTCTTTGGGTCTTTCGGTAAAGTCACGTAGATATAAAAATAACTAAATAATTAGAAATCACGACGTTACGATCGCATGATGAATTCCTGCAGTGACGAAAGCTTTAAGTCAAGATTCAACGTGATGTTTTTCAACGTTGCATATACTATTGTAGCCGACAAATGGCACTTGTGCAAGAGTACACACACCGAGGAGATGGAGCGATTTAATCAGTCTGTGTACAGGCGCTAGCTGGATTATATTACACCGTATGTATGTTGTATGTCTGTATGTTGAACTTATTTCGTAGCCAACCGTGGTCATCGGAGGTGCGTGAGAGGTGGTGATGGTGGTGGCGGCTTGGGGAGGCCTTCATCCAGCAGTGAATTGAGCATGGCTCATGATGAATGCAGTACACTGCAGGTGTGCGCAATCAAAGCAATGACATGCCTAATCACTGCACTGTCCGCTGGTTTTTTCAAACAGAAATAAGGAGAAACCTGGAGAAGCGGAAAAATCACTAAATCCACTTCACAAAGGCTCGGTAAGTGCGGCTGTCATTGCATCCAACTCGCAGGGTTGTGTTTTCCCCACTTTTAAATTTGAAGAATGTGAAAGTGTACATGTGGAAGCATAGAAGCACAGTTCAGCAAAGGATCTTGATGCACTGCCTTCCTCTGCCTGCAACTATATACCGAACGCAACCCCAATGACAACATTTTATTATGCGTGAGGGTCGCCCATCCAAACATTATCCAGGCTCAGACCTGCTCGGCTTCTGATGTCTCATGAGATTGGGCAGGTTACGGGTGATTATTTCATAAACGTTTTCATCTCACGCTTGTCACATTTATTTTTTAACGAAGTAGCAGACGACCATGATTGCGACGACGGTGCTGAAATTCGGAAATATAACTCAGGATGATAATGATTTTTACACTGGTATTTTTTGTTTGTCTTTCTTTTCCTGTAGGAATGCTGTTAATCTTAGCTGGCTGTCACAGTGAGAAGACTACAACAATATGCTGCCAAACCCATGGATGATGACTGACTTTCGTGAGCTTTCGTCACATATGTCGCGCTATGCTGTTACTTTTGAAGATTTTTGTTGTGTGCACACAACCCTTTTTTTACGAGGTATCATTTCAAAGAGCACTTTAATATGTTAGGACTGTACTTGTGTGTATATATGTTTACAGCATCAATATAAACCAAACTATAATTGCACCGCCGTATAGGTGAGGTTACGCGATGCTGTCGTGGTGTAACGGTCAGCGCACCGGGCTTGCAATCCAGAGATCACCTGTTATGTTCGATCTCCCAGCGTGGCAACTGAAACAACGAGGCAATGTCTCTTAAATTCCCCCCTCCCCACGCACCTCCTCTGTCCACCAAGCACTATAGATGGGTACAGCCAATGGGGTAAGTTGCGAGTAACTGCAATCCCATATTTTCAAGATGTCTGAGCGCACGTGGAAAAGTTAGCCAAGATACATTCGATAGAGGGGTGTTCTCTCGATTTAGACCTCCCTCTCGTGGAGTCTCGTCTGCCAGCATGGGCTCGAGCGAGTAACTGCAGGGCTGCGCCTTTATACGCGTGTCCGACTTGTAAGGGTTGGAGTTTGGGTTGGATTGAACACACAGGAGTAGATGAAGAAATTATTATTTCTTTTTTTTACACAAATAATCTTAATGGGCACAATATGTTTATACTTACTGTATACCGATCATGTAAAATGCAAAGCTGTACTGTACTAGTATACGCCTAAAACATTTTAACACCTGATATTACCGTTCGCTGACCTGTGGTCAATGTGTTAGAATAGTGGCTTGTTTAGGTTGTGCAGTATTAAACAATTGCAGTGCAACGTCGCATATCCGACCGTCATATATCCACCCCGACCACCCACATCCAGTGCGGCGACGCACTGTGGATCGTGTCACTCTTAATTCAGAGGCTTTCTTTCACTTCATGCGATTCCCTGTACATGTTGTTCTATGTCCTTTCAAGTCACCCATACGGGTGACTATTGCGTGGACTGCGTGCACTCAACGTGGTTCGGGGCTGGCCGCTCGCCTAGTGCGGTGCATTGTGGGCTGAGGTCAACTGCCCCCGATTGGGTTTTTTGTTTAATTTTGGAACGCATCGACCGCGTAGGGCAAGGGAAATCCTGTTGCACGTTCGCAATCTCGCGTGCATTCACTTTCTCAAGTGCGGCCGAGTTTGTTTTGCTGACGTTTCAAGCAGTCGTTAAGTCTCTCCTGCCGGGCAACGTATGTGTGCAAGCAGTCATTCCCTATCGATGTTCACGTATGCGGTCCAGACCACGAGCTCAAACTCACTGCATGTTTTGTGTCCTTTTTGCTCGTTAGACCACCGACTAGACCGGTTTAGGCCCCATCGGTGCAACACAGTCCTCAATAGGCCACCACTACCATTTGCCTCTGTGTGTTGCCAACACGCGGAAAGGACTTTCAACTTTTCACGATTGTGACCCCCTCTTCTTGGTTCTTTCGGTAAAGTCACGTAGAAGGGAATAATGAATGAGCTCATTCAGACGCTGTCTTTCCGACAGACCTGTTCTTCACCTGAGGACGGCTGCTTGCGTTGTGGCCGAAACGTCGTGATAATTATTTTATTATGTTTTATTTTTATTATTTTATTATTTCCATTCTACGTGACTTTACCGAAAGAACCAAGAAGATGAATCCCTGCAGTCACGAAAGCTTTAAATCAAAGATTGTGACCCCTTCAGCACCTGCCCACATGTGTAAATTACGGGGAAAGCCCATCACAACAGAAGCATGAATGCAGGCTGGAGACACGTGTTTAACAACACACAAAGGTGTGAACCATTGTGTGTACAAAAGCTCTCCTCCTTATCTCCTTCAAGAATGTAACTTTTTTTCACAAAGCCACTGTGAGTCGGATATGCGATGTAATAACAGCAGTTATAGAACATTTAGCTTCAAATCTAGAACATTTGTTTCTTCAGTTTCAGTATTCTCGTGGAGTTCTTTCTTTCAATGCAATCTGTGATGTGTTTTTTTAATTGCAATGTACATTATTGACGTGATACGTGCTGAATTAATAAAATAACAGATCTTTTTCGTCATGCGTGTGCCTGATTGAGAGTGCAACGCGATACACGGGGTACGTGCCTGCATTAGCAGACACCCACCAGCAGGGTGTGATGTGTGGGCCACCAAGGTTCCCCAGACCCCAAGAGGGGGGCTGGGGGAAGATTCCACGTCCTTCTGGAACTCTCTGGAAGGGAGGCGGGCCCAGGGGCGTGGCCAGGGGCGTGGGGACCCTGGCAGCTGTATAAAACCCGGAACCCTGACCCGGGTTCGGCAGTGTTCCTCAAGCCGAAGACTGAAGACCGGGCTTAGAGTAGGACCCTGGGTACCCCCAGACCCAACGTCCTTGTAAGAGCCGGGACTGAGTGGGCCAGTGGCCGGGACCTGAGGACATTGGCTGGGTCTGGTCAGGATAGTCTCCCCTAGGCCCCCTAGCCGGAGGGCTGAGTGTCGAGTGGTCCCCTGTGTGAGGAGGCACGAAGGCCCGGAGGTCATACCTCCCCAGGTAGCGGGTGTAAGTGGCCGTTACCCCATTGTGTTAGAGATCCTGTACTGAGTTATCTCCATATATATAAAAGGCAAAATTGTGAATATGTTAGTCTGTTCAAAATGTTTAGCGTACGTCCCGATATGCAACAAACTTGAAATTTGCCATGTGGGTACTTTCCAGACTGTACACCATGCAAAAATTATGAAAATACACTTTTTTTGGGGGGGTGGGGAGGGAGCTCAATAATGCATATATTTTTTGCACGACAAGTGAGCTGTGACGTCAAATCTGTCATGTGACCCGCGCACGTGGAAGCGTAACGCATTGTCGTGTAGTGGTCAGCACGCTGCGCTACGAACCCGGCGACCCGAGTTTGATTCCCGCTCACGGCCACCACCGGTGACGATTATTTCAACCGGCCCTGGGCCTCCCCTAGGTCGACTCAGCCTCAAACGAGTAACTGGTGTGGTGTGTGAACATCGCGAATGGGGAGACAAAGGCAGCCGGGCGTGGTGGATCCAAGTCCCGGGTGAAGCCGGGTAGTACAGCTCGTTTTTTGAAAAAAAATGTTGCCTCAAGTACCGGCTCTCCCTCGTCTTTGGGCTCACTACAATAGTGACGGAACTAGGCATCAGCAAAGTAAGCAACGTTTAAGGGCCCAAGCAGCTGAAGGGGCTGCTGGAGATTTATGAAATCAAGCAAGAAAAAACATGCATATGCATGGGTTTTAGAACGTTTTTCAACATGCGTTTTTCTTCGAAAGTGTTCACAGTTTAAAGGATTGTATATTGCATAATACCTGCTATGATCACACAAAAAATGAACATTAACGAAGAAAATGGAGAGTGTGGTACAGAATATGAAAGTGTATGAACTGGCTTGTGTTAGAAGTTGGCATCATGTTCTGGGATGTGACCTAATGGATTAATGTATCTGTTGTAATAACTTTTTTGCTGTGTGTGTGCTTGTCTTTTGTTTGGCTGCCATTAATTAATTCATTTATATTTTCTGAGGGATTTCATTTGCTTGGTAGTTGATATATATTTACGATCTGGCCCTTATATAATTAGTGTACAGCGTGTTAGGCGTGCAATTAGCATGAACGACGCCGTCTAAAATGTTTTTAAAGCAGCATGCAGAGGTGCATGTCTGTAATGATGTTGCGAGACAGAGGAATGTTTCGATTAGGGAACATGCACAGGTAAATGGAATCGATCAACCTTAAGAAAAGTGAGCGGGCTCGGGCAGGCCACAAGTCACTACTATGAGGGATGATGGCCGGTGATCAACAACAACGATGGGGTGGCGACCAAGGAACGGAACGGCGCCATAAAAGGACGAGGAGATGGAGCGATGAAAGCCATTCGATTGTGAGAGGTGGTGGTTGCTTTCAGAAGATACCAGCAGTGGATTGATCCTGGTGATGATTATCGTGATGATGATGATGAAAGGAAACAGAGTTTAACACTCTTTGGAGTGAATTTTAAATATGTTGTTTTTTTCACGTGTCAGTGACAATTTTCCCATAAAATTAGTTGGGACCCATCCTTCTAAAGGATAACATACCCGGCGGAGTCCTCGTATTCAGGATGCGAGCCTCGCTCCACATCCTCTTCCTGTGGTGTATGCTTCGGGTCAAAGTGTCTCTCACACAATGGAACGCTCGGGATTGTTCTGCGTATCCTCCCGTCGTACTTATTTCTGGAGTAATATCTCAGGCCAGCCACTCGGTGAATGAGCAGTAAAAGTTACAAAAGTATGGAATCTGTGCACTCCCACTGTTGCCAGATTGAATCCCGGGCACGGCTAACATTAGTGATGGATGATCTGGCACTCTTTTAATAATTTCCTCGTGCAGCAATTGAGTAAAGTGTGGTTTTGTGAAGTTCCGTATGTGCTGTGTCAGTACATCACTGCACTTGTGTACACCAACATGCGATACTAAGTCGGGCCTGTAGGTGGCTGGCAGGGTTATTGAGTAACCTGACCAGTCACATGGTTAATGGCGACTCAGTTGAAAATTGCTGTGTGTGACACACGTGCTGTTTTACAGATTACCACAATTAACATGTTTGCCCTCGATTTGGAGCACCTACCAATATCCTTCATTTCGAGTGTGCAACAGTGATATCTGCTTCGTATGTATGTATGTATGTTTAACTTCTTTCGCACCGTGCGGAGCCAACCTCCCTCACCAACGCCACACCGGTCAAGAGGGATTGGGCCTCCTCGCTCTGCCAACTCGGCTCTTAGCCTGCATCATGAGTGGAGCATGAGGCCCCGGTAACTGCACGAGTCAGGACTTCAGCAAAACAACTGGAAACAGAGGCCAGGCACATGCTGTGAAGAAGGACCTTTGCCCAAAACATATTAATCATCTTGTTTATTTTAAGCCAGCGTTATTGACGAATGTGTTGTGTTTTGTTTTTGTTATTTGTGCATGTACACCACTGTCAAAGCAGCATCAAAAATGTTTTTCTTTAATGAGAAAATAAGCTTCTGGCTTTATGAATACAGGTACATGGGGAGGCTATTAAGAATGTATTGGCAGGTGAAGTTTGGAATAGAGTGTGAAGACAGCATTGCAGATGTAACTGTGTTCATGACGGGTCATCACGACACGCCATTGAGTCAACATCAGCAACAGCAACACCGTTACAAAAGCCGTTCCCATGTCTGCACCGTCGCTCAAGGGCCTGTAATGCTACGGTGGTGTCAACGATTTAGAGACAGAGTTTCTAGGAGGCGCTTTCTTTATTAACATCTTCCACAGTCTCGTCCGCACACTCCCCACAGTAGCTCGGCCTAGCCTGTACATTCACTAGCCGTCTAACACTGACGGCGCTGACTGAGATAGCAAACTGCTATCCTTCGTAGCGCAATATCTAGCGGAGACGTTTAGCAATGACGGCGATGAGACGACAGCCCTGTGAGCCATGAGGCTCTTGACTCGGGTGCAACCGCAACGACGAGACGAGTCCATTCCAAGAACCGGCAGCCCTGAGCCCCCCGCTCTCAGCTCCTTTTATGCTCCCAGCGCGGCCTGGCTCTGCTCCGACCACGCCTCCAATCTCGAACCCGCCAGCAGGTTCCAGGGGCCTCCAGATGGGATCCTCCGTGACCCTATCCTAGTTCCTCCTCTCTGCCAACACACCGTGCTCACGCTCACCGCCGTGTGTCCTGTCTGTCCAACACAGTTGCCACTGCTGTCCACCAGCCAGCGCTATTACACTACACTACAATTAATTATAGCAATAATGTCAACTTGTGACGTGCATTCGCTCACTCTGGTAGAGACAGCACGACTCAGGTGGGCGATTAATCGCAGACAAGCGGGAAAGCAGCCGCGCAATTAGCCGGCGCTAACAATTGCCCAAGCCCTGTGGTCCTCTCTAAATTGAGGTGTTATCAGCCAATTAATGAGCGTTTCTATGTGGGAGGAAACCGGAGCACTTGAAGAAAACCGACGCATGTGAGGGGGAGAACACTCTACCCCGTACAGACGGAAAAGACGGGGCCCACATTTTGCTATAACGCCTTCCCAAAATCCAGGGTAAAGGACCTCGACGCTCACGGGAAGTTTCGCAACATCTGCACGATCCACCACCCACTATCGCCTCCACAGTGCTGGATTAAAGGCGTGTGTAGCCACCACCGCCCGGCTAAATTTATTTAATCCACGGGGTCGGCAACCTACGGCTCCAGGAGCCGCGCTTTTCTTAAGGACTGTTCCGCGAGACGTTATTCATCAAGGACCACCACCTCGTATTCACGTGCGTTGCGGCTCTTGAAATATTTATCTTTACCGAGTTCGAATTTTTTTCTCTACCTGTTATTTTGGTTGCCGACCCCTGAGCTAATCCAAGCACTCGAAGCTAATGTCATCTCTCCACTCTGCTCTCACTACTACAATACATTATCAGTGGGTTCCCCAGCCATTTTTATTCTGTTGTGTTATTGCCCCTCCGCCAATCTCCAGCAGCTATTTTGTTTGTGCTGCATATCACTTTTACGCAGCTCCATGATTCGATCCGCGGGTCCATGATCCTTTCGGCAACTCCACGATGCAAATGCTCCGCAGAGGTCACATTTCAAAGAGAAGCGGACAGGCTCTTAGGAATGTGCAACACTTAAAACAACAACAACAAAACCTCCATGAAAATCAGAGTAAAATTATAATGATGATAATCTACTGACACTACCGACGTGGAAAGCAGCCGATGAGTGAGAGGAATTGAAAACCATGGGTAATCCACCTCTCCGGGGGTGTTTGCAAATGATTGGAAGGTGGATTTTTTTCCAATTTAAGAAGGTCCTACGTGAGCAACAAAGTGCGGGCACTGGGAACCACCCCAATTGATCCTGAAATCAAGAGAGGAAATAAAAGGCCCAGGCCATGAGTTTTTTAAACTCTCCTTTTATAGATGGCCGAGGCAAATTAAATACTTTTTACAAATATGTACTATACGTGTGGATATTATCGTATTGTGTACAGGACCCTGAAAGAGTGTACTGTTCTAATTACTTCTGTCTAATCAAATGCAATCACTCGCCAGAACCCACCGCGTATGTTTCTTTTTAGTTTGCTAATTGTGTGATGTGTCCGGCATTATGGAGTGCATTTGTGTTTCCGTAAAGTCGAGAAAGAATAGAGGAACACATTTATAGAAGCAGTTCGTGGTTACGAAAATTGAAAACACCGCGTGGTTTGGAGGAAAAAACAACCATAGTACCGAACGTCAAAACACTTCCTTATCTGCTCTGTCCCCCTGCACTGACTCGACTTGGGAATTCTCCAATTGTGTGGTGCTCATATCCTGCTTACGGCCTCAGCCACTGGTGGAAATTCCACGGTCCTATGGCGGGGGCGAGTCTTATATGTAGCACAGAAACCGTTTGACTTCCCCCACGAAGTGGTACTTATTTTATCAACCCCAGAGAAATTATGGGTAAAGTCAAAGTTTTATAACCCTGTTGAATTCAAAACTATTATTTTAAAAAGTAATACTTCTGTTTGTTGCTGGTAGTTTGGCGTTTTTAGCCTGTGCTCAACACCTGTTATTTTTTGTTAAAGATAACCTAACACGCTATTACTGCTATAATAATAATATTGTCACTCGCACTGCATTCATTACCACGTCCCAGTGTATTATTGTTTTTTTTTATCTGGATTTCAATTAACCACGTCCATATTCGCCGATATGACAGTGCGGCATTCGTTATTAGTTTGTGTTTCTGGTAACACGAACACACGAAACAGCTGCTGCCGCGAGAAGGCTCCCATCTACTACTTACAAGTCTGTGGGCCACACAGTAAACCTCTGGAATCTACACTCCTTCAACGGAAGAGGAATATCAAAACCACCAACTCTCTGCTGAAGCCCTCTCGTTGGCCACCGGATCTCAACATTGGCGTTCAGCTGTACGGCATGTGTGCACAGTATGTTGAACTTCTTTCGCACCGTACGTAGCCGACCGTGATAATCGCAGCTCCTGAACTTCGTGCCATAACTGTTGCTTTTCTTATTTGACCCTTTTTTTTACGTCATTCTGGCACGCGTTTTGAAGTTACATGAAATCGAAAGCATTTCTAAAAAGGAAAGGGGATGTATGGACTGGCGTTTGTGCTCTGTGCCTTTTTAAATAAATAGGTTTTGCGTTGTCAGCCAAGTTACATTGTTGAGTATAAATGGAAGGGACAAAAAATGCATTTCCTCTCAGCTTCTTGTAAAACATCAATCTGGGGACAGCCTCTGAGAGGAGAAAAAACGAAATGAGGGGATTTCCTGAGAGGCCTGCAGTGTGATAGTTGCCTCGCTGCACTGCTCGAAATCGTAATCAGGAAATTCCAACCTGGGGTCATTGCAGCCACCGGCACTCCAGACTGCTTCGAGACGAGCAGAAGGTCCCAGCTCTTCGTTCTGCTCATATTTTACATTCAATTTGAGAAATTGCTGCTGTGGTTTTCTTTGTTGTATATTTTAGATGAGAACAGATTTGAGCATCATCATCATCATCAAGCATGGATTTTTACGTTACCCACTGTCTTCTTCTTCTTATCGTCGTGATTTTGGGTAAGGAATATGTATTCACTGTCACATTGCTTGATGGAAAATGTCAAAACAGTTTAAAGCTCTTGATTCAATCACGTGCACGCGACTTAAAAGTATAACATAGGCTCGTTAAATTGTTTGTTCAGCTGACTTGATGAAACTTGTTGAGAGTGAGATTACGAATCAGCGTCGCACAATCAAGTCGTACAAGATGAGCTTTTGAAATGAGCTTAACGTAATATTGGTGTGAATAATCATCAGATGGGTTTTGGTAACAAATAATATTGTCACTATAACAGCTGCATTAGACAGACGATAGTGGTTACCTCTTCACAGCCCTTCATAAATCCACATCCCAGCACATGTCAGTTAGGGGGGTTGTTTTTACCATACTTCACAATGCTGGCCAATGTGGGTAGGGGCGCCCCAGTGGCGAGATGTTAACTACCTCACCTGGTGTGCAGGAGGTCGTGGGTTTGATCCTGACCCTGACGCCTGTATTTTTGGAGTTTGCATGTCCGCATGGATTTTTCGCCAGACCCTCTGGTTTTTCCCGGCACATTTAGAACCAAAGTTCGATTTCGATTTAAAGCTTTCATGACTGTAGGGATTCATCTTCTTGGTTCTTTCGGTAAAGTCACGTAGTAGGGAAGTAATAAAATAATAAAAATAAAACATAATAAAACAATTCTCACGACGTTTCGGCCACAACGCAAGCAGCCGTCTTATCGACAGACATGTTCTTCACCTGAGGACGGCTGCTTGCGTTGTGGCCGAAACGTCGTGAGAATTGTTTTATTATGTTTTATTTTAATTATTTTATTACTTCCCTACTACGTGACTTTACCGAAAGAACCAAGAAGATGAACCAAAGTTCGTTTAGAGTTTTTTGGCTGCTATACATTGAAACACACGAACAGCCACTTCGTTGAGCTGTCATTTGTGATTGCCAGGTCGTTTGTGAAAAACAGCTATATAGCGCAGTGGGCCTTAACTGGTAAATTAAAAGTTTCGTTTAATTTGTTAGTTCGGAGAAGGAAGGCAGGAAACAGGGCAGAACCATCTGAGATATGACTCGGCTTTTGATGCCAGCCTTGGGCGAGATTCGAATTCAGATCGCAGTATTCGTCTCGCACTGGTTATAAGCTGATATTCAGGGATCCCCGAGGCTAAAACAACGTGCTCTGAGACATTTAATTAATTTACGGACGTAGTATTAATGCAAGTAGATTTATTATTATTTTGGAATGATAACTTTAGGCTGGCGGCCATATGAACGTGGATCTTGCGTTATTGTGTTTCAACTTAAACTGTGTATTGTATTACATTGAACATTTACAAACTTATACTGTGTACTGTATAACATTGAACATTTACAAACTTATACTCTGTACTGTATACCATTGAACATTTATAAACTATCATACATGCAGTGTTTTTCAAAACGAGATGTGACCATATGAAATTAAGAAACACGACATTTCATATTTTTCGATTTAAAGCTTTTGTGACTGCAGGGATTCATCTTCTTGGTTCTTTCGGTAAAGACACGTAGAAGGGAAATAATAAAATAATAAAAATAAAACATAATAAAATAAAATTCTCACGACGTTTCGGCCACAACGCAGGCAGCCGTCCTCAGGTGAAGAACAGGGCTATCGGAAAGACAGTGTCCGAATGAATGAATGTCTTTCGGACAGCCCTGTTCTACGGGACTTTACCGAAAGAACCAAGAATGTTTCATATTTTGTTGTTGTTATCAGTTTGGTGGTCAAGCTATTAAATGTCAATAATTATCAATCGAACGTGAGCGCTCACACAATGCAGCCTCTTCTCCAATAACGCCGCGTGTTATTTTCACGACACAAATTGGATATAACGCGATCAAGTGAACGGAGCTACATCGCGCGAGTAGGAATAAGCGGTTGTGTAGCAGCAGCATCACCATCACCGCACAAGGCGGGATGCTGCTGGATTATTCTAGATGCTACCTACGCGCCTCAGCCTTTGTTCAGCCTGCGTACATATCTCACGTGTTATCGCGGACTGCGCTTTACCCTATATTATATATCATTTATTATAACGCGATTTTTCCATAACGCGGTGTTCTTAAGGTACTCAGCGACCGCGTTATTGGGGAGAAGAGACCGCACAGGCGTTGATAAGTGTGTGTGTGTGTGTGTGCTGTCGCGTCATGTGTTCACAGTCAGAGACGCTGTCACCTCGACCCTGAGTGTCACTGTGCCACCTCTGGTGGAAACTAAGCTGGGCAGTGACATCAAAATCCCATGCGACTGGAGACTTGCAGATGGTGAACACCTGGACCAGTCGAAAATAACCTTGACGTGGTATTGCGTGAGTACTCGCTGTACACCGAGAAGCTGCTTGCCTCTGTTTGAGCCACGCCTGGTGGCAAATTCAATTGTATGAACACTTTTGCAGATGGTAAACACAATTAAGGAGAAATTCCACTCCAACCAAAACATCATTCTTTCAGGAGTGCGGTCATATTCAACCATCAGCATCTCCTTGTGAATTTGAAGACTGATCCGCGCCTTGGCAATCGGTTGCATACAACTTTGTTGCATGCAACGGTTGCATGCAACTTGGTTTGCTTAAGGCAATGATCCATGAGGATAATTTTATGGTAATTATTGCTTAACACGTAGGCTTTCGCGACCAATATTATTCATAATCAACGTTTTTGGGTTTAGATCGCGTTATTTATAAATGTGTCGTAACCCTCCACCACCCGACACGGCCAATCAGTAAAAAAGTGTCACGTTGACAAAAGACAAAGAGTTCACTGCTTTAGCCCACCGGTGTGTTGAAGCGTGGCCAATTCGCCAGAATGGCCATTCTGGCGAATTGCCCATTCTGGCGAATTGCCCCAATGATGCTGGATGCAATTACCAGCGAAACGTCGTACTCAAATTGTAAATGTTGTGGTTTCACGCTTCAACACACCGGTGGGCTAAAGCAGTGAACTATTTGCCACCTGGCCAGTTGGTAGGAACTAGTTTCAAACAGCCGCGGAGGAATGCATCTTGAGACCCGGTGACATTTAGATAACACTCTGTACATTCGACGAACTTAGACAAATGCGTGTCATTAAACCGTGTCTGTTTTGCAAACAATAACACGTGGGTGAATGGAGATATTCTGTGGTCTTTTGCCTCTTTATAGATTGCATTTGGTCTCAATAGGTAGGTTTCGGGGTATGTGAATCATTCATCAATGGTTTTTTGTCCAAATTTGTCAGATTTTAAAATTTACCTGCATATTACTGATTTCGGATTGCACATTGCAACGTTGTCCCCCTGCTGTGAAACTTCTGCAGACTCTGTGAAACATAAGCCCCTTTGTGTCGTGGAATTTCTTGCGCTGTAAGAATGACGTGAATACCGAACGAACTACGTCATCATTATGAATTACTATCTTTCAGTTGACGAATGTCACAGCTACAAACAAAGCTTAATAATATTTGTCTGTCCTCAACAGGTGAAAGACCAGAAACCTGCAACCAGATTATGTTACAGGCAAGGCCCCATAAAATTATTTGAAAATCGCCATATTTTATCTTTTGATGTTGACAAAGATTTCACCCTCATCATCAAGAGCGTGAGGTTTGACGATGAAATGAAGTTCACCTGCAAGGTCAGTTCTGGCAAGTTTGGAATATCGGAAGCCACTGCACAGGTCAAAGTGTTTGGTAAGTGAATTTAATGTCAACTATTTTACTATTTTTATTTTACCAGGTAAGGCCCACTGAGCTAAAACGCTCTTTTTCAGAAGCGACCTGGCCACAAACGATAGCTCAACTAAGTGGCTTATGGCATGGAAATCTAGCAGCCGAATACTCTCAACGCACGTTTCTAAATGTGGAGGGAAAACCCGAAGGACCCGTAGAATAATCCACGGGACCACGGGGAGAACATGCAAGCTCCAAATATACAGACGTCAGGGTCGGGATTGAACCCAATAACTCCCGTATACCAGGCGAGGAAGTTAACAACTCGCCACTGTTATTCGTTCTAAGTTAAACAGCGGCTCTATTTAAATCCTTTATATTAAGTTCACTTGCTTACTTGCTTGCGCGCTTACGACCGTGCAAATCTTTCGGTCGTTATTTAACCCACTTCCCGTAATCCAATCGAGCTGACATTTTGCACACAGACTCATTGTGCGTGACAATTTATTTTCGTGAAAAATTTTTTCCCTAAATTTTACACTTATTAGGAATTTTTTTTAAATATTTAATTACCAATTGCTTAATGGTGGCAGGCAATCATCTGACCCATAGGTGGCAGCCATCTCAAGCCAGAGGACGAGAGGACTCTAGCCGCCACGCATATAAAGGATTTATAGTGAAAAACTTTGTTTTTACGGGTTAATTTTTTCATATTTTTGGATATCGTGACCCTCAATGGAGACAATTGGTCACTGCCCCCTCCCCCACACCCCTCTTCTTCTCCCCCCCGCCCCCAGGTTACTAAGACCATGGTACACAAATAGATCACGACTATCGTCAATGCATTGCGAACATTTGACATTTTTCCTGCAAGGTATCCATGCCGCAGCCTGTGCCCCCCCCCCCCTCCACAAAAGTCTGTCACGTGCCCCTGGATGGGGAGCAACACACGGGCTTGAGGACCATCAATGTAAAACATAACCATCATCCAAATTCTCATCATTTGAAACCCACTGATATGCAGTGTATGACATATAGATAGATTTTTTTTGTAGTGCATGTTAAAAAATAAATGTAACCCCCTATCCGGTTTCATTCTACACTTGGCTAAGGACTGATTCACTCGTTCTCAGATAAAATAATTACTTGTCCAGAGAAAGTGAACTAATCCCGCTGAAATTGTGCGCTCTCACGAGGCCCTTGTGGTTTGACGGGACATGCTTGTGTATATTTTATGCGGAGGGCCAAATATGTGAAGGAGATATGTTGTCTGCTCGTTCATTTTGTTACTTATATTCTCCAAAGTGACGCTAATGATTGATGTTGTGTCATGAAGTAGATTAACAAGACGCTAGTAGTAAGAGTGCTTCCTTACAGGAACAGATACGCTCCCTATTTCGCAACCATACTCTGGTTTTCGTCTATTTTTGACTGGCAATGCTCTCATGTGACACTTGGATGCATGAATGCCTGGTAAATTTTGCACCTTATTTGACCCTGGCCCAAAACAGCATTGTTTCCTCGAGTCCAAATGGGTTTCAGTCTGCCACTTGCCTCACCCTAGGGTTTGCTAACTCTCTGGGTTTGATCCGAACGGTCTGGGAAATTGGCACATGTCTTCCAAAGCGTAGCTGGAATTTATGTGTACCACCGAGATCTGGATATCGGTTTTGTCTTGAATTTAGTTTATTAATTTTTTATCAATTAAACAAGAGCCCGGCACAGAGCACTCGGGAAGGGGGGAGAGAGTGAGGGGGTACAGGTGCGCACGGGACAAGACAAAGGGAAGATAGTTGGGCTCACTGCTCTACTAACGTAGGGGCAATGGTTCGGGTAACGGGGTCTTTTTAAGGGAGGGGGGGTGAGGGGGGGGATTGTGTTGAACGTTATTACACTCTGTTCTGCTGTAAGGCGTGTTGTTTTCGTGACGCGAATCCCATATAACGCGATGAATGTATTGGGGAACACTTTTTTTTTATAAAGCGGATGCGAATTGGATATAACGCAGATGCAAAGTGGATATAACGAGATCGAGTGAATAGAACGACGTCGCGCGAATAGCAATAAGCGGTCGTAAGGCTGCCTCGGCGTAGCGTCGCACAAGACATTGGGATGCTGCTGGATGCTTCTAGATGCTACCCACGCGCACTCAGTCTTTGTTCAGCCTGCGGACGCATCTCACGTGTTATCGCGGACTGTGCCTTTACCCCGTATTATATATCATTCATTCTCGCGCGATTTTTCCCTAACGCGTTGTTCGTCAGGAACGCAACTACCGCGTTTTCAGAGAACGGACTCTGCTGTACACTTTTACGTGGAACAGGTGGGCAACACCTACCTCGCCACGTGACTCGCAATTGCTGTCTCCTGAATGCTCTATTCAAATCCGTGCCTTCGCGTGCAGCCGAACCAGAATTTGAACACGAGGTGTCGGACCAAGTCGTTGACCTGACGCAGCTCGAGGCCAACGACAGCGTGGAGGTAACCGCACGCGATGGCACGAAGATCCATCGCTCCCCGCGGCTTGTGACGGCACATTTTGGCCCAACGAGATGCCTGCTTCATTCAGACATCGTCAAAGTAAACTGTCTGCAGTGGATCCAAAAAAAAAATATTTTCTAGTGTGCCGTGGTATAATAAATACCTCCTCACACGTGAGCCAGACAAGGTGACACACTTTCGCCGAAGATAATTATAATAACGATGGAGGATGGTTTCCCAAAACTATTTGAGAAACAATGGCTCAATATAATTACCGGGGAATTAATTTGTCTTCTTTTGAGAACAATGACAACCTTGCAAGGCAAACAATGCAAACAATTGATGGCATGTTTCCCTTCATCGTTCTTTGCAATTTTAACAAGCCTTTTATGTTTTTTTAGGATAAGGATTTTGCATTTAAAAGGGCACTTAATTGCTCAGCAGCTCAACGTGCCCACGTCACATCTCAACCACCCCATTGCGCTGCGGCAGTCTTGCAAAGGGGCCCCCCCAGTGGCAGCTGTTCCTCTGCAGCAGCATCAGGCTGCAATGTGAAGGAGTCTGCTACGTAGTTTTCCCCAATTAAGCAAACGTGCAAGTAACGTGGCAATTTTTCGGCAAATATGAACTACAAGGCCAGAGCACATGGCTTGAAATATTTTGAGTAACGTCGCTAAATATATTTTAGGTCTACTGTAAAGTAGACGACGGGCATTCGTGTTTCACGCACCCCGATTAACCAGGGTGGCCGCGATGTTTGAACCGCAAGCCTCTGCCATAAGCAGCAAACGCGATTCCTCTCAGCCGTGCCACTGCCCTGAGCTGAGCATCATAATAAGTGAAGTCAGATTTACGTAAAGCAGCTGTAGAACTTGGTAACATTGATGGCTTTATATTGCATTATCCAAAATAGCCTACCCTGCTCCTGGACACGTTTATTGTAGTAGGTACAGTATAGCTTGTTGTAGATGTACAGTGTGTTTACATCATACCAATACTAATGCAAAGTTGTACAAATATATTTATATACGTACTTTATATTATGTGGGCACAAAGATAGATGGACACTGTAGTCTGTGATGGATGGACACAGCAAGGCCTCAAACTATGACAGCCTCACGTCGGTTCTCTGCTGTCCGCCCCCCTCGGTGTGGAACTCTCAAATCCCTTTGCACGTCCGCAGCATCAAATGCACTCTGACTTTTAAGCAACATCTAAAGGCCTCTGTATCTGTTTGGTCAGGCTTTCGAGCAGCCCTGAGTTTGGCTCCACGCCTCTCGTCTGCTAAATCTAGCGCGTTACAAAGGTCATTATTATTATTTGGAAAACTTTAACAGCTCCTCCTGCGCTTTCATTTACAGATTGGGACATGCGTTTTAAAGAATGGCCACCCCAAGCCATCATCGGTGATCTGGTACAAGAGTGAAATCCCCATTCTGCACGGTGAGGCAATTCTATTTCTGTTTTGCTTGTACTACAACCAAATAACCCAAAACCTAATCTCATATTCATTGAAGTAAACACGAGGTCGCACGTAGAAGAAGACAACCTGATGATGCAGGTAGTGGCGAATAGGAAATTGGCACTATTTGGACACGTTATGTAGGATGGACAAGAACAGGAAAATTTCAAAAGTGTGTTGTTCGGAAAAATGGAAGGAACCGGACAGCTCTGCAATGCATGTGATGACGAGACGGTGGGTTCTTAACAGAGGTGTGGACTCGAGTCATGTGACTTGGACTCGAGTCAGACTCGAGTCATGAATTTGATGACTTCAGACTCGACTTGGACTTGCATAACAATGACTTTGTCCCACCTCTGAGGTGTGGACTCGAGTCATGTGACTTGGACTCGAGTCAGACTCGAGTCATGAATTTGATGACTTCAGACTCGACTTGGACTTGCATAACAATGACTTTGTCCCACCTCTGAGGTGTGGACTCGAGTCATGTGACTTGGACTCGAGTCAGACTCGAGTCATGAATTTGATGACTTCAGACTCGACTTGGACTTGCATAACAATGACTTTGTCCCACCTCTGAGGTGTGGACTCGAGTCATGTGACTTGGACTCGAGTCAGACTCGAGTCATGAATTTGATGACTTCAGACTCGACTTGGACTTGCATAACAATGACTTTGTCCCACCTCTGAGGTGTGGACTCGAGTCATGTGACTTGGACTCGAGTCAGACTCGAGTCATGAATTTGATGACTTCAGACTCGACTTGGACTTGCATAACAATGACTTTGTCCCACCTCTGAGGTGTGGACTCGAGTCATGTGACTTGGACTCGAGTCAGACTCGAGTCATGAATTTGATGACTTCAGACTCGACTTGGACTTGCATAACAATGACTTTGTCCCACCTCTGAGGTGTGGACTCGAGTCATGTGACTTGGACTCGAGTCAGACTCGAGTCATGAATTTGATGACTTCAGACTCGACTTGGACTTGCATAACAATGACTTTGTCCCACCTCTGGTTCTTAATAACCAACGTCTCACGAAGCAGGCCTTAATGAGCCGCATGCGGCTCCGGTGCCGCAGGTTGTCGACCGCTGCCCATGGTGAACTGGGCTCCCACGGTGAACGGGACTTCCGCGGTCAGGGGTCTGCAGCCAAAGTAACAGGTCGAGCCATGTGTTTTGTTTAATTTCAAAAGCCGCGTTGCAGCCCTTAAAGAGCCACGTGGGGCTCCGGAGTTCCCGGTTTGCCAACTCCTGGTCTAGATGGAGCTCACGCGAGATCTCTAGAGCACCCTTTAGTGGTGGCCCTTCTGCAATCAGCGGTGCAGGCAAGCAATTGCAGGGCTGCACCTTCACCTTTTTTGCTGACAAAACAGATGGCGTGTGGTGATTAATTCCCGCACTCAATCGCAAGTCACCAGTATGCCACGAGTTGTGATTGTCACACTGTTAAAGTTGGACTTAATTACTTTGTAACTTTAATGCACCGCAGTCTTGTTTTCTCGTTTGTCGTTTAGAGAATATCACTGAAACCGTGACCGAGGATTCTGGCAAGTGGACCGTCCGATCTACCTTGAGATATAAACCGAGAATACACGATCATGGATCGCAGTTCTTCTGCAAGGCGTCGTACCAAATTCCTGGAGAGTCCATCTCCATGATGTCTTCCAAAGCGACTCTGATTCTGATGTGTAGGTGGCTCTGATGTGCATTCATATTCCGCGTAGATTTGCGTGTGGGCACGCTACGTGTAAATCGGCGTGCGCTCATTTACATGAGGGTACGCCGATTACACGGTTGGCTACATAACAGGGCAAAATAAGTCAAACATATATACATTCTTTTGGTGTAGTTTAGTGTGCATGGGCTTCTGGATTAAAAAAAAAAACTAAATGGTTTCTGTTGATACTGAGTTCAGCGGCTGCACTAGGCAGAAGCGAACCAAACATACGCTTTGGGCCCCAAGTAGCTCAAGGAGCCCTGGATATATGCAAAATATGGATGCAATAGATATCAGCTGAAATTGTAGTAAATATGAAATTCATATGAACGTAAAAACACAATGAATCTCTCTTTTATATCTTATCTGCATCGTAGGTCTCTCATCTTACCACACATTTTTGTTGTTGTTTACTTTCCTTTTATCTCGCTACATCTCTTATCTCTTGTCTCTATTTCTTCTGTCATCTCACAAGGAATTTGATAAGTTAGAAGGGGGGCAGCAAGAGGGGGGGTGGAATTGTTTCTGCATAGGGCCCCCTAATTGGCCAGCATCCCGACTGGCCGGATTTAAAGTCGGGGTTACTCTGACGAGTCTTGAAATATTATTGGCAAATCCTCCACTTGCAAAGTAATATAGGAGAATAGACGCCCCCAAATTAAACAAGGCAATGGTTCTCCATACTGTATTCACAGGATTATGAGACGTTCTGGAAAGTAAGACGCACTCCAAAGTATTATCCGGTGTCAATAAAGTTGTGCAAATCTGATCAAAGATCCCACGTATAGCCTTAACATACTTTTGGGGCATGTGCTGTTTGCGAGCGCTTGCGAAGGCCGGCACGGCACACGAGGGGGTGGGTGGCCAGCACCACGCCCGACCACCTTTGTCTCCCCCAGTGGCAATGTTTAATTTCCCAATCAACATTTTCCGAGACATTGACGTTGTTAAGCCAACTTAGAGTGGATATTGTTGGAGTTTGGCACTACCACAAGAGTACAAAGTACACATCCATAACGATCCTATATTTCTGTGCCCTATAGTCCTACCAACAGCTTGAGGACAAAGTAAGGCGAGATGGATGTGGCTGAGTGCGCAAAATAATTCCGGGAACATCATTCCGGACTGTTCCGGTCGAGGCCGTAGCAATGGAGTCAACATTGGGGGGGACCAAATCTTCCAGGGGGTCTAGGCCCCCCCCCCCACCGCCCAGAAAAAAAAAAATTTTTGAAAAAAATTTCCTGCCATTTCCTGCCTCAAATATTTAAAATTCACTAACACATGGGATGGACTTTTTATTCATTTTTTTTACATAATGTCTAATAGTGTATTGTATTCCATTGCTCTGTTTTTTCATTTTTTTACCTTTTCTTGTTTCATTGTATGTAATGACAGAGATTAGGGATTTATAAAGTACAACCATAACCACAATCATATGAACAGTAATCTATGCATTGTTATATGAAGACAAGTCCAGATATTGTGGCCAAGGTTTAGAATTTTTTTTTTTACATATCATAACAAAAATTGTTTAAAGCAATATATTGGGGAGGGGACATTTTGAGCATATTTTAATATTAGGGGGGATGTGTGTGTGCCCAATATATATGATAATTACAGCCTTAGTTCCGGTTGCAATACAATTGGCAGACCAAGAGCGGACAGGCTTTGGGTGTTCGGTAGTGAACTGTTCACCAGCTGAGTATTCTAGCAAAGGGACGCAAATCAAGAGGTGTGGTGGCAACCTTGATTTCAAATGCGTTTTCTCGTTTTGTTTTATCAGATCCTCCAGCGAATGTGTTCATGACAGTGGAGCCTCAACGCGGAAATGTTCAGGAGGATGGAAACGCCACGCTCACATGCAACGCCAACGCAAACCCTCCGCCCAGCTACACATTTTACAAGGTGAACTCACACGTGGTCCGAGCCACGAGCCGGCAATGCTGAGGTCATGGGTTCGAATCCAGTGATGAAACCCCGTTCCTCAAGTGTAGACGTTGTCTCAGCCTTTATCGCCATTGACTGCACGCACCAAAAAAAACATCATATTCATTTCGGTTCTGCGATTTGGCTAAATTCGGATTGTCATGCAACGTACCACACTTCATATGCAGAGCGAATAGGAAGTGCTGCCCTCTGCTGTGCATGGACTAGACATCACTTGAAGGCATCTCAGAGGATTTACACTAAACACATTTTTATTTTACCAGGTAAGGCCCACTGAGCTATATAGCTCTTTTTCAGAAGGGACCAGGCCACAAACGATAGCTCAACAACGAGGCTTTAATCACGTGGATATTTATATCAGCCAAATACTCTCAACGCATGTTTTTAAATGTGGAGGAAAATACCGGAGGGTCCCGGAGAAAAATCCACTCGACCATGTGGAGAACATTCAAACTCCACATATACAGCAGGCGTCAGGGTCGGGATCGAACCGACAACCTCCTGCATACCAGGCGAGGGAGTTAACATCTCGCCGCCACAGCGCCCAAATCTGCCTCTGTGGGCCTTCATCCACTCACTGGTGGATTGACCATTTCTGACCATAATGATCATTCCAAAAGATGTGCATTCCACAAATGTGATGCGGAAAGTTCTCAATGGGGGTCACTACTGACGATGCGCTCCCCAAATTTCACCAGGCTCACTGTTCATGAACTCTTGGAAGTGCTTGCACAAAGGATAGTAACATCTCATCCTGTGTTCTTTGGAATCTGAAAAGTGATGCTGAAGCTGCTGCTGCTGTTGTTGATACAGATGCCGGATACAACCAAGCCGATTACAAAGGGCGTGAATGGAAGTCGGCTCCACCTGGCTGGCATCACGAGGTCACAGAGTGGCAAATACAGATGCCAGGTGACATGGCGAGATAGGACCATGACCAACCTGGAACCAGGCACTGCGTCCATCACTGTGTCCTGTGAGTACTTATATTAACGGCCTTCGCTTTTCTAACTAGATCTGTTGCAGGCTGGTTAGCACTGTGGTTACACGAAATACAGTCTGGTTGGTTGGCGCTGTTGTAATGACTGGAAAATGACCCCATGCCAATGTGCAGCCTAACGGCTCTTCAAAGATTAACCAAGGTCTCCGATTGGCAGAAAGATACCTCCACAGGAATTGGTCGGGAGGCAGACTTTGGAGTGATGGAGAAAAGGGTTGGAATGAGAATAGGCGGGAAACACGAGTGGAACCCAGAGGTCAGAGGTGCCGGTTGAGATCTGTTAGAGGAAAAGGACAGGAATTGGCTCAGGGAAATGCAGTGAGGGGACAGTCGAGAAAGGGGACTGGAGCGATATAAAAGGGTAGCAGCACAAGGGGAGGGGACGTTCGAGGAATAGTGAATAAAGTGGCTCCGAGTACTTCTGTAGTGACACAGCGCCGACTGCTGTCCAGCGGCGGCAACTGCGGTGGACAGGTACCGCACATGCCGTCGAGCACATACACGGCTGTGTGCCGGCAGGGCGGAGGAACTGGGGCAAGGGTCACGGAAGACCCCATCGGGAAGCCCCTGGAACCCGCTAGTGGGTTCGAGAAGGGAGGCGCGGCCAGGGCAGAGCCAGGCCACGCCGAGTAGAATAAAAGCAGCGTAGAGCGGGAGCTCCGGGCTGCCGGCTCTGGGAGTGGACTCGTCTCGTCGTCGCTGCCGCCCTCGCGGGATCATTGCGCGGCCGGACAGTAGTTGGCTGTCTCGGTCGACGCCGTCGGTGCAACGTGGTCAGGGTTGTGTCTAAGCCGGGCTGTACGGCAACGTGGTCGAGAGAGGAGGCGATCTTGTGAGTGTTAACGGCCGAAGAGAGTTACAAATAAAGATGGAAGGTTCCTCCCGCAACTGCCTCGTCTCCGACTTGTGCTACACTACACTTCGTCGTCTGAGTCGTTACACTGTGATTGGAGCGGTCAACTCTATATTGGAAATGTGCAGTTAAAATCCCGGTTGGGTGTTGACTCAGCTAATCATGTCGATGAAGTGAATAGAAGTGAGTTCCACTTTGTGTATATTCAACTATTCAACAATTATTGACCTATGGAGAAAGAAAACACATGTACAGGCCGTTGTAAATTCACTGCTGGATGAATGCCTCCCCATGCAATGCAGATCATGGAGGTTAATTGACCACATTTCACCACGCTGGTCAGTGTGGGTTTTTGAAGGTGGGGAACAGAGACGTGTGAGCATAGAAGTACAGTACAGTAGTGGATTTGATTGCACTGCTCTCTGCTGCCTATCGTGTGACTTATAATAACCTATTTTGTGCATGGTGGTTACCCATCCAAGCACTATCCGGACTCAACTCTCCTTAGCTTCCCAGAGTTTATTAGATTGGGTACATTCTGGGTGAAATGGACACCGGTCACCCAAAATAAGAATGTGAAATTTGAAACCACAGGCTCTGGGATATTAATTTGGGTATGATTATTTTTTTCGTAGCTAAGAGGAAAACCACCATTGTTGGAGTCTTCTAAAACTTGCTGTGTGTTCGAAGTCCTCATGTTTGCACTGCTGATGTTTTTTTTTCAGACCAGCCAGTGGTCACTTTGAAAAATGAATCCACCGTTATGAATGGTTGGAAGCGTTTCTCTTGCACGGCCGTGGGACATCCCAGACCTACCATCGAGTGGAATCCCTCCAAAGAAACGGTAATGTGTGAAGTCGTCTTTTAAAATCCTTTATATTAAGTTCGCTTGCTTGCTTGCTTGCTTAGGACCGTGCAAATCTTTCGGTCGTTTTTTAACCCACTTCCCGTGATCCAATCGAGCTGACATTTTCCACACAGACTCATTGTGCGTGACAATTAATATTCGTGAAAAAATATTTCCAAAATGTTACACTTTTTAGGACAAAAATATTATATTTAATTACCAATTGCTTAATGCTGCCATGCAATCATCTGACCCATAGGTGGCAGCCATCTCAAGCCAGAGGACGAGAGGACTCTAGCCGCCACGCATATAAAGGATTTATAGGGAAAAACTTTGTTTTTACGGGTTATACTTGTTAAAATTCTTTTCGGCAGGAGTCTACTGTGGTCATGTGCACGTGTAAATCAGGGTTGCCACATGGCTGAGGCTGACCCGGAATATCCATGAATCGGCATCGGTGTGTTCGGGCAGCAGGAATCGATTGGTTCTGATACCGGTATTGTGGTGAACTTTATTCCAGTGCACTGCACAGTTTCGATAGACCTGGGCTGACTGAGAAATGTGTCTGGGCTTGACCCCTGAAAAAGATGCAACTTTCGAGTCAATTCCATATGTACTCGTTATCCCATTACTTTTTCCTTTTTAAATCAAGGCTGCTGATCACACAGGCCCAAAGTCCCAAATCACCAAGCTTTCAGCAGCGAATGGTAATGCTCAAGTGTTAAATGACAAAGAGTTAATGCATTTCTTCAATCGAGCAAGGTTACAAACTTTGGGAAAATTTATTTTGGGTGGGGAATTCCATCGCAGGACAAAAAAAGAAGAAGAGAGGAGTGTTTTTACCTGCCTTGTGGTGGTCGGACACGGTGTGGGTAGGACGAGACCTCACCAAAGGTGGCGAGATGTTAACTACCTTACCTGGTATACAGGAGGTCGCGGGTTCGATCCTGATCCTGACGCATGTATATTAGGAGTTTGCATGTTCTCCCCGTTGTCGCTTGGATTTTTCTCCAGGTCCTCCGGTTTTTTCCTCCACATTTAATAATTTATATTTATTTGTAGAATCAACGTCACACGTATAGAGTAATTGGCTGCTAGAAATGTCCACGTGACAAGCCGCTTCGTTTAGCTGTCATTTGTGGTCAGGTCACTTCTGAACAAAAGCCATCTCGCTCAGTGGGTCTTATTTGGCCAAATTAAAGCATAGTTTAGTTTGAGTTTTAGCTTAACGAGTGAAGTTAATAGGAACAGTAATCATGAAAGTAGCAATAGAAGAGTGATGAGGAGACGATGTCAGCTCGTATAAAACGTACCGGTGGTCAGATGTCAACACAAATACGCCGTAACAAATATGCACAACACTGCATTTAAATACACTGGTCAACACACGTTTCTGGCATAAGGTATTCCAACGGTCTTAAGGTAATTTTGGGGTGCTGATTCCAAATCTGGCATCAGTTTTTTTGTCTATCACATCAGGTTTTTGAGATATCAAATATTGCATTTTCAATAAAAACTGCAGAAGAAAAATATTAAATAAATTTGGATATCTACATAAAATTATATTATAAACACACTATCCTAAAAATGCAGCACCAAATATTAACACTAAAGCTGTCACTGACTCGCAACAACTTGCAATCATAAGTGACAGAGTTAATTTCGGGTAAAATCAATGAAAATGGGGTATGTCGATAGCATAAAATTAGATGTGATAGAGCAAATCCGAGACCAGATTTGGAATCGGCACCCTGAAATTAGTCTAAAACAGCTGCAAAAGTCTAGGCCAGAAAAAAAAACAAAATTTGTTGGCCAGTGATATTGAACGAATTGGGGACTGCTCTGACAGTGGTTAAACCGATTCCCTGCTGGATGACGGCCTCCCCACGTTGGTGCAATCTCTCGCGCCCCATCTCGCTTCTGCGCGTGAGCTGATCTCGATAATCCACGTCCGCGGCGCTTGTCCCCTGAGGCACGTCCCTCTCATTCGGCTGCCATTCTGTCACCGGTCTTGTCCACCGGTCGTCACCCCTCGTGCACAGTTTAGCATTTCACTGTTGTGTTTTGTTTGTCGTGCACCATTGCGTCTTCCGTGTTTGGTCTGCGATCGCTTCTTTACTGAGTAGTTATCTTAAAGACCCCTTGTCCTGGTGCCTCGAGATACTGCATGGGAGGTGCGGTATAAATGAAGCAGTACATGATGATGATGATTGCGATGATGATAAAGAGGACTCGTTAAATCGATTGCGTGAGACTGGAGGGTCATCAGAGAACCTGTGCTCTCCGCATATACAGACAACAGCTAAAGTGATCAATGAAACGACGGTCATGGATACAATCGTGATTTCGGAATCAGCAGAGAGTGCAGGAGTCACTACTTGCATCGCGAGGAACTCCATTGGGACAGCAAAAGGCCTTATCTTCCAAAAACGTAAGTCCACCATTATACTTACCTTGGCAGCATTTCCATTGTTAACACGTGATCATATTCTTGCTTTTTTCGGTAAAGTCACGTAAAAGGGAAAGAAAATTTTCTTTCTGTGGATTTCACACCTGATGATGATTTCTTGTGTTGCAGTCGAAACGTCGTGAGAATTTTTATTGTTTCATATTCATATTATTTCCCTTCTACGTGACTTTACCTAAAGAACAAAGAATATGAATCCCTGCAGTCACGAAAGCTTTAAATCAAAATTCATATGATCATGTTCTTTGCACCTATCTATGTGCCTTTACCGAAACACCCAAAGAGTATGAATTCCTGCAGTCACGAAAGCTTTAAGTCAAGATTGAATAATGTGATAATGGTGACAATTTAGAATGTGTAACACGCACAGTGTTCGTTCACTCTCAGGAAGAGAAAGGTGACGACTCAGACTGGCACTGAAAACTCACAGACAAGCGGAGAGGCAGCCAGCACTGATAACAATAATTACCCAAGCTCTGTGGACCTATATTAGGATGCTTGGCCCAACCCCATTTAACACATTCCTGCGGAGGGAGCTAGTAGGAACGTTGGGTTGCTCGGTCAATTGCCAGGGTCAATGGCGGCGTGGTGTATTCCGCAAATATGACCGACTGTGAGGGCGGGCACAAGCCGGCGTGAGTAGGTTAAACGTTTAAGGGCACCACGGGGTGACCAGCCGCTCCCCACCCAGCCCCACCCCTCCCATCCCCACCCAGCTCCACCCTTCCCACCCAGCCCCTCCCCACCCTCCCCTCCCCACCCAGCCCCTCCCCACCCTCCCTACCCAGCCCCTCCTCACCCTCCCCTCTCCACCCAGCCCCACCCCTCCCATTTTTGGATGCACGACGGACGGACAGAATAATCCCCTGTGGGCTGGTGTAACCAGGAGGTTCCAACCAGTATGAGTACAGCATTTAACATTCACATAGCTCCAGCCTTTGTTCACTTCATTTGCGTCATCTGCTGAGGACACGGACATCTCTGGCAGTTCTGGGCTTTGTCTGTAAGAATTAATTAAATTAAATTTCCGTGTATTCTCTGGGGGGTTCTCTTCCTCCAAATGCGTTATTATTTTCAGAATCAGTGGATCGTTTGTCTTGGCTGAAAGATATGTGGAAAGAAGCATCAGCTATTGCCGGGGGAGCACTCATTGTTTTGGTGGCTTCCATCATAATCGCCGTCGTCTGCTGCAAAAAATGCTCTCGGAAAAAAAGCTCGGAAGTTGCTTCAACAATGTAAGTTAATCAATAAAGTCAAAGTCTTTAGTCGGACTATACAATCCTCGCGCAGCGTTTTGTAGCGAAATGAACAAAGAATTACCGATGCACGGTTTGAACTGTGACCTTATTTTATGCACAGGTTCTGCCATATTTCATCTCTACGGTCCCTCTCTGTGCCTCCCTCGCCCTGCGCCCAGTCTCACTCACTCGTTCTTTCTCCCTTCTAACTCCCCTTCACTGGAACCAACTCCCACTGCAGCATACAGAGCAAGCATCTTCACCAGAGCCTGCTGCCGTGCCTACCTTACAATCCATCTCTTCTCCCGATATCCATCCTGCTGCTACTCTCTGCCCCCACCTTGCAGCTACGACCAGTCCTACCACAACCCCTATCACTACCCCTGTCGCTACCCCTATAACTATCACTACCCCAGCCCCTGTCACTACCCCAACTCCTACCCCAACCCCAACCACTACCCCAACCCCTATCACTACCCCTATCACTACCCCTGTCGCTACCCCTATAACTATCACTACCCCAACCCCTACCACTACCCTAGCCCCTATAACTACCCCAACCCCAACCACTACCCCAACCCCTATCACTACCCCAACCCCTATCACTACCCCAACCACTACCCCTACCCTAACCACTCCCACCTGTTCTCCTGTTACCACAACTACACCACCACTTTTATTCACTCCATTATTTAGCTCAACCACTACCCACAATCTTACGTGCAATGTTCTAATCGGTGTAAAGCACCTTGGAACAAGGCGCTATATAAATCTGTATAAGATACGATGAGATATTTTTGATAACAACAAAAAGCACACGCACACGCACGCACATAAGCGTGGCTCTTTTTTCACGCGTTTCTATTTTCCGTAGGCACGAAGTGAAACCCGAAAGCAGCAACGGCAAGGAGGCTGCTGGTAACGGCGTCGCGGTGAACATCCCTCAAGACCACGCGCACTAAACAGCGGCAAGCGTCATCGTTGGGCCTTCGATGACTCGCTCGTCGTTACAATTCAGGGGCGTTCGTCTCTTTGGAATAATTCATCATGAGTGTGGCATTGCGACGCCTAAACTAGGCCGCGTGGGTGATATAGAACTTAGACACAAAATAAACAACAATCGATGGTCAACACGCTTGATTCCACGCGTGCTTCGTGGGCGTAAGGGTCGATTTTAATCGGCGATTCGATGCTTCGTTATACACCGGATGCAATGCGTCGTCGTGGTGAAAAAAACAACCACGTTTTGCCCCAAAAATTTGAAAACCTCAATTTGATAAAACCATCACAGCAGCAGCAGCCATTACCCTCCTGCCGTGAAAACCTCGCATAGGGGTCGGCAACCGAAATAACGACAAGATACATTCATTTCTAATTCAGTAAATTAAAAAAACATAAATATTTCCACGAGTCGGTGGCCTCCTCCATAATCGACTGGCCACGAGGCAAAGTCCTCGAGGAGGCAGACCGCGTGCGGTTGCAGAGTCGAAGGCTGACGACTCCCTGACCTGGCAGGGCCCTCCTGGGGGGGAAATTAACGAACCAGTTTGAGACTCAGTGAGGCATTTCTGGGTGAACAAGCGTGCTAATAACGGCAATTGACTGCCATCAAGGTGCGCCTGACAAAAATACAAACAACATCCCCACGGCACTGAAGGAGGGCCACCTTTTCTGCTCGTATTGCTGTGACATTTGCGAGACGCAATTTGCTTGTGGTGGCCACATTCTGCAATCGTCAACGAGGTGTGGTGACACTTGGAAGGCGTCTTTTTGCTGGTGTCGCGTAAACAGAAGGTGGCCAATTCGTCACTAGTACAGCACGCCGGTGTGTTGGTCGCGAAAGCCAACGTGTCACACCGGACTTGCAATCTTGACGTCGCCGGTTCGTACGGTCTGTATGTGTGTCGGTGTTCTTCACGATATTTCAGAGTGCCGAATTATCCGAGTAGCAAAAGTAGCGACATATGTAGTAGCTACGGGCCCCGCACTTTCAAGGGCTCCGCGCTAAATGCTTTCAAGCTATCAATTTCGATTCAGTGATTCTGCACTTGCTCTATTACTATAGTACTATACCACCTGCAACTTTTATGAACGACTGGGTGTTATCGGTTAGCGATTTGTCGTATTATCTGGCTGTATAGCAAATGGAAAAATACAATTACTTTACGATGCAAGTTACATAAATGTATGTGTTTTAATATTTACGTATTTTATTTTATTTAGGGCCCGTTAATAAAAAACGCTACAGGCCTCGCACTAGCTTCATCCGCCACTGGTGGTGGATGTTGGCTTTCGCCGAAAGGCATCGAAAGTGCGAGGGCCGCCACACCATTTGAAACCATTGGGGTTTGTGACAGATCGATGATGATGACGATGGTGGTGGCGTTATGTTGTCGTGGGGAGCGGTGGTGCAGCTGTTAGCGCGCTGCCCTACGAACCTGGCAATCCGGGTTCGATTCCCGCTCACGGCCAACGCCAGTGACGATTATCTGAACAGGTCCTGGGCCTCCCCTAGGTCGACTCAGCCTCAAATTGAGTACCTGGTGCGGTGTGTAAATATCGCCATTGGGGAGACAAAGGCGGCCGGGCGTGGTGTTGGTCACCCACCCCCCTGTGCGCCGTGCCGGCCTTCATAGGTGCTCGCTAACAGCACTTGCCCCTACAGTCTGTTAAGGCTATACGGGGGATCTTTGTCCTTGGGGTGTGTTGTCACGTGTTGTGTACTGTCAGGGGCCGCACCTAAGGCCACTAGGGGCCGCACGGTGGCCTTGCAATGAAGGACTTCTTTCGCGCCGTACCTAAGCCAACCGTGCTAATCGGGGGATGTGCGGTCGATCTCCGGGCGCGGCAGTTGCAACTATGGGAACGTTTCTTGAATCCCTGCTCCCTCCCTCCCTCCCCGCCTCTCTATTTAGCCAGCAGTGTAAATGAGTACAAACCACAATCGATGGGCAGGTCGATTGTGATGGGGTAAAGTGTGGGTACCCTTATATCTTCCAAGACATCCGGTGCGTTTGTTGTGCTTCTGCCAGGAATAATTGCCATTGTAAGACTGTACATACTGTGTTCCTTATTCTATTTTTGTTGTTTTAAATTAATGTTTGCGATACTTGAGCACAATGAAATACTCAACATTGGCAGTAGGCATTTGCGTGTGTGTCTGTGCATGTGTCAGAGGTCGCAAACGGGTTTTGATTCCTTACCCGTACCCGTACCCGGCCGCATCAGGGTCGCAAATGGGTACCCGTACCCGGCCGGGTACAGGTAGCCGTATCCTACCCGTACCCTACCCGAAATGAGTGACAAACGGTGAGTCACCAGTGACTCACGGCCTACCCGTACCCGGCCGCACCAGGGTCGCAAACGGCTACCCGTACCCGTACCCGGCCGAGTACGGGTAGCCGGGTATCGGGTAGGGTACGGGTATCGGGTACCCGATTGCGACCTCTGGCATGCGACCAGATTGGTATAATTTAATTGAACAGGGCATAAGCCTGGGGTGCGTCTTACTCTCAGGAGCATAATATGTCTCATCATCATACCGGATTTGACTGCTCATGTCTTAAAATTACCATCACCGGTCTTGGGCACCAGCACCATTAACGTGAGCAGATCCACAGTATTTGCTCGTACTGCTATTCACTTAGAATTGCTTTGTTATTTTCTAAACTATTCTGCGGCTGCACCGTTGGTCGTGAGTTCACGTGGTTGTGCTGTGCAGATCTCCGATGTGCGTTTTCGGGTCGTGCCGCGCATTTGATTTGCTCGGCACGATGTCCGACGTTTCGCTGCACGTGCTGGGAGCTTCTTCAGGACGAAGCTGGGGGAGAGGCTCCCAGCACGTGGAGCGAAACGTCGGTTATCGATAATAGAGGTTAATGTGTCGTTAAACCCGCCACCGCCCAATACAGCCAGTAGTTAATAAACTTTGTGACGAAAACAAAACATGCCAATTAGTCACTACTTCAGCACAACGGTTTGTTGGAGAGTAAATCCACAATATTTACTATTCGAGTGCTACGTTCATTATATTCGGGTTTCACGACGCATTTATATTTACGCCATTATAACCCTCGAAAAAAAACAACCTTTATTACGGATAATATTGGTTCGCGAAAGCCTACGGGGCAAATATGGAGAGCAACTTTTCTACCGTTTTAATGTTTTTCGCCGGGGTATTTACGGTGGGTGTTCCAGGTATCCTGGAGTCATCACCAAACGCAACAAAAAGAGTCTTGAAAACCAATGGAGCTTGCTTGAGTAAATATTTTAATTAAGCACTGTACTTTTAGAGATAGTTTACGTCGGATTCTAGATTTGAAGCTTTCGTGATTGCAAGGATTCATACTCTTTGGTTTAAAGTCACGTAGGTAAACCAATAAATAAAATAATTTATTTTGTTTTAATGTATTTTATTTTTTGTTTTACCTACGTGACTTTACCGGAAAAAAACCAAGGAGTATGAGTATTCACATCGGATGTCTCTTCCTCCTTTGGCGATCTTTTTTTCGCTCGTAAGTGCGAAAACTTGCGACGGAGTAAACACCGTCACATTCTTATTTTGTACTGCATAATGAGCACGTGCCGTTATTTTCAACGAAGTGAATAAATATGCATCTGTCACCATATTCTCTGTCACGTCTGATTTTGTTGAAGTCTCCGTGTATCCCCTGCCCCAGCCTAATCAACAATGTTTTTGTTTGCGTCCGCGATGGGCAAGCTGAGTAGGCCCCAGGGCCCATCCCTGGTCCATATCTGTCCACACAAACCAACCACCGACATTCATTTCAAATTGGAACTTTCCATTCACACGTAAATTACCCCAGGTGGAAAGATTGATTGATTGATGGTCAAGGATAACAACGAAGAGACAGTTAAGGGATGTAATGTGTTCGAGAGGAGTTCGACTGAGGATATCGGAGTGAAGAAATCGATTCGTGTACTGATGTTATTACATCACAAGGATAGCGGAGAGGTGGCGCTGGCTTGGGCAGGTATTCATCCAGCAGCGGATTGACAATGGATGATGATGTGAAAGGCATCATCGGGTGCATCACACTGGACTCCCGAGATGGAAAATTACTGTAATATCGGGATTATAAAACATTTCTATGGCTTGATATTTGTTATGTTTCATCCCTACATTTTTATTATACTTTCAACAATATATTAAATATCCGCTCAACATGTGTCATTATTGCCAACATATCCCATAATCGTTATGCAATGAGCATAAATGTTTAATTATTGACCAAAAACTAAGAATTATCAACAAGTCACCTCCGTGCTAAACCTATGGATATTAACCAAAGTACATTGAATGATATATATGGATTAATATCATCATCATCACGATCCATGGGCATATAGCCGGTAGGTGTACACTGCACATTTCGTCAGTTGGTTTCCACTTTCCTCTCTGTCTTGTGTCAATTTGCTCAAGTCGTCGCCACATCGTTCTGGCACCAATCTCTTCTTATGTTGGCATGAAGCCATTCCCTGTTCGGGTTCTTCCTCTCTGTCCGGTCCCTTCCGTTTTTCCAAACAGCACACTTTTAATTCTCCTGTTCTTATCCATCCTACGTAACGTGTGCGAACAGTGCCAGTTTTTTAACATAAAGGGGTCCTTATTAAAAACCTTGACATATCTGGGACCACCGTTACCACCCACCGGTGGAAATTTCGAGATCCTTCCATTGTGTACCATTGCACTGTTGCCCAGAGGGCCCTGCACACCACAGGTGCACCTGCCCCGTGCCCCTCCCCTCCCCCCACTGACACGCGCTGAACGTAACAATGAATATTCATGTCGCGCGTGGCCACTCAATGCGAGCCATGTGATGTTGCGGGCTTCACGTGTCTCCTGACCGAGGGAGCGGGAAGCGGGGGGTGGAGGGTCAGTGCCTATTCAATATTCACCGTGAGCGGTGCGGGATTACTCAGGTATGGCTGCAGCGCGCGCAGCGGCAACGAGGATCATATCGCTGCTCGTCCTGCCACTATGCGTGACAGGTGTGTATGCCACTGGCGGTGATACATTCTCCGTTGTGCTGTGGAGAAGGAACCATTGCCCGAAACGTCGCCTGTGTATCTATATGTTTCTCTTTTAAAGGCACTCCGTTTGGTAAATAGGCACACAGTGGCTGTAAGTGATCGATGTTGGGTGCCACACTGAAACAACACGATCTTAGCGGTGTTGTTATGTCGTGTTGTTCATGCGCTTCGGCAGCTGGGTATTGTTGTATTGTTGTTGCCGTGGCGTGGTGTGATACTCGTACTAACACCTTTATAATAAGCCAAAGAAGATCAATGTAGACGTAAAGTACAATTATAGAACGAAAATTCTGATAATGTCCAAATCTAAAAAAAAATTTACGCTGTACGGTATTGTGATGTATTTTTTTCATAAAGGATGTTGCCTCGCTAAAAGTAAAACGCGTGTTTGTGTTAGTAGTGTATGTACTATCTATCTTGCCTCTTGTTTGACGGTGTGAACAGGCGTGCAACTTCACAATGCAAGAGCCATTGTCCGCAATGCCGCCTATTTTTTTGTTTTCATTTTGAGACCACGCAGTGCTACTGACGAATGCGTCGCTAATTGTCACCCGTGCGTTGCTGCCATCACGACAGCGGCACGGCATTAGGACACACATCAACAGCGCGGTATTTGTGTTGTTCAAATATCAAGTGCAGCACTGTATTTGATACGCAAGTACACTGTTGTCTTGAGTCGCAGTCGCCACGGTTGATGCAAGTCGGCGTCTTCACCTCAATGTGCGATGAGCAGTCGATAGGAAGTAGGCACAGTGGAGGTGAAGCGGGCCTTGAACAGGACACGAGGGATGATGAACGATGGGTCAAGAGTAATAACGGAGCGGCAGCCAAGGAATGGAACGCATTCGAGAGGACGCTCAGCGCAGAGATGGAGCAATGAAATCGGCCAGCCAGGCGGTCACATAGCCGGGTCGTGAGGGGGTGGCGACTGCTTGAGGAGGCCTTCATCCAGCAGTCAATTGACCATGGCTGAGAATGGCGAGACACGCGGTGTGTGCGTGCATCGCTGCTAGCCGCTCTTGACCTTAGTCCCTCGCTCGCTAGATAGGACACGACAGGAATTCTGTCTTTGAGTTGTGCGCCTTTTGGCGTCATCTGGTCCAACCCATGTGAGACTAGGCTCTAAGGAAAGCTGTCTTGGGTGTGGACCAATCAACTTCAAGGACAGTGCACGTTATCAGAGTTATGTTTTTTGTTTGCATTATGACTGCAGGTATTGTGGTCTATGCAAACATGACTCCTTGTAAAAAGGTGTCAGTTTTGTTGCCAGATAGAAGGGTGAAAAACCAATTATCATGAATTCTGTGTTGAGGCAATTGCCAGCAGCTTGTCACATTGTGGTGAGCGGTAGAGTACCGGCTAGCGCACTGCACTACCAACCTGAGTCACGCTCACGGCCAACACCAGTGACGATCATCTGAACCTGCCCTGGGCCTCCCTTGGGTTCGATTCAGCCTCAAATGAGAACCTGGTGCGGTGTGTAGACATCGCGCCACTCAGGAGACGAAGGCGGACTGGCTTGGTGCCGGTCATCGTGTGCCGTACCGGCCTTCGTAGGTGCTACTCGCTCACAGCACTTGCCCCAACACTCTGTCAAGGCTACACAGGGGATCGTTACCTTTGTCTATTGAGCTTCTGCCAAAGCTATGAAGGGGGGGAGAGGCGTAGGGATGGGTCTTTGACTAATACGTAGCATGGTGCTGCTGCACGTATTCCGGCAGGAGCAGCAGGGAGCCTGCAGCTGGACGTGCCAGCCACCGTGCACGTGCAGCTGGGGCAGACGCTGGAGGTGCCGTGCAAGCGGGCCGACGGCAAGGAAGCCGCATTCGAAGCCGTGCTCGAGTGGTTCTTCGTAAGCCCAGCCCAAAGACCACCAGACAAGTCCCTGCGCCGTTGGCCCAAACCAAAAAAAATATAAATATTGCCTTCTCGGTACCCAGCCACGGTGACGAATTACCGAAAGTGATTTTACCGTAGAGCTTTTTAATCGCTGGGCGGTGGTGGCTACACACGCCCCGTCAGCACCGTGGATCACACGCAGATGTTATGAAACTCTTTCTAAGCTAAACTTTCTACTCACTGGTGGACATTGCCCACTGGTGGACACTGCCCACGGTGCTTGCCACTCGCATTTGCCACACCAGGTAGTTGCCGGCCATCCCCCTTTGGCACGTGGGCAAAGATAGGTTCCACACGTACCATCCCGTGAAGCAGGGTTATTAAGTTACATTTTCCAGCAGGCCACACAGAAACATTTTGTATAATGTGTTGGTGGGCCACATGACGTCACGACATCGTGTTGTATTTAATCACGTGGGGTCGTGTACCCGTGAGCGCTAACCCAATGTGCCCCGTGCCTCCAGGTATCTCACCTCTTTGCGTATCTCTCTTTGACGCCGATCATCATCTATTTATCTCTTGGTGAAAGTGTACTGTTTATCTCGGCAGCTCACTCCAAGATGCCTTCGCTGACTGACAGTTGAAGAAGCGTCATACAGGATTTAAGAATCTTTATTGACTTTTGTTTTATCGGTTCGTGCGAAAGTGCTGGGTGGATTATTATACCGAAGGATTGTGAGAGGTGCGGTGACTTGCGGAGGCTTTCATCCAGCAGTGGATTGACCATGGCCGATGATGGTGATGATTCCCTTTCATGCAAATGTTCTTGCCATCGAACGGTCAGAATTAGTTTTTGGATTTTTAAAATTTGCATCTTCAGAATTACTTCGACTTTCTTACCACAATAATTGGCATTTCAGTATTGTTATTAATGTAGTATTTAATTAGATTCCCCTCTTAAATGTGGATGTATTGAATCCTTATCATGTTTGATCTGCCTGGTTTGGCGCAGTGTTTTAGCAGTTAGGGGTTGACTCAGCCCAGCCCTTGTTTCCCTTCTGGTAAATTAAATGAGTTGCATTTTGTAGGAAGTCAGCAGCGTCTGTTCTTACTCACGCCATAGGACTTTGGAATTTCCATCACTGGCTCAGACCCATAAACGGGAGAAACCACTTTTGGATTTTAATTTCATAATATTTGATGAGCGTGGAGGGGTGAATTAGCAGTTAGCACATTGCACTACGCACCTGGCAGACCGAGTTAAATTTATAGCCACGGTTAGCATCAGTGGTGGGCAATAAATCAACCAGTCCCGACCCATTCCGCTTGACCAACCCACACTGACCAGCCTGGTGAAGTATGGTCAAACAACCCCCATAACCGACACGGTATGGGGAGCCTTTTACGAATAATGGTTTGAATAAGCATTAAATTGATGTATTCTCGATGGTGTCCATATCTCACTCACCTCATTCGCTCTTGCATATCTGCAAATCTCCGTCCTCTGTGGCCTCCCTTTGCTTTGATATGTTTACGAGTGAATGAAAGAAAATTACGGGCATTAAAAATACATTTGCCATCTCAACCAGGGTGACCCTGTAGCCATTCCAATTGTATAATTATTTTATTTTAAGAATAATGCCTGTGTCACAGAATCACAACATAATACAATTGAGTGAGTGTTGGCAGTGCAATTGACATCCTTTATGTGAAGGCTTTTATGCACAGAGGTCGATCTTATAATCAACCGGTTCGCTTTTAGTAAAATGATCAGATGTGGTAAATGCAACTCTGTCACTCCGATCATGAGATTTACCTATGTTCCAGGCCTCACCGTTGCTGTTTCCCCTGCCATCTTCTCATACGAGTGCACCACCGCTTAGCGTTTTGTGCAAAAAGACAACCTCTATTGATTGCCCACGAATATGTTGCTGAGGCTCGTGGTTCAGTCCCCAGCAGCTCACCCTGGTTATTACTGTGGTGAGTATCAGATGGAAAGAGAGGTGCCGTCCGCTTCGCAGTGGACGTTAAAGATCCCACGGTGTCAAGCGAAACGAGTCGGCCGTTATTCGCCAGCTTCATTGTTCAAAATGTGCCGAATCTTTGTGTACGTGTAAAAAAAGTATCCGCAGATTATTTAATCTGGATTACACCGAGCAACCCATCGTCCCCTACCGGAAGCCTCCTAATGCCCACTCGCCTTGTGTCACACAGGGGGTCTGACCTTCGTGTGTGTGTGTGTGTGCATGTGAGAAGCGATGCGAGTCACTGAGCGCGTGTGAAGTGCTCCGGATCAACAACAACAAAAACAAATCTGTCCGGGCAGGCGATGTCGTTCATTTATTTTGCGCAAATCCATCCATCCATCCCTCCCTCCCTGCCGCCCACGTCCACCTTTCTCCCTGCAGGTGGACAATGCCCGCGGCCGAGTCCCCATCCTGTACCGCAGGAACAATTTCCGTCCCCCCGTGGACGCGCCTGACTACGTGGAGCGCGCGAGCCTCAAGCCCGGAACGTCGACGCTGGTGGTGGAGGGCGCGGGCCTCCGGGACGAGCGCACCTTCGTCTGCCAGATGACGGACAGCGCCGGGGAGAGGGGCGCGGGTGCCGCCAGCGTCCGAGTCTTCTGTAAGGCGTCATCCTTGAACCGTTCACTTAACGGGGCCATCATAAGGGGGGGGGGGGGGGGTTTGGGGGGGTTAGATCGCGTTAATATAAATGTGTCGTGAAACCCGCCACCATCCGACACAGCCAATCAGCGAGGTTTGTCACGTGAATGGAACGTGCCAATTCGTTGCTTGTACAGCACGCCGGTGTGTTGGAGAGAAAGCGCACGACGTTTACAATTCGAGTAGGACGCTACGTCGGTAATGACAACTAACATCATTAGGCGACAGGCAGAATTCAGGCAGCCGTTAATGCATGCATTTTCAGATTGACATAATGAATGTTGAACTTTCTTCGCACCGTACGTAGCCAGCCATGCTAAGCTGTGTGTGCGGGGGAAGGACAACAAACAACATTTAAACACACAAAAGCATTCCACTGTATGTTGATAAGTATCTGTGACTAACCCAACCGATTATAGGTACAGATTAATACGAACCATTGTAATTTATATGACTGCAATAACCCTCCTCCAGTATTCGTGCCTGATTGGTTCACAGCGATGACATCACCATTGCTCTCTGTAACACCTAAACAGGAGGACTTCTTCACAATTCTGGCAAACGCCTGATGAAGCTGGTTGAAATTGCCAGCGAAACGTCGTACTGGAATTGTACATTTTGTGGATTTACTCTCCAACACACCGGTGTGCTGATGTAGTCATTAATTAGCACGTTTTGTTTACGTGACAACCATTACTAATTGGCTGTGTCGGATGGTGGTGGGTTAACGACACCTTCATATTTACGCAGTCTAACCCGTAAAACATTTCTTATTAATTCTTATGAATCACCTCTTAGTTTGAGACGGGCTTTTTCCCACTTTCGATAAAGCAGCGTCACGGAGTCGTGGTGGTCTTATTTAAGTCTAGTCATCACTCAGGCACGATGATAGCGCCTATGGGACCATTTTGTAATTGGGCAATACTGGCTTTATGATTAAGTATGTTGCTTGATATTTGGAGATATTCAGCCAAGGTCATCCCAACCTTTTATTTGCCTTTGGGGAAGTGAGTGTGCCGGTTAACTCTTTGAGGTCCATCAAAACCTAAACTCGTTTTCATTCGACATTTTAAATGACACTTTCGACGGATTTCATTGCCGTACTTTTGACACTGCCGCAATAACAACGAGACCTGGCGCACGCTTTGCAATCCATCCGTTTGCCTCTTCTCAATGGAATGAGGAATGTTTCCTGTGGCCAACGGTGCCAGGTTTCTCCCGGGAACTGTGCCACTTCGGTTAGGAGAGGGGGCACATAAGGGTTCATCTTCGTGGTTCTTTCGGTAAAGTCACGTAGAAGGGAAATAATAAAATAATAAAAATAAAACATAAATAAATCTATTTTTTATTAAAATAAAAATATTTTTTATTTTTATTATGTTTTCTTTCTACTATTTTATTAAAATAAAAAAATATTTTTTATTAAAATAAAAAATATTTTTTCTTTTTATTATGTTTATTTTATTTTATTATTTCCCTTCTACTGTGACTTTACCGAAAGAACCACGAAGATGAATCCCTGCAGTCACGAAAGCTTTAAATCGACACATAAGGGTTGTTTGCATCCATTACAAACACAAGATAACCGTGTGTGGTCATGGTCTATTTCAGCACTTGGAGACCTGGAAATAACTGCCAACCCCGAACCGATTGCATTAAACAACAAGACAGCATTGGTAAAACACTCCTGCCCGCATCATTATTCCTGCATCGTTCCTTATCAATAGCTGCGTACGCGTGTGTGCACGTGTGTCTTGCTTGCACTGCTATGCCCTCAAAACCTTTGCGCATGCAATCTGATTCGTCTGCACAACTTACATTTATAGACTAGCTAGGGGTGCCACGTTGGAAAGATGTTAACTACCACGCCTGGTATGAAGGAGGTCGTGGGTTTGCACGAACATGTTTGCCTGTATATTTGGAGTTTGCGTGTCTCTCTCTCTCCCCGTGGTCACGTGGATTTTTCTCCGAGCTATCTGGTTTACTTCTCCAAATTTAGAATCGACACGTGTTTAGAGTATTTGGCTGCTATACATTTCCACGTGATAAGCCACTTCGTTGGGCTATCATGTGTGGGTCAAGTCGCTTCTGAAAAAGAGCTGTACAGCTCAGTGGGCCTTACCTGGTAAAATATTTTTTTTTAAATGGTAATAGATTCATCGGTGTCCACCGTATCAATGTTGAATTTCCAGCACTTCCTCAGGAGTGTATTTGTTGATATGAGCACCGCCTTCCATTGATGAGCAGGAAACCAGTTTGATGTAAAATTGTGAGTGTTTATTTATTAAATTTCCGATTTATTTACCTCGTGACAAAAAAAAAACACGTCTGCGCATGAGAATTATCAAGTTATTTTCGAGTTCTAATTTAATATCATGAATTTCATCTGAATTCTCATCATCGATCTCATCTTCATCATCATCATCGTTCTCATGTTTTATAATGGGCAATAATGGGATCATTTCACTTGTGGAGTTGAGGGTCAGGTGACTTGCACGTGCTCAAGGCCACGCTGTGGAAGTGCTTCACGTAAAACGCGTTTATGGTACCGCCATTGCTCAAGAGTCGGCATTCGAATAAAAGTGACATAGTGATGTAATTCTAGTTTATTTCTGTTTAAAGAGACATTCATTGTAATAATTCACACTGCCCCCGCCCCCAACCCCTACCAAAGAATTGAATTGGGGGAAGGGGATAGATCTTCGTCAACACAAATGTGGGAGGCTGTTTGCTCAGCAGTGTTTTCCCAGATATAACATTTCACGTTCCGACTGCGAGTTCGTATTACATTATCACCCGGTGTGGCCGTTTCGTTAAACAGGTCACTACGTGTCAGACCAAGAACAGCTACCCACAACTGCAAATCGGCTGGTACAAAAACGGAATAGAACTCAAGAGCATCACAGGTACCGAGGTTCGGTTCGTAACAACGCCGCCCTGGCTGGGTGGATCGGAGCACAGAGGTAGTTCTGGTGACATCCTCAGTTTGCATCGGTGTTTCGGCGTTAATGTCGTCGGCACTTGGCCGGTGCGGCGACGGCTGCGCGCACACGTGGCCTGTGACCTGGCAACTCTGGGGACGAGTGTTTCGGGAGGTTGCACGAATGTTGTGACATTTACTTTTTGGTGGGCGTCGAGGATGTGCCCGCCATACCCTGGCTCGCCAGGAGAATCCTTCGCAGCACAACAAAAATGTGGACTCCACCTGTTTCCGTCATCCGCATGGGATCGAGTGTTTCCTCCTCGCACGCGTGGGGTATTCTCTTGGTACTCTGTTTTTCTCCCCACATTGTAAACACCCATTAATCGGCAGATAACACCTTAATATATAGAGGACCGCAGAGCTTGGGCAATTGTTTGGCGTCAGCTCACCACGTGACTGCCTTCCCGCCTCTCTGTTGGTTACACCTCGTGCCTCTGAGAGTCGTTCTCTGGCTTCTTCGAGAGAGAAAGAGAGAGAGCCACACTGTTCGCATTACAAGTTTAAATTATTCTTGTTTTATTTCAGTCAGAATCTTAGCCTAGTCAATGGTAACCCGTGGAAGTTTTAGTCAAAACCTAGAACCGTGGACTTCACCATGTCATTGCCTTCGTGTGTAATGTGTCAATGTTGAAACGTTACTTTAACATCACTCAGTTGGGATTACACATAGCAGCAGCAACATTGCCCCCCCATAGTGGAAACTTGGCAGTACTCTCCTGACAAAAAAATAAAGTAGAGATTCAGTGAGGCTTTCCTGGGTAAACGAGCAAAATAAAAAAAACAGGAAAATACATCTTCTTGGTTCTTTCGGTAAAGTCACGTAGAATGGAAATAATAAAATAATAAAAATAAAACATAATAAAATACAATTCTCACGACGTTTCGGCCACAACGCAAGCAGCCGTCCTCAGGTGAAGAACAGGTCTGTCGAGAAGACAGAGTCTGACTGAAACACCCCAGGCTTGGAGCGTCTATTAAAGCTGGGTTGGAGGTGGAAGAGGAGAATAAACATTTTTATCACAGGCCAGCGTGTGCTCGTGTTTAAATGCAGGATATCAGCGGTGTCAGGGGGTGGTAAACGAGCCGGAACGTCGCTGTGGGAGGAGCCAAGGACAAGTGTAGCGGCGAGTAGCATCCACGTCGTTCCCTAATTACTCGCGAGGAATATGTGGCGGATATTCTCGTGAATAGTACATTTTCACTGATAATGATATTGGCCTACGAAAATGTATATTCTTAGTGAATTACCTAAATAAGCTTAATCTAGATTTGGAGGCTTCGTCACTGCAGGGATTACTTTTTGGTTCTTTCGGTAAAGTCACGTAGAAAGAAAAATAATGGAAACGCAATCGCAATCGAAACGTCGTATTCTATTATTAAATTAGTTTTTTTTTTCTACGTGACTTTACCGAAAGAACCACGAAGCTTTATCTCACCAATTGATCTCTCATCACTATATCCCATCACTTTGTCTCATCACATTCTCTCATCACTTTATTTCTCTCTCTCTTTCGATGCAGTCGTGTAGCGTTCCAAATGCGATTCCCGAATAGCCAAAAATCGCGGAAAGCAAGTTCGTGAATAACGAGGGAATACTGCATATCTATCAATATCATTCGCAAGTGTCTGTCCGTCATGCTCTGGATCTCCCAAAGTGTACGTGGAAGAAAAACACAAGTACAATTGTGTGGAATTCATCTTATTATGTTTTATTTTTTTATTTTATTACTTCCTTCTACGTGACTATACCGAAAGAACCAAGAAGATGAATCCCTGCAGTCACGAAAGCTTTAAATCGAAAAATTGTGTGGAAATTCTGCGAATATACATAAATATATATCTAACGTTGATTTATCAATTTAAATGAACATAAAACTAAATTAATGTCAGTTTAACACGTAGGCTTTTACGACCACTCTCATCCATAATATAGGCTTGTTTTGGCTTAGATCGCGTAAATATGAATGCGTCGGTAAACCCATCAGTTAAAAATGCATGTGTCAGTCCATTGTGTGTCAGGCTCAGTTGGTACGGTCCAGATCTGGGGGGAGGATGGAATACGAAAAGTGAACGGGCGGGTGTGTGCGGACAGGTTTCGCTTTGTCCCCGCAATGAGTTACCCCCCCCCCCGTCTCATTGTGTCTCTGTTGCAGTTGGTACGGTCTAGATCTGGGGGGAGGATGGAACACGAACGATGAATGGGCGGGTGAATGCGGGGGGGTATTATTCTTTGGTTCTTTCGGTAAAGTCACGTATAAAGAAAAAATAATAAATTAAATAATTATTTAACAATTATTAATTACATAATTATTTAATTTATTATTTTTTCTTTATACGTGACTTTACCGAAAGAACCAAAGAATAATTCCTGCAGTCACGAAAGCTCCAAAGTTAAGAATGCGGGGGGGTTTGGCTTTGTTCCAGGCATGCCTTACCCACCGCCCCTGTCTTCGCAGCGATGAGCATGAGTCTGCAAGCCAATGGGCTGTACACGCTGTCCTCCAAGCTGGTGTACGTGGTCACCAGGCCGGACCGCGGCGCTACGTACCACTGCGCCGTGTCGTACAGGGCCGACGCAGAGGCAAAGTCCATCCAGTCGGACGGCGTGAAGATCAATCTGCACTGTGAGTATCGCCTGTAACCAAATTTGGAATTTAGGATAGAATAATATAGAGTGCGTATGTTCAACTTCTTTCGCACCGTACGTAGCCAACCGTGCTAGGGAAGGACAAGAAATTGTTACGGAAAGGCGGATAATTATGGAAATGTGTACCTTGTATTCTAGTTGTAGTGCCTTACGCCGGTAATGGTTTTGATCGTCCACGAAACTAATGGTCCACCCTAAACCGCATCCACTAAACCATGGCGGATGCAGAAACCTGATGCACAAATAGAAAATGAAAACTCTCCAGTAGTAGTGTGCGACTCTGGTCATCCAGAACAGACCGTACAACGTGTAACGATGCAATGCCCCGATCCAGAAACACGGAGACATCACAGCGACGATGCACCACTCCGCTGCTCCTGATGCGGTTATCTGGCTTGACGACCTGAATGTGACATAGTAGTCATTGCTCTGCGTCTACATCAGCCGTACAGAAGAAGAAAAAGTTGAATAAATTTTGACTTAAAACTTTCGTGACTGCAGGAATTCATATTCTTGGTTCTTTTGGTAAAGTCACGTGAATAAAAAATTAGACATAAAAAAATAATAATAAATAAATAAATAAAATGTTAAAGCAAAAAAACACGACGTTTTGATCGCAACATAAGCGGTCTTCATCAGGCGGAGAAGCGTCGTGGTTTTTTGCTTTATAAATATTTATTTATTATTATTTTATTTTTATTTTCTACCCACGTGACTTTACCAAAAGAACCAAGAATACGAAAAAGTTGTCGATAATCCACGGATTCACCAAACTGAGTGTTTCGTCTCGTCCATGCTGCCTTCCGCCACCACCCAGGGCAGGTCACGCACCGCTTCTCGGCGCGTTTCCTCCCTCGCCCTGCTCCCAAGCTCTGGCCGTAACCTTGCTCTATTCAAGTAACGCGTCAACTTCATCTTCTTGGTTCTTTCGGTAAAGTCACGTAGAAGGGAAGTAATAAAATAATAAAAATAAAACAAAATAAAATAAAATAATTCTTCAGCTGAAGACGGCTGCTTGCATTGTAGCCGAAACGTCGTGAGAATTATTTTATTTTGTTATGTTTTATTTTTATTATTTTATTACTTCCCTTCTACGAGACTTTACCGAAAGAACCAAGAAGATGAATCCCTGCAGTCACGAAAGCTTAAAATAGAAATGTAATTATTTAATTATGTTTTATTTTTATTATTTTATTACTTCCCTTCTACGTGACTTCACCGAAAGAACCAAGAAGATGAATCCCTGCAGTCACGAAAGCTTCAAATCGAAATTTAACGCGTCAACTCTTAAACCGTTACATCTTTCCACAGTGCCCTTCGCTGCTGGCAGTTTTGGGCCTTGTGCTCAGGAAATATTGTTTCCAAAAAAATGTTGATATTTTTGACAAAAATCCTCACTCCAAGCCAGAGAAAATCGCGTGAGAAACGAAGTCAAAATACGTCCTGTGGCCCCATGGGACTCTGTGCGAACGCGTGTTCCCCGTGGGGCAGACCCACCGGACAGAGTCGTGCTGTCTGTCGCGTCACCGACGGTGGCCATCAAGGAGAGGGATGACGTCATGCTCAAATGCACTACCGATGCAAACCCCCCGCCCAACTACAGCTTCTTCAGGGTGAGTTGCTGCTGCACTTGCTACGGACGCTGTACGGGCTGCACTTTCCGCACCAGCTGCACTGACTGCACATGCTGCTGCATGTGCTTCTAGTGCTGCACATGCTGCTGCACTTGCTGCTACTGCTGCACGGACTGCACAAGCTGCTGCACGTGCTGCTACTATTGCACATACTGCACATGCTGCACATGCTGCTACTGCTGCAATGAATGCACATGCTGCTACACATGCTTCTAGTGCTGCATGGACTGCACAAGCTGCTGCATGTACTGCTTGTGCTGCACATACTGAAAATGCTGCTGCACATGCTGCACAAAAGGCACATGCTAGTGTTGCACATGTTAAACATGCCGTTGGTGACGCACGTACCGCACAACTGCTGCACTTGCTGATACTGTGGTTGACACGTGTTGGGGTTCGCTGCTGTGTTATCATATTCTCAGTATTTAAAGATGCAATCTTTTTTTTTCTGATGAATTTCTGCTAAAAAGTTGGTGGTGTGTCTTCTAATCTGGCATGTGGCCACGAACAAGCCACCTGGATATGCAAGTTACAATTTGTAACTTTCTGACCCATCCCTACTGGGACACATGTGAAAAAGAGCTGCATAGCTCATCGGATTCCTCTAGTATAAATAAAGATTCTGATTTCCGACAGTTGTGCTTCCCATCCAATCTTGATGCCACTCAAATGGATTTCGAGGCCGAATGTTCCCCCTCTTCGTAGCAACTCTCCGCCACGAAGAAGCGCCGTGGCCAAAAACACCGTCGCCTTTTGAAACATGTTGTCTTTTTTTTTTTCCCACGGCGAAGTGTTATTGACGATTGCGGCGACCTTTTCGTTATTTGTGCTCGTGCCCACCGCTCGGGCTTGGGCAGACGTTTTTAATGTGCGGGCCGGTCGTCTGTGTGAATTACCGTGTGGGGGTTGAGATTGTTTGAAATGCTCAAGGGTTGACGAAACACCACAAGGGGTGCGCTTCGCGACGCCGCGTTTGATTGCCTCTGGCCGCGCCGGCGTCTGCCGCAATTCCTGGCCTTCTTTTCTTTTTTCTGAGCAACGTCCCATGCGGACGGGCACTTTTTGTTTTCCTTGCCACCTCTTTTACGCTGTGGTGGTAAAGCATTGGAAAGAAGAAAAAGAAACCCGGCTTGGTTGGTGGCACCGATGCGAATCTTCTCACCGCTGAGACGGCCTTCCCGCAATGGACAGTTCATAATAGAGGAGGTTTCGGAGCAAGATCGTGTCAATTCTAGATTTGAAGCTTTCGTGACTGCAAGGATTCATATTCTTAGGTTTTTTTCGGTAAAGTCACGTAGGTAAAACATTAAAATTAATAAAAGTAAAATAAAATAAAAATCACGACGTTTCGGAGGCAACGGATGACGGAGACTTGTGTTGCCTCCGAAACGTCGTGATTTTATTTGATTTTACTTTTATTAATTTTAATGTTTTACCTACGTGACTTTACCGAAAAAACCTAAGAATATAAGATCGCGTAAATATAAATGTGTCGTTAAACCCGCCACCACCCGACGCAGCCAATTAGTATGGGTAATATTGGTCGCGAAAGCTTACGTGTTCAACTAAACGGACAGTTGAGTTCCCATGGCTGCCAGCTGGGAAATGAGCATTGGACTTTCGAAGAAATCGTGACACCATGAAAAAACGCCGATTGATTAAATGGTGGATTACTTTGATGTATATGTATATATTTTTTTTTTAAGTCCAGAAGAGAAGATAGCAGGGAAAATGTTGTTGTTGTTGTCGATATAATTCAGCAAAAACGGTTGCGCTGGGTGGCACACGTGCTGGACCGGGGAGGGGCGATTGCCTAAACCAGGGGGAAAATAACAAGAAAGAGACATTTTTTTTTCAAATTCGGTAAAACAACTGTCAATATTTCAAGAGCCGCAGAAATGAATGTGAATACGAAACGGTGATCATAAATAACTATCATCACGAAGCAGTCCTCAAAGAGCCGCGTGTGGATCCGGAGCCTGCAGTTTGCCGACTGGCCTAGACAGACATATTGGAGTGATCTCCTGACGCACAGATTCCAGATTAAAAGTATGCTGCGGACACTAATACACAACCCAAACATGTGCACGGTGTCAATGAGTTACACACACACACCTACATGGATTATAAAGACACACCCCCGCCTGTTGCTTAGAGAAATGCAGGTGAAGGAGTGTCTTATCTGAACCGATCCTGGGCCTCCCCTAGGTCGACTCAGCCTCACATGAGTACCTGGTGCAATTTATAAAGGTCACCACAACAGAGACAAAGGTGGGCCACCCCTCGTGTGTGCTGTGGCAGCCTTCATCGGTGCTCGCTCACATCACTTGCCCCGAAAGTCTGTTGAGGCTACACGGGGGATCTTTGTCTTGTCTTGTCTTATGGTTCATAGAATATGGTAGTACTTGGCTGATCAAATGTTTTAAGTCAACAGCGGCTGACCGTCACGGCTGCCAATGGAGATGTGTGGTGCCCTCACTTCTCACTTGGTCCCTGTACCATCTCTACCCACCCCCCTTGCCCTCTTCCCCCCCCCCCTCCATGCCCTCTTTCCCCCCGTGCCTCCCGTGCCCTCTGTCCCCCCCATGCCCCCTGTCCCTTATGCCCCTTTGTTTCCCCTGTGCCCTCCCCCCCCCCATGCCCTTCTGTTCCCCCGGTGCCTCCAATGCCCAGGTATTTGCGGATGGCAGGGCGGAGGTGGCGGGTAAGGTGCGGGGCGGGCTCCTGATGCTGCGCGGAGTCTCGGCTGACATGAACGGACTCTACATCTGCAGGGCGAATGCCACCGGGAAGTGCACGGGGCACAGTGCCATGTCCTCGCCCATCAACGTCACCATCAACTGTGAGCTCGCCTCGCCCTCCCCCTGTGCTCCGCTTACTGCAAAGACTCTTTAACAGCATCGTCAGCATATTCTTAGGTTTTTTCGGTAAAGTCACGTAGGTAAAAATTTTTTTTTTATAAAAGTACAATAAAAAACACTTGATACAGCTACCGTGCTGTGACGGTTCCACCTGAAGACAGGAAGCTTGTGTTGCCTCCGAAACGTCGTGATTTTTATTTTATTTTTATTTTACTTTTATTAATTAAAAAAAATTTTACCTACGTGATTTTACCGAAAAAACCTAAGAATATGAATCCTTGCAGTCACGAAAGCTTCAAATCTAGAAGCATCATCAGCCATGATCAATCCACTGGTGGATGAAGGCCTCCCCAAGCAATAGCCATCTACCTTTTACCTTCATGCGAACATAACCGCATCGCTTCGTATCCTCAGTAAGATGTCCCGTCGGACACGTTCAATTCCTGGTCAAGTCACAATTGAAAGCTCACAAGATCCAATCTCAGCTAAGAGTCACATGAGCCCCATTCTCATTGCTCCATGTTTGTTAAAAATAAAAATGTGTACGGATTGTGGAAAGTCCAACGGTGATGGTTTTTTATTGAAACTCACGACACCGGTGGTGGACTTTCCATCACTGGCTCATGGCCACCAAATGTAAATAATTATCTCTGGCCAAATGCTTCTCTTAGCAGGAAGATGCCATCATTTGCTAGGTTACTAACGTAGTCGTCGTATTGTGTCTGACCCCTGCTTCAGATATTGATCCGCTGAATCTGGTTCCCTTCGGACCGCTGACCGTGAGGGCTGGGGTCAGGGTTCACGTCACCTGCCAGAGTTCGGGCTCTGGACCTCTCTCGTACCGCTGGATCAAGGTCGAACTTTTGCCTGGTGTCAATACAGTTATACAAACCTGGTCTCACACACACTCCGCTTGCCTACTGGATCACAAGACGCAGCGCCCAAAAGGCGTTCCTTCAAATTACAGGCAACAAAGGTGCATCACACACACTCCGCTTGCCTACTGGATCACAAGACGCAGCGCCCAAAAGGCTTTCCTTTAAATTACAGGCAACAAAGGTGCATCACACACACTCCGCTTGCCTACTGGATCACAAGACGCAGCGCCCAAAAGGCTTTCCTTCAAATTACAGGCAACAAAGGTGCATCACACACACTCCGCTTGCCTACTGGATCACAAGACGCAGCGCCCAAAAGGCTTTCCTTTAAATTACAGGCAACAAAGGTGCATCACACACACTCCGCTTGCCTACTGGATCACAAGACGCAGCGCCCAAAAGGCTTTCCTTCAAATTACAGGCAACAAAGGTGCATCGTATACTCTGGAGAATACGGTATGGTTTTTTATGCAAAGATAAAGTTCCTCAGACATAAGTCCCTTTCTCAAATGATTATAGGCAGAGCTATGCCACCCTTGGTTTATACCTGCACCATATTTTTTTATTAATGTTGCAATTTTTCCGAATTGTATCCCAATTGTGCTCTTGGTGTCTCATCGCGGGAATGAAGTAACCTTTGAGATCTCTCACAGAGCAGTGCGACTCTTCGTGTGTGAGACCGTCCCACGGAAGCGAATATCCCAGAGCTACCTCTGGGATCCCTTCATCTGACTTCTGGTCCAGTAGAGGGCAGCACTTTCCCACCCGCACTGCCACCGAGAGGAATGTTCGTCGCATGAGCTGCAATTTAGCCAAATGCAGTTCAGAATTTCAAATTTTCATTACGTTTTTTTTTTTACGAAAGTCGTTGGTTACCGGGCTGAGACCATAAATTCATTGCACTAACCGAGGACCCCAGCGGTGCCAGCTTTGCACTGTTACCTCCAAGCCACCCAAGTCCCTCACCCGCGCCTCTCGCTACAAAAGCGTTCATTCAGACGCTGTCTTTCTGTCAGCCCTGTTCTTCACCTGAGGACGGCTGCTTGCGTTGTGGCCGAAACGTCGTGAGAATTGTATTTTATTATGTTTTATTTTTATTCTTTTATTATTTCCCTTCTACGTGACCTTACCAAAAGAACCAAGAAGATGAATCCCTGCAGTCACGAAAGCTTTAAATCGAAATTTAAGCGTTCATGGTTGTTGACGTTTGTCTTCTCGGGTGTTGTTGTTGTTGTTGTCGTCGTCGTCGTTCAGGATGGCACGACTGTGTCACACTCGACAAAGGTCGTCATAGAGAGTGCACAGTTCAGCGATGCTGGCGTCTACACCTGCAATGCCTGGCTGCTGGCTCACCCGCACATCACCGCCAGCGAGAGCGTCAGCGTGCTCGTACAAGGTACAACTGGCAGTAACAATAGCAAGGTGGCCAACGGCAGTGACAATAGCAAGGTATCACACAATCTCGTTATCATCTGCTATAAAGAAGGACCGAGGCCCAAAATGCCGCTTATTATATACAGTACCTTTAATTTTAAGGCCGTATTTTTGACAAATGTTTAAATAAAGTTTTATTTTTGCTTGTGTACCACTGCCAACGTAGTATCACCAAAGAATGTGTTACCTTTACATTATGGGTGTTTTTTGTGTTGCATTCTGGGTAAAAATATAAGCAGAACTCCATCCTGTATATCTCGACATGTAAATTGAAATGTGTTTTATCCCATCAGCCTATTGGCTTTCCAGACGATTATGTACTACATGTATGTAACACTTCTTTCACGCCATACATAGCCAACCGCGCTAATCGAAGGTGCGGGGGAAGGACAATAAGTAAGCAAACTCTGGACCGGTGTTGCCCTTCTGGGTTCTCATCAGTCGAGTCACAAATTTGACGGTGCTTTTTGTTTCCGGCCATTTGACATGTTGGACCTTTGGGCCTGTGCTCAGCATAACAATATACATGTTGTGAAATTGAATCATGGAATCACATCGTGGCAGATGTTAATGGCTGGGTGAGGCCTTGATCCAGCAGTGGCACAATCATGGCTGATGGTCGTGTCGTGAAGAAATGTAATCGCTGCAAGGATTCATATTCTTAGGTTTTTTTGGTAAAGTCATGTAGGTAAAAAATTCAAATTAATAAAAGTAAAATAAAAATCACGACGTTTCGGAAGCAACACAAGCTTCCGTCTTCAGGTGGACCAGTCGTGATTTTTATTTTATTTTAATTTTACTTTTATTAATTTTAATTTTTTTACCTACGTGACTTTACCGAAAAAACCTAAGAATATTATTTTTATTTTACCAGTTAAGGGCCACTGAGCTCTATTGCTCTTTTTTAGAATCGACCTGGCCACAAATTATAGCTCAATATGGTGGCTTATCATGTAGACATTTATCGTAACCGAATACTCTAAACACAGGGTCGGGATCGAATCCACGACCTCCTGCATACCAGGCGAGGTAGTTAAGATCTCGCCATTGCGGCGTACTAGTAGCGATAGGGGCATCTTTATTTTGTGTGTGTGTGTGTGCACGACCACAGGAAAGCCTCACATCCTGCGTGATGAGGACGTGTACCTCCAGAATGAGGGAAGTGCCCTCTCCCTGGTGTGCGAAGCAGTCGGCTTCCCCAAGCCCAACATCAAGTGGAGCCACGCTGGAAGGCCTGTACGCCCCCTCGTCCTTCTGTTTACATCTTTAAAATGTTTATTCTTTGGGTCTTTCGGTAACACAAGCGATCGCCATCCTCCTGATGACGATCGCTTGTGTTGCGATCGAAACGTCGTAGTTTTTTGTTATTTTCTTTGAACCTATCTACGTGACTTTACCGAAAGACCCAAATAATATGAATTGCTGCAGTCACGAAAGCTTTAAGTCGATCTTTCAAATGTGTTTGATTCCAAGCATCAGCAGCATATGTTAAGCGAGCAAACTCTGGACAGGTTTTGACCTTCTGGGTCTCAACGGCAGAGTCGGCCTTGTTTACCAAATGCGCGTGTTGAGTTGATGCGAGAGGTGCGTGATAGCTCTGTGTTTTTTTCCTTGTTGACAGAGCAACACCGAGAGCATAAAAGACAACAAGCTCACAAGCGAACTGAAGGTCAGGGTAGCAGATGACCTGCGGTACGTCACGTGCAACGCATCGAACCAGTATGGGGCAGCGGTGAAAGTTTTTCATTTGCAACATCCGTCAGGTGAGCAGTGAGCAAGTGCATCCCACCTGTAAGAACGCTTGCATTGTTGTTATTGTTGTTACCGTTTCACATGCGCATCATAACCGTACGATGTCATGCTTTCCACAGCAGCAGAAGATGCGTATATAATCGTTCTGGCTGTCGCTGCAGCACTACTCATAATAGGATCCGTTGCGTTCATCATGTGGCGAAAAAGGAGGCATCGTTATAGAAGGTAAAGTGAATGAGTGGTCGTGATCAGAGCACTGCATTGCGACACGTGGGCCGTCTTTAATCATTCGATTGCTAAAAAAAAAATCCCAAATATGAGACACAATTCAAAACATTTCATTCTCAGCATATATTCTGGTGCATAAAGGTCACATTTTATTGGAAAGAATATGGACCGCTGTGTAACTGTCAAACTCTTGGTCATTATGTTGGACACTGGGCCCGTGCTTGCGAATAGAATGATAGAAACATTAACTTCTTTGAGCAAGCGCACGAAATGTCCTGTGCACCAGAAATATCGCAAAATTTAACTGTAAGCTGCCTTTCCATCCCACTGTTGACTTTGCTAAACTCCATGCGGACCCAATGGGGCTCTTCCTCATACAAACGATGCTCTGTCATTTGATCCAGTTGTATTTATTCGTGATCCCACTAAAAGATTTAGACTCATATAGTGCTCCATTGTAGACCACATAATCAAGTAAAATCCACTTGGCGAGAATGCATCACATTTGGAGAAACAAAGATGACATATTTAGGGGCCGTCCATAAATGACGTCACGCACCTGGGGGGGGGGAGGGGGTCAGACATTTGTGACGATGTGTGACGAGGGGGGGGGGGGTTTGAGAAATGTGACGTCACATAAAAATTCGCAACTTTAAATAAATATAGACAACGCGTTCTACTTTATTAAATAGACTTTTAAATAAATGTTTTCTCCTACAACATCAGAGTGCAGTGCCACATTAAATACTCACTACAATGACAATAGTTTAAAGCGATTTGAAGCATGTTTTTTTTTTGGGGGGGGGGCAGAGCTTTGTGACGTCATATTTAAGGGGGGGGTCTGACTTTTTGTGACGCCGTGTGACGAAGGGGGCGGGGGGGGGGTCAAAAATCGTCCAAAATCGCGTGACGTCATTTATGAATGGCCCCTTAGCAAATTGACACTGAATATAACTTGGGAATAATTTTGGATTTGATTTCACAGTTTTTACGTTTTGATGGACACAATTGTCACGGGGTGGGTTCAATCAATGTCCTTTTAATTACGTTTCTGAAAACATTCTACCAGTGTATATTAAAATAAAGATACCTACAGATCAGGCAAAGTGTTTGATGCTGCTGCTGTATTGGCAATGATGCACAAGCACGATTCGTCAATAACCCTATGGCCTTAAAAGTAAAAAAAATGGTAATGGGTGACGTTTCGGGTAATGACCCTTCTTCACAGCATGTACATCTCACACTTAGGGATGAGTTATTTTTATTTATTTTTTATTATTTTTTATTTGTAGGGACTATTGTGTTTTCTTTTATCTTTCTTGGACGTTCTCATCACTTGCATGGTGCTACAAATTTACGGGCCTGCATGCCAGCAGAAGCGACGTCGCCCGATACCACGTAACAATGTATTTGGCGGGAGAATCAAGAAGTGATGTCATATTCGCGACGTCATTTCCTGGTTGTTCTGATAAATCCGAATGAAACAAAAACATGACATTCGGATAACCCAAAATTTCATATTTAGGCCTGATTTTCCTACGTTTTTCGATATAATCCCAAAATTGGGAGAACATCCAGACTAAATACCAATTGTTTAGCGGGGTGAAAGCACTCCGGCATACAAGGCCCCCATTTTTTTCTCCAAAGGGCACCTGAATATTAACAATCGTGGGTACAGTGTAATCAAATACACTATTCACCAAGAAAACACGGCGAGACAATTCACCACCGCACACCCACGGAGCAGGCACAATGAGCCCTATAAAAGCGCTCGTAAATTATACACACGTCGCTGAGTAAAGCAAGTGTCCATATAAGTTATTGTATTTTTTTGTGTGAAGATAGTTGCTCGGTCTAGTACCGGGGTCGGCAACCAAAATAACAAGGAGGGACATTTTTTTTCATCAAATTGTCTAAAAATATATAATAATTCAAGAGTCGCAATGCAATGTGAGTAAACGTCACAACGTGGTCATTTAAAGAGCCGTGGAGAGGACAGCGTTTGGCAGTTGTCCGCTTGTTAGCGCGTCCAAAACAACATACGCTTCACACTCAACTCGTTAAGTTATTCCGTGGAATAGAAATGTCGTAGCGCATATACGGCATTGCGTACATATACAGCCCCTTTGTCAATCCACTGACGGTTGGTGAGATTGCCCAGTGGGCCGGCGGAGGTTGCTTGACCATGCTCCACCGCGTGGGTCGGTAACGCACGGGCAGTACGTGTGGTGTACTCGCACACACACACAAAAAACAACCAACACTCATATACCCCAATAGCCTCTAACAAACCGCTGTGATTGAGGGCAATGGGGGGTGATGCCCCCCCCCACCACCACCCCGTTTGCCATTGAGACCATGAAAATTGGTGTTTGATATTCACCAATGAAAATACATCGAACGTCTGTATATTATTGTAGGGCCCTGTGCGAAAAAAAATATTAACCTCTTGGGAGTTTCGGGATCGTCCCAGGCCTAGATCCACCTCTGCTGCTGGGACGACGACGGCTCTTTAGCGAGCACCTATGAAGGCCTACACGGCAGCACGCGGGGTTCAATGGTGGAATCGGAGTCCTTAACATGCAGTCGGGGGGGGGGGGGAATCTCCAATTGTCACCTTGGGTCAAATTGTCCATAATAGAGGTTTTTTGGGTTAGATGACAAAAATATAAATGTGTCAAATTTCGATTTAAAGCTTTCGTGACTGCAGGGATTCATCTTCTTGGTTCTTTCGGTAAAGTCACGTAGAATGTAAATAATAAAATAATAAAAATAAAACATAATCAAATAATTCTCACGACGTTTCGGTGTTGTGGCCGAAACGTCGTGAGAATTATTTTATTATGTTTTATTTTTATTATTTTATTATAAATGTGTCGTTAAACCCGCCACCACCCGACACAGCCAATCAGTAAAGGTTGTCACGTAAACAGAACACGCTAATTCCTTACTAGTTCAGCACACCGGTGTGTTGGAGAGTAAACTCCACGACATTTACCATACGGATACAGTGACGTTTCGCCCGTAATTACAACCAGCCTCATCAGGCGACAGCCAGAGTTGTGGAGAAATGCTCTTGTCTTAAATAGAGGGGTAAAACTGTGAGCCAAGCAGGTGCGAAGAGAAGAGGGGGGGGGGGGGTTAATGCATTCACATAAATTACAATGTATCTCTGTTATTGGTTCGGTTATTCAGTTAACCAACAATGTGCATGCATAACGCGCATGCGCGATGCACGCACATTATGGTGGCGGGTTTAATAACACATTTATATTTACCCGATCTAACCCCAAAAACCTCTATCATGGATAGTATCGGTCGCGATAGCCCTCCGACTACTACGTGTTAAACTGGGTCAAGTTCTATTTCCAGAGACAAATCACGATGTCATTTCTATTCCAGTGGGGGTCGGTTAAACTCACGCGCCGCACGGGTGCGTGACACCGGCTAGCAAAGTGCACGGGGAATGACAGGACCTCTCGGTGCCCAGAGTATCACCGGCCACACTTCTTGATCCATTTAGCGGTTTTATTTTTGTCCAACGCTGGGGAGATAACACTATGTAACACGATTTTTGTTACTGGGTAGTAAGTGTTATTTCCTAATTGCATGTGCCTCAAAAGTACAGAAAATGGCTGTTATGCCCCACAAATGTTGTTTTTGTGACCAGGACTTTATGTGAAGGAATGACACAAATGCACACCACGTTTTCTAATTGAAAATAGGTAAATTTCAAAATATTACTGTCCTGGTCACAAAGCAAAGTTTGTGGGTAATAATAGCCATTTTCTGTACTTTTTAGGCATAAGCAATTAGGAAATAACACTTACTACGCAGGAACAAAAAAAATTGTTAGTGATATTGTAGTCTACGATTCAATACCACAAGGGGGCGACACGAGGACGCGCAGGGCAGAGTGCTGGAGCGAGAAAGCCATCGTGGGCCTCACGTTGAACTTTACAGCAGAATAACAACATTTAATAAAGTACTTTTATTTGATAAGGTAAAGGCCTACTGAGCTGTACAGCTCTTTATTTTTTCAGAAGAGTCCTGGCCGCCCATGACAACTCTAAACCGGCGGGTTTTAACCTGGGGGTGCACGCATCGCCTGAGGGTGCGAGATGCCCTTTCTGGGGGTGGCGAGACACGGCCAGATTGTTTAGAAAGTAAATAATCGAAAACACAAATTAAGAACGGGCACGTAAGTACAACTACTTTGTTTCACCAAACCTATCTATTTATTAGCATTTTTTAAAACCCTTTATATTAAGTTTGCTTGCTTGCTTGCGTGCTTGCGTGCTTGCTTGCTTGCTTACGACCGTGCAAATCTTTCGGTCGTTTTTTAACCCACTTCCCGTGATCCAATCGAGCTGACATTTTGCACACAGACTCGTTGTGCGAGACAATTAATGTTCGTGAAAAAAGAATTTCCAAATTTTACACTGTTTAGGGAAAACAAATTAAATATTTAATTACCAATTGCTTAATACTGTCAGACAATCATCTGGCCCATAGGTGGCAGCCATCTCAAGCCAGAGGACCAGAGGACTCTAGCCGCCACGCATATAAAGGATTTATAGTGAAACACTTTGTTTTTACGGGTTATACTTTTTTATGATTGACAACCAAAGGGACGCGAGGCTACAGTAAAAGTCAAGCACTACTCCTTTAAACGCACGTTGATTCAAAAATGTGAAGGGAAAAACCGGAGGACCCGGAGATAAATCCACACGACCACAGGGAGAACACGCAAACTCCAAACAAACATGCTTTAATCCAGCAGCCCTATTGACATTCCAGATCAAGATTAATCGGCATCGTCACGATCCATGTCCGCTGCACGTTTCGTCATGTTTTTTTTAATTTCACTTCCCTCTGTCTTGTGCCAATCTGCTCAATCAGTTCCACACCTTCTTGGCACCGACCTCTTCTTATGCTGCCCTCAAGCCATTCTCTGTTAGGTTTTCCTCTATTTCTGGTTCCTTCCATATTACTGAACAAAACACTTTTAATTTTCCTGTTGTCTACACACGTGTCCTTCTCATCGCTGTCCGCATCATCAGCTCTTCTTCTATGTGCAACCTTTAACTTAATGCTATGTTAGTCACTCTTTGGGTCCAGGTTCGATGCAATAACCTTCTGTAGCAATACATGTCGAGTGCCAATACGATATCATATCTCTGATTATAAAGCGGTGTTTGTTTAAGCAAAGCAAACCCTGCGTCAATGGGGTTAGCGTACAGTATTCTTTTGCTGTTGAATGACGTTGCATCATTCAGACGGAGTGTTCTTCCCAATAACACAAAGTTAATCCAGCTGGCACTTGTTTAACAAACCTGAATCTGCTGATGAGACCCAGAAGGGAAAAAGTTGTCCACGCTTTGTTTTCTTGATCAACAAATGCTGATTCATTATTGTTGGTCTGGAAAGCCAATAGGCCGACGGACTAAGCAATATTCGTATTTATATGCAGAAAGAAAGAATGGAGCTCAGCTTACGCTCAGCTTGGAGTGAGTGGCACGTGCCTTGTGCAATTTCAAACTGAGCAGAGATGATGATGTGTGTACTTGTACTGGTCAAACATATTTATTTCATGCCAAACATGTCCAATACACACTGCATGCAATCACGAAATGCATCGCCTGTGTTGTTTTGCAAATACTCATCAACACAAATGAAGAAATACTTAATTTGAAGCTTTCGTGACTGCAGGAATTACTATTTGGTTCTTTCGGTAAAGTCACGTAGAAAGAAAGTTAATTTAGTAATGGAATACGATGTTTCGATTGCAACACAAGCAACCGTCATCAGGTATAACTAAATTTGAGAGAGAAACAAAACACAGACACGGAGACACACAGACAGACACACAAGCAGAGAGAGACAGCACAGAGACACACAGAGAGAGACACACACCATAGACACACAGAGACCCAATGCCTCTGTGTCGAGGCCTTAAATAGAGAGAGAGGGGGTGGGGCAGAGAGAGAGGTGGGTCTGCTGGAGCAGAGAAGTTAGCATGTCAATGAGAGAGTTGTGTGGAAATCCACCCCGCGGCGGCAGGGGGAGAGAAAGAGCGAATGGACCTATGAGAGCCTGGTAAATTTTAGAGAGAGAAATAGGCCGTTTGAGAGAACAAACTTGGCAAATTTTTGAAAATGTATTACAATACAACACAGAGAGTCGGCTAACACACAGTCAACGCATAGCCTGGTTGATTACGTTCTCCAAAGATTGCTAAATTGGAAGTTAAGTGTGAAATTTGACAAACCGATGACGATTGCTTGTGTTGCAATCGAAACGTCGTATTCTATTATTTTATTTATTTTCTTTCTACGTGACTTTACCGAAAGAACCATGGAGTGCACAAATGGAGAATGAAGTGGATTTTTTAGCACGAGCTGTTTTCAATGGGTTTCACCTTTGCATACCACACAATGTGCTTTAGAAATACGTATTTGGGTAAATAACTGCTAAATATGTTTTTTAAACATCTACCAAAATACAAGTAACAATGCTACTGCGTAGGTTATTTTTTGCGGTTGCGTAGCGCTGTTATCTTGCTCTCGGCTTGCACCGCGTGCAGTTCAGCGCGATGTCTGACGTTTCCCTCGATATGCTGGGAGCTTCCCCAGGAACTCGCTCGCTTCACTCTTTGGGTGCTGGAGTGAAACGTCGGACATCACGGACAACACGCAGTACAATCCAAAAACACGTCTCAGAGTAATATGAAGTACAGTAATAATCATTCACTTTGTACACCGATCCACACCAACCAGTGTCCAGTCTGGTAAAGTATGGTAAGAAAAATTTCGATTTAAAGCTTTCATGACTGCAGGGTTTCATCTTCTTGGTTCTTTCGGTAAAGTCACGTAGAAGGGAAATAATAAAATAATAGAAATAAAACATTATAAAATAATTCTCACGACGTTTCGGCCACAACGCAAGCAGCCGTCCTCAGGTGAAAAGCAGGTCTGTCGGAAAGACAGCGTCTGGTAAAATAATTACCAGCGTGGTGTAGAGAGCCCCTATATCAAACAGCGGAGTGACAAAAGAGAATCTACAACGATGGTCTTTATCCAGCAATGCCTCACTAAGTCTCAAGACTCTTTCGAGACAATTGTCATTATTCTTAGGTTTTTCGGTAAAGTCACGTAGGTTAGAAATTAAAATTAATGAAAGTAAAATAAAAATAAAATAAAAATCACGACGTTTCGGAGGCAACACAAGCTTCCGTCTTCAGGTGGAACCGCCACAGCACGATAGCTGTATCAAGTAAGAGACATTCCAAGAACACAGTACTTGTATATAAACTGGTTGAGGGTGGGAGGAGCCAAGGTAGGCCCTGAATATTATTTTTGTGAGGGTCGGTGCGGCTGAAGCACGCTATTTTTTGCATGGTTAATAACATCTTTCCAATGATTACTAAGTTGGTACCCATCATCACGGAGAAAACCCAACCTTGCGCACGAGGTGGCTGTCGGTCAATGTTCCACACAGGTGGCTTCGACTACCCATTGCTGTGCCGCCATCTCCAGGCCCACCTCGCAGGCCACGCCTGGAACTCCCAGATATTCCCAGACACGCTCTCGCTCAAGCTCAGACCTGCCTTTAGCTCCTCTGTGCCACCTTTAGTAGAGCGGCATTGCTAACTTTGCACTATAAAAGTCATGGCCTCCGGTCACTTGCCCTGGTTTTGTACTCGCCCTGCCTTGAGGAATCAGAAAAGATGTTTTCTCCGGAAGGTTCGCGATTCCCATGGCCGCCAGCCGATGTCTGAGTAACACACGTGGGAATTGACACGTGAATGTGTTACATGTACTTTTTTGCACAGACACAATGGAATGAATGGCACCAATCTCCACACGGTAATGCTGGGACTGGCAGAGATGGGTAAGTTGCCATCATCCTGATCAGCCATTGTCTAGCCACTGCTGGATGAAGGCCTTCCACACACCGTGACAGATGCTGCCACGATTACACTTTTTGCACTCATTACGCACAAAGCGCTTGTCACAAATTAACCACAATAACCTTGCTGATCTCGTCAAGGACAATAAACCATCATCACGCGAACTGCGGTCATCCTCGCCGCAGCGGCTTTTGGCTATCCGTCGAACAAAGACGGTCGCCGCATCGCGCGCTTTCAGATGCGCTTCTGCGGCCGTCTGGAACGTTCTTCCGAAATAAGGAAGCCACTAGAACTATAGCACTTTTAAATCTAGACTGAAAACTAATTTCTTCCGAAGTGTGTTTAGTTTATCGTCCTTCTCCCGCACCTCTGATTCGCACGGTTGGCTACGTACGGTGGAAGAGAAGTTCCACATGCATGCATACATACATCATCCTGCACGTGGACTGATATAATCGATCCATCTCCACAGTGGTCACCCTCTTGGATGCGTTCTCTCCTTCAACTCACCCCAGTTACTTTTCGCAATTGTCAATCTGATGTTTCAGGATGTGTCTTTCATTTCGTGATCTGTGCATTCACTGTTCTGTCTCTTCATGTCACTCCATGCATGTACATCTCTCCGTGCATTGTGCCTTCTTCATCTTTTGCATTACTCGAAATGCTGCGCTGTTGCAGCGCAGCATTCCGTAGCCAACCACGCTACGGACTCGTGCGAAATAAGTTCAACACACACACGTGTGCGGCCTAGTTCGACGCAGTGACGTTGACCCCAGAGAGCTGTCGGTTCCCATCAAGGAATATGGGGAGCGGTGGCGCGTGGGCTTTAGCACGCTTGCCCTGTGAACCCCGGCGGCCTGAGTTCGATTCCCGACCACGGCTGACAGCAGCGGGTGACTGATCTCTGGACCGGTCCTAGGTCGCCTCGTTCTAGCGCTGAAAGCGTGGCCTAGTATGGTCGAACACCCACACAAAGCCGGCATGGCGTGGGGACATCTTTGTCCAGCAGTGGATTGACGGAGGACTGTACATTATGAAAGATACATGTGTATGCAGCAAGGCCGTAGCCATGGAGTCAACATTGGGGGGGACCAAATCTTCCTGGGGGTCTGGGGATCCCAACCCAGCAAAATATCTAAATTTGAAAAGTAATTTCCTGCCTAAAATATAAAAACAATTCACTAACACATGGGATGGTCTTTATTTATTTATTTTTTACAATAATGTCGAATAGTGTATTTTATTGCATTGCTCTGTTTTTTCTTTTTTACCTTTTCTTGTTTCATTGTATGTAATGACAGATATTAGAGATTCATAAAGTACAACCATAACCACAATCATTTTAACATAAATCTATGCGTTGATTTATATGAAGACAAGTCCAGATATTGTGGCCAAGGTTTAGCAAAGTGTTGTTTTAATTTACAATGCATTGCAATTATTCTTTTTTTATAGCAATATATTGGGGGGGGGGGGCATTTTAGGCATATTTGAATATTGGGGGGGATGTCCCCCCCCCAATTTATATTATAATTACGGCCTTGGTATGCGGCATGCTGCGGATACATTACATCTGAAAGCTGTTAAATAAAATGTTTACTGTGGGGTTTTGAAAACAGATGGGTAACATAGCCGACTTGATCTGTCTGATGTAATGTTACTCATGGCGTGAAATCCGTCCACTCTTGTCATGCGGGTCACAGACTGAATGGAGCAAGCAATGCATGCACACATCCGCTCCGTTTTTGTTATTAGTGGCCGTGCGGCACACGAGGTCCCAGGCACATGGGGGGGGGGGGGGGGCTCCAAAGACGAGCCGTGAATGGCGCACGGCGCATGCAGACCAGATTAGCGTTGAGTCGGTTTGCGAGAGTGGTTGAGCCGTTAGCCGCACAGGAATTGTGTGAATCGCTGCTAATGTCGGCTTCCCCCCCCATTCCCCCGTTGATTAAATTTGTAGTATTCCCATTCGTTTAATTGTATATTGATTGCACAATTCAACTGGATTGGATATTGATGGTACAATTCAACTGGATTTGATATTGATGGCACAATTCAACTGGATTGGATGTTGATTGCACAATTCAACTGGATTGAAAATTGATGATACAAATCAACTGGATTGAATATTGATGATACAATTAAACTGGTTTGAATATTGATGGTACAATTCAACTGGATTTAATTGAATAGTGATGGTACAATTCGACTGGATTGAATATTGATAGTACAATTCAACTGGATTTAATTGAATAGTGATGGTACAATTCGACTGGATTGGATATTGCATGCACAATTAAACTGGATTGAATATTGATGGTACAATTCAACTGGATTAAATTGAATAGTGATGGTACAATTCGACTGGATTGAATATTGATGGTACAATTCAACTGGATTAAATTGAATAGTGATGGTACAATTCGACTGGATTGGATATTGATGGTACAATTCGACTGGATTGAATATTAATTGCACAATTAAACTGGATTGCAGTAGCTGCGTGGCTAAAGTTCGAGAGAAGAAATGCTCCACGCGCAGAGTCCCCGATCCGATTGCGAGCTTCAACGCCTTGAGTTGACCCTGTTGGATCGGGACGTTTTGAAATGCATTCAAGTTCCGTCGTTCTCTCCTGACTGACTCGGCTTTCGTTTGCCTCCCTCTCTCTCTCTCAGATGACGATGGGCACGAGGGTGACGAGTGCGACTTTGCCTACCCCGCTATTATAGTATCCTCCCTATAGCGGAAAAGCGGTGTTTGCTGTAAGTATTACACATCACGTGCGATTTAAAATCACATTCTACTATTATTGCGGTGAACAAGAGCTACGGTATATACATGCATCCTACTGGTAGGAACCTCTGGTTACACCAGCCCACAGGGGATTATTGTGTCCGTCCGTCGTGCAGGGAGGAGCTGGGTGGGGAGGGAGGGGCTGGGTGGGGAGAGGAGGGTGGGGAGGGGCTGGGTGGGGAAGGTGGGGCTGGGTGGGGAGGGGTGGGTGGGGAGGGGAGGGGCTGGGTGGGGAGGGTGGGGAGGGGCTGGGTGGGGAGGATGGGGCTAGGTGGGGGGTGGGAGGGGTGGGGCTGGGTGGGGAGGGGAGGGGCTGGTCAACCCGTGGTGCCCTTATAAAACTCAACGTTTAACCTACTCACGCCGGCTTGTGCCCGCCCGCACAGTCAGGCATATTTGCGGAATACACCACGCCGCCGTTGACCCTGGCCATTGACCGAGCAACCCAACGTTCCTACCAGCTCTCTCCACAGGAATGTGTTTTTATTTGGTTTTTAGAGACCAGGGTTTTCACAAGGGTGTCCGAGCGAATGGCTTCACTTGAGTCTAAAAACAACACCAGAAGACGCTAGTTGCGCAGATGACCGTTGACCCCCCGCCTCCCCGAGTCAGGCCACGAGCCCAGGAGGGACAGCACAGCAGCGTGATGTGAACCCCCCCCCCACCCCACCCACGGTACGCACTTGATGAGGGGGTGTAGAGCCCCCTTCCACACAGCGCTGCCTCAAACTTTCGGCGAGCCCCTTCGCTTTACCGCACGTGGCCGAGTTTGTTGTCCTCGACTGAGCAGCGCTCGCCACGCCGCTCGCCACCGACCTCGACTTGACCTTGTGTCAGCGCATCTCCCGGCGTACGTTCAGAAAGTCAACAACAATAAGTATAACCCGTAAAAACAAAGTTTTTCACTCTAAATCCTTTATATGCGTGGCGGCTAGGGTCCTCTCGTCCTCTGACTTGAGATGGCTGCCACCTATGGGTCAGATGATTGTCTGCAGTATTAAACAATTGGTAATTAAATATTTAATTTGCTTTCCCTAAACAGTGTAAAATTTTGGAAAAAATATTTCACGAACATTAATTGTCTCGCACAACGAGTCTGTGTGCAAAATGTCAGCTCGATTGGATCACGGGAAGTGGGTTAAAAAACGACCGAAAGGTTCGCACGGTCGTAAGCAAGCAAGCAAGCACGTAAGCAAGCAAGCAAGCGAACTTAATATAAAGGATTTTAAAAAGGTGATTTCCTGCTCGAATGAGCATTGAAGCGGTGCGCACCTCCTGATTCTACGGTCCTGAGCCGGCGGTGGCAATTCCACATTCCTAATTTGTGGTGGGGGGGGGGGGGGGGGGCGAGTCTATAGGAAAACCAATGTTGACTTCCCCCACAAAGTAGTAGCTATATTGTGGACCCTGCAGGGATGATGGGTTGAGTGAATCCCCTAGCAGGATTTCAACTCGTAACTTCCCCATAGTGAGCCGCTCGCCGTCCCAGTTGAACCATTCGCGACTGACATTGATGTTTTGGCAGGGGACCGCCAGCGTATAATATTGCTATTACACTTGTCAACACACTTTCTCTGGCATAAGGTATTCCAACTGTTCTAATGTAATTTTTGGGTGCTGATTCCAAATCTGGCATCAGTTTTTGTCTATCACATCTGGTTTTTGAAATATGAAATATTGCATTTTCAATAAAAACTGCAGAAGAAAAATATCAAATAAATGTGGATATCTACATAAAATGATATTATAAACACACTGTCCTAAAATTACAGCACCATATTTTAACACTAAAGCAGTCACTGACTCGCAACAACTTGCAATCATAAGTGACAGAGTTAATTTCGGGTAAAATCAATGAAAATGGGGTATGCCGACAGCATAAAAATGATAGAGCAAATCTGAGATCAGATTTGGAATCGGCACCCTGAAATTAGTCTAGAACAGCTGCAAAAGTCCAGGCCAGAATTTCTTTTTTTTATTTACCAGTGATATTAACCTGCTGCAAATGTCCCAACAGTTGAGGACGTTCCCAGGCAACTGCACTCGGCGGCGTTCGTCAGCGCCGGGCATGGCAGCGGTGTTCGCGAAGGACCTATCACTGTAATCGGTCTTTCTTTAATCAAGTGTTCACTGGGGTTGTTTAGTATTCTGAAGATCCAGGCAAAGGCTCGTGCAGCCCAGACTGGGGGGGGGGGGGGCGGTGGTGGGAGGACAAAAATAGTTTTGGGAAGAGCGATGTTTCAAAGTGGAGTTCCCTTCATGCATTGGCTTCAGCAAGCAGCAAGCCAATGAGATGTTAACGGAAACAAAGAACACGGGCAGGTTCGTATGTGAACTCTTCATTGGGCATTCAAGGAACATTGCGAGTGAAGCTATCAGAAGCCACCTGCTTAAATAATGGGTTAACCCACCATGTGCATAGCAACAGTGTGAATAACACCAAACTCAACCTTGCCCAATCTCAGACGTGGCTTGTAATTTTAAACACATAAAAACGTAATGTATCTTGCCCATTAAGATGAACTTTTTACGATAATTCTGAAATGTATAACAAAGATGGGTATATTCTCAGGAAATGTATGTATGCTTATCCTCAATCTAAGCCTTTTATTTCGTGGTTTCCTCCAACATGTCAACACTCATGAATTGTATATATGTTGAACTTCTTTCGCACCGTACGTAACCAACCGTGCTAATCGAAGGTGCGGGGGAAGGACAACAAACTAAACACAAACATCAGTTTAAAAACGTTTTATTGGCCAATGATACCATTTTACATATATATGTAGGACCACAGAACTTGGGCAGTTGTTGTGGCCGGTTTATCACGTGGCTGCCTTCCTGCTCGTCTGTGCTTCCTCCTCGCACCTCGAGAGGCAAGTTCTCTCTCGACGAGAGCGAGTGCAGAATGTGTGCTTTGTCGGTGGAAATTGTTAGCAAATTAAGCTCTGGTAAATCAGAATCCGTCCCAATCGGTGTAGGAACAGGTTTGAGTCAAGTAGTCAAATGCAGAAGAAGGCCTTTTTAAATCCTTTATATTAAGTTCACTTGCTTGCTTGCTTGCGCGCTTACGACCGTGCAAATCTTTCGGTCGTTTTTTAACCCACTTCCCGTGATCCAATCGAGCTGACATTTTGCACACAGACTCGTTGTGCGTGACACTTTATTTTCGTGAAAAAATTTTTCCAAAATTTTACACTTTTTAGGAAAAAATTAATTATATTTCATTACCAATTGCTTAATGGTGGCAGGCAATCATCTGACCCATATGTGGCAGCCATCTCAAGCCAGAGGATGAGAGGACTCTAGCCGCCACGCATATAAAGGATTTATAGTGAGAAACTTTGTTTTTACGGGTCAATTTTTTTTTATTAAGGGTGAAGATACAGCCCTGCAATTACTCACTCCATCACTCGCACAAGGGCCTCCACATCTTAGAGGGAGGTCCAGAGCCCCACTCGAGGGTATTTGAGCTGCTCTTCCATGCTGGCCAGATATTTTGGAAGCAGTTTTTATGATGCAAGTATAAAATGAGTGATTAAAACATTTCTATGTCAGTACTCTAATCTATTTCTATAAAAGGAAAAATTGTGAATATGTGCATCTGTTCGAAATGTTTAGCATACTTACCGACATGCAACAAACTTGAAATTTGGCATGTGGGTAGCTTTCAGACTGTACACAATGCAAAAAGTATAAAAATTGACTTTTGTATTTTGGGGGGGGGGGGGGGCGCAATAATGGATATATTTTGCACAGCAAGGGAGCGGTGACGTCACATTTGTGTGTGTCACCCGCATGCGGCAGCGTTACGCAATGTGCCTGCTGACGTCATCCCCCCCCCACCCTCCGCGTAGTACAGTATATGTATTTATTTGTATTTTGAAAATCTATTAAATTACGATATTCGCTATGACCCTCTGCTGAAATGTTGTCGCCCTTCCAGAAGAATCCCTTGGTAATGTTTTATTTAACAATTCAACAATTCTCCTCCTCGCACGTGTGGGTTTACTCTGGGTGCTCCGGTTACCTCCCCACGGGGAGAGAGACCGGTTAATTGGGATTTGGCAAAAACATCTCAATATAGGACCGCAGAGCTTGGGAAACCGTTGGCGCCAGTTATGGCTGCCTTCCCGCTTGACTGGTTTTCTGCTCTTCTGCACTGTTCTCAGAGTGAACAAAGCCTGCCCATGACAAATTCCAAATGACTATCGATTAATATTTTGAATCATAAATTAGAGTCTGAGCTTGACAACCCTCCAGCAGCTTTAACACGTCTTGTCTACAATGCATTGATAATGAATTTGAACTAGTTTTAACAAAATATGAAAATGTTATTATGATTGGCAAAGTACAGTACATTTGCGATTATATTTCTCCGTGTATTCATCGGTTTTTTAATTTACATTACTCTCTTTATATGCGTATGAGTTGGGCACATTTTTGGTCAGGGGCCGTCCATAAATGACGTCACTCACCTAGGGGGGGGGGTCAGACATTTGTTACGATGTGTGACGAGGGGGGGGGGGTTGAGAAATGTGACGTCACATCAAAATGCGCAACTTTAAATAAATATAGAATTGTTATAACAATATTAATTGTTATAACAACACTCCTACAACATCAGAGTGCAGCGCCACATTAAATACGCACTACAATGACAATAGTTTAAAGCGATTCGAAGCATGTTTTATTTTCAAAATGGAAATATGGTTTTGGGGGGGGGGTGGGGCAGAGCTTTGTGACGTCATATTTGAGGGGGGGGGTCTGACTTTTTGTGACGCCGTGTGACGAGAGGGGGGGGGGGGTTCAAAAATCGTCAAAAATCGTGTGACGTCATTTATGGACGGCCCCTCATTGAAAATGTCACAATGCTGGGCATAGACCCCAGGACATGGTTTGGTGGCTGGGCTGTGTCGCTCGGCTGGCCAGGATGAGCTTGGGGAGTCTGTCGCCAGGAGATGGGAGGTCTGGACCGCCACTACTCAACACGCTGGCGCCGCGACCCTCACCAAGACAAGCGGATTGAGAAACGAAGGATCGATCGATATTGCTGATCTAGATATGGGACCTAAAGCGGCAGCGGCAAATGTTTGTGATTTATCCAGCGGCGCGCTTCAACATCCCGTGTGGCAGCATGTTGACCCATCGGTAGATGCATGGAATATACGCGTGATTGAATTCATATGTGAGTGATGATGATCATCAGGCATGAAGGCTTGACTGTGAGTTGTGAAAAAGACAAGTTGTTTAATAATTTCGGCTGAATGCTGCTAGGCCGCAGCCATTCACGTCTGTAATAAGTGTAAATGGCAGTACAATCCACGCACAAATTGTATTGGGTTGTTATTTAGATAAAAGTTGCAACTGACCGATTGTAATTACAGATGCAAGGCATTGTGGTGAGGTAATGTCATTAATGTTAAGACTTTTTTTAAGAATAAAATCTGTAACAGCTCTGTTGTCAGACATGGCTTTCTGAGGTAAAGTCCATTTCGTTACACTTATAAATCCAACATCTTTGAAATGAATGTACCGAATTTATGTTTACAGGAGGGTTCCATTCTTCATTTTTGTGATATGTCACGTACGTGATTTTATATAGCGGTGGTTTTATGGATACAAGATTATGATGAACGATGAAAAATAAATAATGTTGCCGCTCAATTTGAACTTGTCCTCATTAGAACACATTCCTACTGCGGAGGGAGCTGGTAGGAACGTCGGGTTGCTCGGTCAATGGCCAGGGTCAACGGCGGCGTGGTGTATTCCGCAAATATGCCCGACTGTGAGGGCGGCCACAAGCCGGCGTGAGTAGGTTAAACGTTGAGTTTTATAAGGGCACCACGGGGTGACCAGCCCCTCCCCACCCAGCTCCATCCCACCCTCCCCACCCAGCCCCTCCCTACCCAGCCCCACCCCACCCTCCCCACCCAGCCACTCCTCACCCAGCCCCACCCTCCCCCTCCTCACCCTCCCCACCCAGCCCCTCCCCACCCAGCCCCTCCCCACCCTCCCCACCCTGCCCCTCCCCACCCAGCCCCACCCCACCCAGCCCCTCCCCACCCTCCCCTCTCCACCCAGCCCCACCCCTCCCATTTTTGGATGCAGGACGGACGGACGGAAACAATAATCCCCTATGGGCTGGTGTAACCAAGAGGTTCCTACAAGTATTATGCCTATGATATGCATTGCACTTCATTGGCAATGTCATTAATGGTGATTTCTTGATACTTATTACAAAAAACTGCGATGGAGCACTAAAACTAATCTGATTTAATGTAACAAAATGCCAAGATATTGCGACGTTTTGTTTTATAGTCGCTAGGATTTAAAGAATATTTTGGTGAAATAATTTCATGAATAGCTCAAATAAAAACAAAGTTAAAGATCAATTGTAAATTAACTGTCTCATTCGTTGCATTCGTTACTATGTAGTGTTAATGTTAAATACCTTCCACAATAAATTAATGATTCACAATTTACGAGTCAACTGCTGGATGAAGGCCTCAGGCTACGTTCAGTTTCATTTATTTGGTATAGCCCTCTTTATTCACTACAGTAATTTTGCTGTGGCGATTCCACCTGAAGACGGAGGCTTGTGTTGCTTCCGAAACGTCGTGTTTTAATTTAATTGTTCTCATTTTGTATTTTTAAAAATGTATTTGTGATTTAATTGAGTTGTTTTCACTTATTTTTTACCTACGTGACTTTACCGAAAAAAACTAAGATTATGGTATAGCCCTGTGAGCCATTCGGCTCTTGAATCGGGCACAACCGCAACAAACAAAAACAAAAAACATGAACAAGAAAACATCTTAAAGTGATTTCGATTCAAAGCGTTCGTGACTGCAGGGATTCATCTTCTTGGTTCTTTCGGTAAAGTCACGTAGAAGGGAAATAATAAAATAATAAAAATAAAGCATTATAAAATACAATTCTCACGACGTTTCGGCCACAACGCAAGCAGCCGTCTTCAGGTGAAGAACAGGTCTGTCGGAAAGACAGCGTCTGTCTTTCGATCTTAAAGTGACTATGCGCAAACAGAAAAATCCAGGAAAAAACAGGAAAGTCTTCCAGAAAAAGCACCTTACACCAACGCTGTGTGCAAAAATCCCAGTGGGATGCAAGTCAAACAACAACAACCACAGGACATCTTAGATTAAAACCTTCAGCCTAACTCCGTACTACAACAAACATGGCCATGGGGATTATTTGGTCGTAGGGATTATTTGACCATACCCCCTTACGCGGGTCAGTGGAGGTTGCTGAGATGGGTGTGGGGCGAAGACATTGGTGTTGGTTCAATATCACTCGCCACTGATGTCAGGCCGGGGTCAATGAATCAAACCCGAGTGCATTGACCTCTAGAGCGCATTTCGGCGCCGTGATAACTACAGCGACAGCGATCTCTCTACCGTTCGACTCGACTATCACCAAACACCAGCGTGGGCTTCACGCGAAACACAGGGCTCGATGTTCTGTTGGTTGGGGTGGTGGGCAGTGCTGGATTATCGAGTAGCAAAAGTAGCTACATGTGTAGTAGCTACTACTACACGTGTAGTAGCTACTACTACACGTGTAGTAGTAGCTACGGGCCCCGCACTTTCAAGGGCCCCGCGCTAAACGCTTTCAAGCTATAAATTCCGGTTCAGTGATTCTGCACTTGCTCTATTACTATAGTACTATACCACCTGCAACTTTTATGAACGACTGGGTGTTTACGGTTAGCGATTTGTCGTATTAACTGGCTAACAAATGAAAAAATACAATTACTTTACTGTGCAAGTTAAAAATGTATGTGTTTTAATATTTACGTCAGTTTTTTTTTTTATTTAGGGCCCCTTTATAAGATACGCTACAGGCCCCGCACTAGCTTAGTCCGGCACTGGCGGTGGGTGCTTTGGTTTCTTATTGAAACAACAGCGAACAACAAAAAGGCAAACGACAATCAAAACGTCGACCCCTCCTGCACGCGTGGTCGCATCGGCGTTGCACAAGTGCAGCCACCGAAACCCCCCCCCACCCCGTCTGACAAGGGTGTTTGTCGGTGCTAATTCTACGCGACGCGGCTTTTGGCTTCAGCGGCCCCATCCATAAGAGGGGCAAAAATCATGAAGCATCGAGGGGGGGATGGGGGTTTTGGGGGGGGAGGGGGGGGGTGAATGGGGGGGAGGAGGAGGTTAATGGGGGAGAGGAGGAGGGGGGGGAGGAGGGGGGGATGGGGGTGGGATGGGGGGTTGGATGGGAGGGAGGAGGAGGGGGTGGATGGGGGGGGATGGGGGGATGATGGGGGGGGGGGTGATGGGGGAGATAGGGGGGATGGGGTTGGATGGGGGGGAGGAGGAGGGGGATGGATGGGAGGGGGATGGGGAGGATGGGGGGGGGTGGGGGGGATGGGGGGATGGGGGGGATATGGGGGGGTGGGGGAGGGATGGGGGGGGGGATGGGGGGGAGGATGGGGGGGAGGAGGGGAGGTGTGGATGGGGGGGTATCGCCGCCACCGCCTTGTGGCAAAGTGGCTGACTCCGCCCCAAGTTCCCACACGGCACAGGCAGCACGCGGACAAAAACCACCCCCCTCCCCTCCCTCCCTGACAAACTTCACGCGGTTTGAACGCAGATTCACCCACATGAGCTCGTCCCCGACCTGATGAGCGCCGAGCGAACTTCGTGAGCGCCGTCGAGAGAGAGGCTGCACACGCGCTGCGAGATCACAGATCATCACATTTAGTTTTAACTCTCCCGCACCCCCCACCCCATCACCCACACAGGTGAGTCTGGAGTTTGGTCCGAGGCCAGTACTTTTCTCACCGCACACGCCAACGTAAGCGTCCCGCACCTGATTCGCGAGCGCCTCTAAAACTATCGTAGAAGTAAAACCAACTTTTGTGGTGGGGTTGGGGTTGATTTTTTTGTTGTTACACTCGTGTAAGTGTCTTTAAACGTCTTTGTTACGATAAAAAGTGTCTTTGAAAGGTGTGCTGGTCTGTGTGATGCACTGACGGTAAGTGTAAAGGAGGTCACTGTGTGTGTGTGTGCTTTGTCAGTGATATTCAACAGAGATGTGTGTGAGAGGCGTTGTCCAACCCCAGCAATGCAATGTTCATTTAAAGTGTTACGAGTCCTGCTGCTTATATTTAACAATGTGATTGCCTATCAGTTTCTCCCATGAATAGAGATAATTGCTTGCGCGTGCCCGCACGGGCTTTGATGCAACGTTGAACGCGGATTTACCTCCGCGTTTAACTTCGAGTGAACTCGTGGGAATGGGATCATTCTCCCATCTCGGTGGTATTGCTTCGTTAATGGAACATTGGTATGAGTGCTCTTCCCAAAAGCTTCACAACATAGCGGTTGTTAATATTTGTGTTTCTAACTTTGTTCAGGTCATGCTGTACGTGCTCAGGTTATGATATACGTGCTCAGGTTATGATGTACGTGCTCAGGTTATGATGTACGTGCTCAGGTCATGATGTACGTGCTCAGGTCATGATGTACGTGCTCAGGTTATGATGTACGTGCTCAGGTTATGATGTACGTGCTCAGGTTATGATATACGTGCTCAGGTTATGATGTACGTGCTCAGGTTATGATGTACGTGCTCAGGTTATGATGTACGTGTTCAGGTCATGATGTACGTGTTCAGGTTATGATGTACGTGCTCAGGTTATGATGTACGTGCTCAGGTATGATGTACGTGCTCAGGTTATGATGTACGTGCTCAGGTTATGATGTACGTGCTCAGGTTATGATGTACGTGCTCAGGTTATGATGTACGTGCTCAGGTTATGATGTACGTGCTCAGGTTATGATGTACGTGCTCAGGTTATGATGTACGTGCTCAGGTTATGATATACGTGCTCAGGTTATGATGTACGTGCTCAGGTCATGATATACGTGCTCAGGTTATGATGTACGTGCTCAGGTTATGCTGTACTGCTCAGGTTATGATGTACGTGCTCAGGTTATGATGTACGTGCTCAGGTTATGATGTACGTGCTCAGGGTTTATGATGTACGTGCTCAGGTTATGATGTACGTGCTCAGGTTATGATGTCCGTGCTCAGGTTATGATGTACGTGCTCAGGTTATGATATACGTGCTCAGGTTATGATGTACGTGCTCAGGTTATGATGTACGTGCTCAGGTTATGCTGTACGTGCTCAGGTTATGATGTACGTGCTCAGGTTATGATGTACGTGTTCAGGGTATGATGTACGTGGCTCAGGTTTATGATATACGTGCTCAGGTTATGATGTACGTGCTCAGGTTATGATGTACGTGCTCAGGTTATGATGTACGTGCTCAGGTTATGATATACGTGCTCAGGTTATGATATACGTGTTCAGGTTATGATGTACGTGCTCAGGTTATGATATACGTGCTCAGGTTATGATATACGTGCTCAGGTCATAATGTACGTGCTCAGGTTATGGTCCACGTGCTCGGGATATGCTGCTATGTGAAGGTGTGAACCGAACACTTTAACAGCACCGCACTGATGGTGAACATGCCGCTCAGATAGTTATTGCCTGTCAATGTCACTCAGAACTGATTTAAAGTGGCATGTAAATATTTTACTGTAAAGTTGTGATCCACGGTTATTCGACCTTTCTAGATGTCAAGTATTCAAAGCTGTGTTTTAAGAGGAATGCAATGCGGGCTTATTATTAAAGTGTATTTATAGATTATACACTAGGCTTAGAGTCAGGACAGCAGTCCACTAATGGGAGGAAATGCGGTTTACTGCTGCATTTACAGCTGAACTAATATTTAAACAACAGCATCTTCAAAGGCAATACCAGCTAGTAACCCATTTACTACGGTCTATTGTCTGTTAAACAAAAGAATGCATTCTCATACATAATTGCTTTTTCAATTACATGATACCTCAACTTGTCACCTACCCTGAATGAAAGCTTTCGTGACTGCAGGGATTCCTATTCTTTGGGTCTTTAGATAAAGTCACGTAGATAGGTTGAAAGAAACCTATCTACGGGACTTTACCATGTATCGAGGCAAGATCCTAGGAGAAAAAACATTCTTGTTATGCGTAAATAATGGTATTGTCTAAGATCCCTCTGTTAAAGTCACAATTGTGTACGCACACGTATGATGACCACCCCATCTTTGATTAATATTCCGTTATCACAGCAACAATATATTGTAAACCTATCTACGTGACTTTACCGAAAGACCCAAATAATATTGTCACCCATACCTCTATATTTTAGAGCGATTAATTTTTGTTTTACATGCAAAGAGAACATCCGTTGTCGGAATTGTCAGTTTACAAAATGTTGTTGCTGTGATAACTGAATATTGATCATAGATGGGGTGATCATCATACGTGTGCGCACACAATTGTGACTTTTACATAGGGATCTCAGACAATACCATTATTTACGCATCACAAGTTTGTTTATGCTTCTATTTTGCTACGTGAATCTAAAGTGGTTGTGATCGGGAGGTAGCAGGGTTAGACACACTAAAAAGTACAAAAGTGGAAGCATCCAAAACATAATTCAAAAACACTTCCGTTCATAATATCATCTTAATGATTGGGTAATGATATATGTGTACACACTTCACCACCCTGGTCATTGCAGATTGGCGAAGCGAGTGCTTAGAACCGGTTCGGTTGCTTCTGAAGCTGTCGACATGGCGGGGAATTGAACCCGGCTGTAGTGCAGTGCGCTCATGCAGCAACCCCAGTTCTTCTGCCCGTTCCGGTAACAATGACACAATGTACGAGAATACAGTGAGAGTATCGGACATGAGAGGCGTATGTCGATTGATATCTGATGATAAACGATGCGAGTGGCTGAGGTGTTGTTGTGCGTGTGCTGTCGGGGAGGAATTTTAGGAACTAAAACAATTGGGTGCTTTTCACAAAGTAGACATTCTAGCATAATTCAAGGATTGTTTGTGGAACAATAACACGTGTGGAGAGGAGACATATCAACACAAATCTCTGCAGCCACTGCCTTAACCCATGTTTCCATATAATGTTCGGCTTGCCAACGATTCGAACTCATGTCATTGACTAGGTTGCGTTTTTGAAATTTAGAAGCGGTTGTATTCTTGTTCCTGGGACACACAACCTCTCTGAACTTTGCCACACGTTGATAAATTTGTATTTTTCTCAAAGGATCTTGCCTCGATACGTGGTATACTTAACATACTTAACGCATGCATTATTCATTTACGGCAATGCCTCATTGAATGAATGTCGGCATTATCTCCAGGTCGGGGTTCATTTGCCCAGCAGTGATTTATCACAGATACTTTGAAAACGTAATCATTACACGTAGGCCTTTTCGCGACCAATATCATCCATAAGATGTTTTTTTGGGGGGGTTAGATCGCGTAAATATATAAATGTGTCGTTAAACCCGCCATCACCCGACACAGCAAATTCGTAAGGTTTGTCAAGTAAACAGAACGTGGCCAATTCGTTACTAGTACAGCACACCGGCGTGTTGGAGAGCCAAGCCAATTGGCGTGTTCTGTTTACTTCACCCAACAATTGTGTTTGCACGCCGATTATAACATTGACAAAAACAATATTGGGCACACCACACGTGACGTTGGGCAGATTTCACCTTCTGCCCAACGTGGTAACGCCACTTTCAATTTCTGTGTAAAAAAAAAATGTGGGTGGAGGGAGAATGGGGGGGTGCAAACCTGTAAGCCAGCATGGCTAAGGCTCTTTTGTTATTTATATTCTTCTCAGGAACTACCTCTGAGTGCACCTTTACAGAGCGCGGGAATGAAAACAAACCCGATTTAAAGGCTCAGATAGTAACCCGAGTCACTCACTTGGGGGGGCTGGATCGTACAGGTTTGATCTGGCATGTGCCAGACCAATGCACCTTCAACCTGAATAGCAACAGCAGGTCTTGGAAATGCAACCCAATGTAACTGTGGCATTTTTATGTCAAACGCATTTTTTTTTCAATTATTTACAGGTTCATCATCATCTCGCTTCGTAGGTGTCCACTTCACATTTGTTTCCACTTTCCTCTGCCTTGTGCCAATATTCTCAAGTAGTGCCACTTCTTCCTGGCACCAATTTCTTATGTCGTCGTAAAGCCATTTTTTTTCGGTTCCTTCCATTTTTCAGAACAACACACTTTTAATTTTCCTGTTTTGTCCATCCTACACGTGTGTCCAACTAGTGCCAGTGTCCTTCTCATCACTGCCTGCATCAACCAGGTCTTCTTCTGTGTGCAACCTGTTCCTTGCTTCTGCATTGGTCACTCGACAGGTTATTATATCCAAATTTAGCAAGAAGTGACTTTAATATATTGTCTACCGTGTTGCCTTTATTATAACATATTTAACTGGCTGTTCAACATCATTATGATGAGCTGTGGGATATATATAACCAGTGAAACATTTATGGTTTTTACGTATAATTTATTTTGAATCATTTTAAAAATCACTTTTATTACTGAATAAAATTGTACTGGAGACCTCCATGGCTCTTTCAAAATGATCACTTCCAGATGCTACTTGAAGTCACCTTTTATGTAAAAAAAAAATGCTATCTTTTCGCCAAGTGCCAAAAAATATACTTTTTTTTATTTCCCTGCTTAAGAATTACGAGTGTAAGGATGCATCAAATCGGAGATTAACATCCGTCCTCAAACTCTCCAGGCACGCTGCCACAGTGGTGTGACGGTGAGCGCCCTGGGCTTGCGATCCAGAAGTCGCCGGTTCGATTCCATCTCCTGTCGCATCAATTTAAACTGACGGTGCAACTTACT